GGCAAATCAAAGTGTTCGTGATACTATCCAGCTTCAACGTGATTTCTATTGAGTTAGGAATCGTTTGGAATAAACTTCAATCTGCCAACACTATCGAAGCTCTCTCTTCACTTGGTCAACTAGTCCCATTCATCATTGGCCTGGGTACGTTTATGGAAGCATTAATATATATTAGTGCTTTAGAGTTTCGGCCATATTTAGTCCGAAAATACAGAACAAGATTATTTCAAGTAATAATGCGGGATCCACAGCGATTTTTGGTTCCTCGCGCATTGTACGGACCTACGGATCACGAATCTTTGCACGACGCCACAGAACTACATACTGCTAATGAGCATCCACCATCTGAGGAATAATTTCTTAGGTGGTTGATTGTTAGTAATTGTTAACGAGGATGTTACTCAGGTTATATTCTGAAGAAAGAGGTTGGTGAAAATATATATTCATGTTTTTATTGCACTTGCTGACATGATTCTAGATGAAACATCTGAAACGAAGCATGTTTTCAGTATATATAGCTCAAGCCCTTATAATTCAGTAGATTTAGGGTTTCTCACAGAGAATGAACTTGCTTCTGTGGATATAGGGAGCCATTAATACAACTACATATTTGGGGTGAATCGCCATAATACTGTCTGCTACATTAGCGCAGCCACCAAGCTAGCGATGTACTATGGGCAAGATCGACCACCGAGACATGCCTTGTGACTTATACATGTAATGTATCGACCTCGGTATACCTATCTAGGGATCGATGGCTTTCAAAGACAATATTATATACTAAATGGAAGGACACATATTAAATGTTTACGTGTATGGCTTTGCAGGCGGCTAAAGTTAGTAGAATTAGCAGATAAAGAAAATCAATTCAAGTACTCAAGGGCGAGCTAAAAGTACAAACCGGGGGGGAGGATACTACACTGATATACGATATAACGAAAGGGCTCATGATGATTAACTCTGTTTTTATTCAGATATTTTCTTTAGGACAGTAATAACATAAAGAGTACCTAGTTTTTATAATGTAGTATGTTATTAAATCAACTGTATTAATAGTACGATGAATGCCAGCTGCGGATATACAAACAAGAAATAAAAATGTACACCGTCTAAGAATAAAATAATATAGGTAATAGCCGAGCAACATGGTATTCATATTGGATGTTTGCCTTAGGATTCTCGGTGGTCTAAGGATGGACAACTCCCGGTCCCGAGTCGTGTTGTTATCGTCGTCAAAATCCCCTCTAATTTCCCTCTATCAAACCTTTGATACGTGTTAATAATTGGGTACCTACCTCCTATGCATGGAACTTGAAAGTTAGAACTAGAAGATAAAACAGCTAACTGCAGTCATATAATCTATTGCCACTGAAAATCCAATTTGCTTTGCATTAAATCTATTGAGTCGTCCCGGACGCCACTCTACTGCAGCCTTCAAATAGATAACTGATCCTTAGAACGATATTGGCCAGTTAACGTAGCTGCGTAAAGACCTCCAAAAAAAACCTAGCCCGAAGGCGCTCAAATTTATTGGAACCACGAGGTATCATCCTGCCTCTACGGAGAATCAGAGACATCTCAGCGGCTATGCACGAGAAACTGAGACTTGAAGCAGTAAAAAACAGGTAGGCTTCGGATAGAGGGTAAAGTATCCTTACTGTGAGTAATTTTTCTAAGTACTGTTCTATTAACATGTCCGTACCCTAACACACATTATATATGATAGTTAGCTTACTCGCGTAGCATTTTAATTTACAGGAAAATATTTACTAATATTCTTGAAGACTTGGCCTCTTAATTTATGACGTGAAAACCCATACCTAGAGACACCTTACTTATACCTTGTTCGATAACTATGTCTATTAATAACGATACCCAATTCGAAATCCCTCTAAAAGGGGATGACGACAAAAGCAATGGTATTCAACTAGTACCTAGGATTAGCGGCATCAGTTCCAATGATAGCAGAGAAACCGAAGAGCCTTCTTATTCTGTGAAATGCAACTTAGTCCAAGTCTGTCATGGAACCATGGACGATAGTGGCTCCCCTGCAAGTCTCATAGTCATACTCCTATCATTTCAACCTCCCGGGCACAGGAAGAAATTCAATCGGGTGAAAATCACCTTACATTTTCACGGATCGAGCGGCTCGGCTAGTGATCTCGCGATTAGCGACATCGCCCCAAAATTTAACAGTCGAATTTACCCCTCTGAGGCGACTGTGAATGCCGGTGATGAGATAGATGTGGTTGTGGAAGCGGACGTTGGAATAAGGAACGAAACTCCAGTCTATAAATGGGGGAATACTACTCAGGCAAATACAACGCAAAGTATCATAAGCATAAACCCCGAGGCTTCAGTCATCAAGAATGAATCTTGGGTCCAATGGGATATCAAATTTGAGGGCGAGGAGCTCAAGAGTGGTACCACAACTATAATACAGACAGCTGTTCTGGTTGAAAGAAAGCATTCACACAAGTGCTCTACCATTGGAGAGGAATTCAGTATGGAGATAGGAATCCAAGGTGAAGTGATCTCTACAAATACGTTGGGGGGGAAGGACAAGAACGATGTGAAACGGTTATCAGGATGCGAAAAAAGGGATGCCTGTGTGCTATTCAATACCAAGAACGTCAAAAGGGGCAAGATCAAAGATGCTAATAATCTTAAAGGGGAGGACTTGGGAGCTTATTGGAAGCTCTTGACTACGCAATCACAGTCGGGTGACAGCGATGCAAAGGGTAAGTCTAAAGAGATAGAAAAAGTCGGTCCGAATACTGTAACTCCACCTACGTACTTCGAACCGGAAACAAAGCAGGAGACCATCATTACGAAAACTGAATTTAATGGTTCGGAAACTCGACAGTATAGGCAGGAAACTATACAATCGAAAGCTACAAAAATAGTAAAACCGAGTGTACTTGCTACGGAAGCTCAACCACAGACACCCGAAGTAACAGCACCGACAGCTTCTACTACCGGGTCAAGTCCTATTACTCAAATCATACCAGACAACGAGATCCCAACGCTCTGTAATGAGCTGGAAGCCCTGGAAGATCCTGGTCCTGGACCTGGTCTTATTCTTGCGCGAAATCAACTTAAAACGGTGAAAATCGAACTGAACCTACTAAGGAGGTTGGTTAAGAGTAAGGAAGAAGCCCAACGTCAAATTCTCAATGAAATCATACTATACAAGAAAACCATACCCTCTTGATAGTGTCTCCCGTCAAAAGTTCCTCCCGAATCTTGATGGGAGGCGGAGTATGGTGCGAGGGATGTGGCAAAGTTTCCATAGGATAGGGGTAAAAGGAGAAGCTACTATGATCAAGGGATATATATTAAGTAGATTGAAAGGTCTAGGGACATTCATTTATAAATAAGTTGATACAATCAAATATCATGCTCTCTTTACAACATCTTTCTGGCCAGTCCTACCCTGCTCTGATCATACTATAATTTCTAAATAAGCGAAACAGGTCTCACCCTTTTCGACTTCTCGTCCTTGAAGTTATCATCCATTATACCTTTGATGAAACGTCTTGTTCAAAATACGATAAAATCGCTGCGTTCGTGTTTAACAACCCATTTCCAACATAACCTCCTCAAAGATCGTGAAGCAAGCCCAAGGCGTTCGAAGCATCCTGGCTATTTCGGCGAGGGACCAAATATCAACCCGTTACATTCACTAAGCCTGTTTTCTCTGCCATATTAAGCATCTAAACTAAATAAGTCAACCCAGAAAATTAATAAGGATTCTTATATATATTTCTATATATTTCTTACCTTTATGCAAAGTTGCTTTATCTACACATAGACACCCAGGTGTATCTGTCGATCTATTGCGTATAAGCACAGTTATCTTATATGCATATCAATTTGTATTTGCGGCTACTTATGGTAGGGTTGTCTTCATAAGTAAGAAATTTCTAGATTTCTTCCAATGTAGTACATTTGTCTTCTGGACAGACGCCCAAGCATATTTTCTCGTTGGTTGTTGGTATAGTTCGTTATAATCAGCCTACTTTAGGGTTAAGGAATACTATAAACTAATAAGGAGTAAACGTCTCTTTTATAAATATTTTCTCTAATATTAAATAGTTGTAGCAACGCACGAAGAGTATTTTCCAAGTTGTAAATTATTTCGATTCGATTGCTCAAAGGTATGGTATAGGGGCAAATGCCCAATGTTATAATGACTTGCTTGAACGAATTCTATAATTGGCTGCGTTACTTTTAACTTAGAAACTTATCTTTTCTGAAGTCACTGAGTTTATTAGTTGGAAAGGAAATGATGTTAATGTAATTAAAATGTACATAAAAGATGTTGATTGAGTATAACTAATTCTCGGTTACTGAGTATAGCTCAGTTGATTACATAACCATCTACATGCCTAGGTACTTAGGAAGGTAGAGATGAATGCAGAAGCGCGCCCAGTAAAAAAAGGGTAAATTTATAGTAGTATAAATGTACTTATAAGAGTTCTAATCAATTCCAAGATGAATAATATGCCGAGGCAAACACAGTCCGAAGAGTAAACCTTTAAACCTTACGTAGCTGCCATGTCTTACATAGCATGATGTACATATGCAAGTTCTCTTCTCCGCGAATCGGCAAAATGTGGGGGATCAAACACCCCTAGCCTCGAATTATGATTGGTGAATTCCCCTCATCTTCAATTTTTACCTTTGCTATCCGTACAACCTGCGTAAAACCGCAACCACTATATAACGTATATGCGGTATATGCGTTCGGAAATCTCCAACAAATATCGGCACTGCGGCATCATTTAGTGCTTTAAAGTTCAAACCCGCCCCGTTTCGCAGAACTTCCCTCAGCCTCGGAATCCTCTAAGGTTAGCCGAATTGCTTTACTCTTGAGTTTTTTTTGTCCTCGGTTCCTAACCTTTAGCTCCTGTCAGTAGTCACGCCGTCATTCTTGACGCTCGTGTCCGCGTCCTATTATTCACCTATAAATCGGTGCGCCTAATCTCTTATTCACCATGAGCGCAACCTATTCATCCGCGGCCCGTTGCATTCGGCCATCTGTTTTCTACAGATCGGCCAGGCCGCTTGTTAGATCGTCGCCTATCACAGTTAGACCGACAGTGCCAGTGGCGCTTTTCCACCAAACCAGGTTCAACATGGCTGTGCAAAAGATTCAGGTCAAGAATCCCGTCGTGGAACTTGACGGTGATGAGATGACAAGGGTTATCTGGAAGGTTATCAAGGACAAATTCATCTTCCCCTATCTCAACGTCGATTTGAAGTACTACGATTTAGGGTTGGAGTACCGCGATGAGACTAACGACCAAGTTACCCTTGACGCTGCCGAAGCCATTAAGAAGTACTCGGTTGGTGTAAAATGCGCCACCATCACCCCCGACGAGGCCCCGCGTAAAGGAATTCAACCTTAAGCAGAGTAAGCTTGCAGTTTATATATGCGCTTTCACATGCATTCGTCATTCTGCACGTCAACCGGCATATCAGCCCGCCATATTTAGCCCCACACTATAATACCTATTAGATCTTATAGATCAAGCCTCTGCCGTAATATGACTAACGTTCCTCTTAATAGTGTGGCTCTCCCTAACGGCACAATCCGTAACGCCCTCGGTGGTACCGTCTTCCGCGAACCTATCGTCATCCCCCGTATCCCGAGATTGGTGCAAGGATGGAAAAAGCCTATCATCAGGTCGTCATGCCTTCGGTGACCAGTACCGAGCCAAGGACAAAGTTATCCCAGGTCCCGGTAAACTCACCATGGTATATACCCGAGGGTGGCAAACCCGAGGAAATCGAGGTCTTCCAGTTCAAGGAGGGCGGCGGCCGTTGCGCAGACACGTACAACACCACCGAGAGCATCACGGGTTTCGCGCATTCCAGCTTCAAGCTGGCCCTTGACAAGAAGCTACCACTGTATTGAGCACCAAGAACACCATCCTCAAGAAGTACGACGGAAAATTCAAGGACATCTTCCAGGAGTTGTACGACACTCAATACAAGAAGGAATTCGAGGCCAAGGGAATCTGGTACGAGCACCGTCTGATTGATGATATGGTTGCCCAAATGATCAAGAGCACCGGCGGTTACATCATGGCGCTAAAGAGTAAGTATCGCCTCTTATAATCTCATGCCTAAGAAAAGCATAGAGAAACACTTTATCAGACTATGACGGTGACGTCCAATCCGACATTGTGGCCCAGGGCTTCGGCTCCCTAGGTCTCATGACCTCAGTCTAATTACACCCGATGGTAAGACATTCGAGTCGAAGCCGCGCACGGCACGGTGACGCGACACTACCGCGAGCACCAGAAGGGTCGTGAGACTTCGACAAAACCCGATCGCCAGCATTTTCGCGGGACCCGAGGTCTTTCGCAGAGGGGCAAGCTAGACAATACCCCAGAACTAGTCGCATTCGCCGAGAGCCTCGAAAGGCGTGTGTCGACACCGTTGACGTCGACGGCATCATGACATAAGGACCTAGCGCTCGCATGCGGCAAGACTGGCCGCGAGGACTACGTACCACCACCAACGAGTACATGGACGCGGTTGAGAGCGCTTGAAGAATACTCTCAAAGAGAAGCTATAAATGAGGCGTACGAGGAATGAGTAGAAGGCCGACAGATATAGATCAAGACAAGATCTGGATTCTGGGGAAGACTCAAAGCGCGGGGAAGCACGGACGGACACGGCCCCATATTTCCTCTCAGGGGGGGAAACTTATGAAGATCTACTGCGATTCTGCATATGTAACCCTTTGCGCTCTCGGGTATTGATTTTCGTATGATTATCGAAATGCGTAGATATGTAGATACCTAGATCAAGATAGCATGCGAGCATTTTGTGGTGTGAAGAGGAAGAACATTGAAGCATTGAATCATTGGACAGATAATTGATAAGTTCTAAATTGTGCCCTAACCTCATGTTTGCTTAGTATCCACTTTTATATGTGGTCTACTATCAACCTATAGGAGGTAGCTTGCTTACTATTATCTCGTATTTCGCAATAAAGATCAACTTCTACATATCTCAATCACTTTACTATAGGACAATAGACATAGCTTATGTGTTTGAATATGTTTCGGAATATTAACCGATCTTAAATGTGTTAAATCGTATTAATCATTAGATCCCTAGCCGCTATCAACTTCCCATAACCATCTATCTTGGGACGTATTTATACAAAGGCTACCACGCCAACATGTACTCCATACCTAAACGCTACGACAAAGACGTATTCGTACCGACCAAGTAATCCGGGGGGTATCATCCGTCGCTCCCTCGCTTCGTTGCGCTTCGCTGTTCCCGTGTTTTGTAATGTGCTAACGCCCGAGTAATTGTACATTGTAATAAACCCCCTTATAGTCCGTCGCATACCGTACCTATGTGCCCAATACATATCCCATAATCTAACAATGCCACAAAAGGATATACCGTATTCGTTACGACGATCACGACTTCTCAGGCGGCATCGTACTAGGTGCGTTCTCGGCCGTGACCCCGCTATACGCGGGCCGCGCCGCGGGCCCAGCAAGTGAATCCGCCATCGCCTCGTCGTAGCTGGGCGGGGCGTCTCCGAACATAACTGCACCCGCAGTACCTAGCTGTGGGGGATACAAGGGGTCGGCGATCGCGTTCGGGCGCTGCGCCTGTGTTGTTGTAGCTGCTGCTGCTGTTGCTGGGGCGTTGGTCTATGGGGTAGTTGCGGTGGAGGTGAAAAGATATTGGTGACGAGAGCATTTAAGAGCTCTCGCGGTGGGGAAATTCCTGAGAACACATCGACTTTGGAGAGTTTGAGGGGAAGAGTGATAGATTGCGGTACCTGCTTGTGGCTTGAAAAGGGGTTAGAGGCGGGGAGGGGTTGGCCCCAGCTTAGCGTTAGCTTGATTTCGATCTCGTAGCGGCGCGCGATGTTGCATGTCCGAAAGGATGGTGCGATGGTGTTGGGGAGACGTCGGTCTTTCCAGAGGGTCGGGGGAACTTCAAATTCGGCGTCGACGATGTCGTGCGGGTTGTCGAAGAGTGCGATTGGAGGGGAGACTTGAGGAGCGGAGAGGATGACCCATGATGTACGTTCTGTATTTTCGAGATGGTGCACTCGGACAAGTGTATACCCAACTAGAACTATTTCGAGCGCCGTTAAGTACACCTGCTGGTCCCGCGTCATTGTCGGCGCGAGTTTCCGAGCGATCAGCCGGAGGGGCAGAGGTTCGTTGCATGTTACGATGCTGGGAAACGGTATCCGCGCTGACATTTCGATCGAGGGCGGTATTTGGTTGGGGTCTTCTAGAGGGCTCGCTGTTGATGATTTGCCGCCAAATAGGGATCTCCTCTGGTGAGTTAGGGCGCGTGGTCTAAAAGTAAAAGGCCTGCGGGCGAAGGCTTCCTGGCTTGTCCTAGGCGGCCGGGGTGGCTCGACGGGTAAGAATTTGAAGCCGACTTGATATCGCCAGTTCTCCCTGAAGAATCCTGGGCGTTGTATAGTAACCTTGATGTAGTAAAGTATTTCGGCCTCCTGAGGGAAACCCGTGAGCGAAGGTGGTAGAGTGGCCTTAACATGCTGCAACATGAGCTGTTTTGCGCCGTCCATAGTACGAAACCCACTCCCAAACCCTCCTAAACCCAACAAAGAGCTCATGGCCTTTTTTCGTCGTGACAGATGTTGTTGAGGGGGAGCTTAAAGTTGAACTTAAATTCGTGCTGGCCTGGCTGAAGAGATAGCCCAGCGCCGTCGTCTGAGTAGGCCTGAAAGACACGATATAGAATCTTGTGATTCTCAGTAACGATATTACCAATACTACCTGCACCAGGAGCACGGGGTCTATGGTACTCATCGCGGTCGCCCGTCGCTGGTTGAGTTAGGGCGGTACGCGACTCGCCCTCGAGCTTGACAACAACATTGCCAATGATTTCGGGCCGGTGTAAACCCAAGATGATTCGGCCGCTGATGTAGTCAAGGTTCGTATAGAACTCGGGTGGGTTGTCGAGTGCTATTCGTATCGACATTTTGAAATATTTATATCAACTATGAAAGAAAACAAAGATTTGAAGGTTGTAATGGTGTTGAATATATTTCGTTTGGCGGAGGTCTCGGCGCCCAAAGGGATATTGAATCGATCAATGGCGGGTTGAAGCGGGTCCGAAGAACATTACGAGGCAATGGAGCCATTGCCAGTAATTAGCAGCTAAGTATCAGCTCAGCTTAGGTCCCTAGCTCGTCCTAGGTTATTTTACCGCATAACGACAACGGTAATAGCACCTTTGCTAAAAGTAAATTAGAAGTAGGTAGTTGTAAGCCGACGCTGAGCCTCTATGCGTCGTCACAATGTCATATGTCATTGTGGCTTAGGTCATTGTCTTATCGCTAATCTCCTAAAGCTTATCGACTTGACGGATGCACCTATTAATTGAATTCCCTATTTAGGAAAGTACCCGATTTGAGGCCTCCGGGTGGAGAAATGCAATAATCCGAGTTGTGTTAGTCATCTACGAAATGGACACAATCAATCAGAATGTTCCATCTTAACAACACACAACCTTTAATATCTAACTCTTGCTTTATTAACTATTATCTTGATAGGTACCTAATGTACCTATCTATTATCTAATAAATAATCTTGATTTTCCTCTCTAAGGGAATCTATCAAGTGGCCCCATTGTCTATCATACAGCTATCCAAATCATGATCTGGGTCCCAAGTTGTTACTCGTATCTACAAACTTGCCATAAGTGCAGCCCGCGCGACAGCGTCAGTCTCTAAGAGCGAGACTGAATTTATACCTGGTCTAACCCCAAGCGCAGTCACCCAGTGTACACCCTCCGTAGGAACACCAACAGCAAACCGTCTTGGATGTGGGACGCCATTATTATCGATTAAATGGCCCGGACTAGGCGTTACGTCCAAACCTCCAGTCTCGTGACCGTTGATGGTGTGAGGGCGACATTGACCCTTTTCCAATAAGCCTCTAAGAAGCCCATCGGCAGTTTGCGATAGCCTCGGTTCCGCTACGCGCGCCTCTATTAAACCGGTTACACGTACTGTTGAGTCCGGGATCTCGCGGGACATCGCAAGCCATGCCCCGTTGTCAAATTGAACTTCCAACTCCGGACCGATAATAGTTACTATGTTAGCTTTAATTAGCGCAACCAACTGCTCGATGCGCATTCGCGGCGGACCGATAGCCAAGTGGGCATTAAGTGACGAAAAGTGCGAGTTGAATTGCTGTTCGCGAGAAATATCTGAAATTCCTCCGAACTCCACGATTTGGCGCACGTGATTGCGCAAGTCGCGTAGTACATCAATAGCCGCCTTCTGAGGGCTCTCGACGTTCCCAAGCGTAGCCTGCCGGATATCCTCGTCTAGATAACCCAGCAGCCAGTTTTGCCAGGCTTCGGCCGATGTGAAGGTATACCTATCGTACGGTCGTGACATGTACTCCCAGGACCAGCGATTGGTCACGGGTATGTTGTACTTGTCAAGAACTTGGGTCTCTTCAGCACTGCCTGGATGGGCACTAAGGAACTCGGCCCGGAAGTCAAGACGCTTTGGGTTATTCGCTCCCAACATAGTTTCGTAGTACACCGTTTCTACCTCCTTCGCAAGAAAGGGCCATACATGTTCCTGGAAATCCGGTGGGTTACCGGACTCAGCAAGGTTACGGAAAGCAGCGATTACGTCCTCGGTGAGTAGAAGTGGAGTATGGCTCTGGAGGGGCGGTTTTTTGTTGTCGCCGCGAGAAACGTATGGGATACCGCGGCGTGAGCCAGCATATATTCGCGGCTCATTTCCCGAGGGAATATATCGATAACCAGAGATTGTGCGTCCGAAGCGGCCGCCGCGGCCCTCGGTAAGCATAGCTAGGTAATCAAAGAAAGAGAGACCAAGACCACGCACCAGGACCGGTTGGTTGGGATGGATAGAAGAGAGGTCAACATCGGCCGGTTTTGCTGGTGGTATATAACACAGACGGTTCTGTTCAGCAAATGTAGCAAGCTCGAGCAAATATGGGCTTGGGATTAGTGGCAGGTGTCCCTGGGCAAGGACTACAGCAGAAAGGCCGGATAGTGAATCGCCAGTGGAAAGGGTAAGAACCTGGCGCCCATCCGGTTCCTGATCGAGGCTAACCGCGCTGGCAGTGTGTACTACAATTTTTACCTTGTCTTTGTCGTGAACTTGTATTTGATCAAAGACCCATCTTAAGTACCGGCCATATAGAGCACGGGTTGCGTAGTCATTAGGACCTAATCGTGATCCCTCAGGTGCATTCATCTGCCAGTCATATAAGGTCGGCCCTGGGCGTATCGGTCCAGCACAAGTCACACTCTGGTCGGTGTACATGGTCATCTGTGATACGATAGTATTCATTATTAGCTGTGTTGGTTGGTCCGTACGCCATACGCTACCAGCCCCCGGCGGGAACGGGTCAATCATATGAATTGTAAGGTGAGCGTTCGGGGCGAGGATATACGGTACAGATGCACACATACGCTCTAGAACGCTGATACCGCGCGGCCCAGCACCCACAATCGCTATATTAACGTCAGGACCATCGGGCTTGTTATTTAAAGATAACGACCCAAAGTCCTTAATGATCGTTTCGTCGGCAGGTTTGAGTCGATTCGCAACCGTCTCAAACGTTGCAACGGTCGCTCGAAATCGTCTTTGTGCCTCTTCGTCTTCGGGTCTACCGTCATAGATTGGCAATATGCGCCGGGAATCAAGTGGAGGGTCACCAGCATTCTCTAAATCCGCGGCACTCATCGGTTCTATGATGCCCCTGAGTTCCTGAACGCCCCTCTGGACTCGCTCCATCACATCGTTGTTAATTGTCGTCGAGAAGCCGTTATTAGTAAGGAAAAGGGCTGCATCAAAGTTACGCAGGACCAACGCGCCTTCTAGGATGTTGTGTCCTTGAATCGCGATATGATCCACGGAGTCAAAATCAAACTCAGCGGGGTAAACAGGTAAGGCATGCCCGTTGTTAGGAGGAGTGCCGTTGCCGAGGATATTCCCATTGTTAGGCAATCTCATAAGACGCTCAAGAAGATTGATGTCGTTATGCTCAATTGCCATAAGCAAAGCTTGTTGACAAGCACCTGCGGAGTGTGTATCAATAAGCTCGTTATAAAGATCCTGCCTACCGTCTCGAATCGCCGCGTAGAGTAACCGGGCTAGATCATCTCTACGACCTCTTAACATAGGAATTAGCTGAGTGAGGAATTCCGTTTTATACTCATCTTGCCACCAATCAACAATAGCACGGAGTGCCTCGTTATTTTCGTCGGGGTTGATTTGTTCGACTGCTCTTAAGACAAATAGTATGATGTGCCCATTTTTCTCGGCAATTGCAGGTGCTTCTTCAGGATCAAGTCTGGCGCCACTCGCGACCAAGCGACGCAATAGGTCATCTCGACGGGCTATATTTTCTAAGTTCGTAGATTCATCTATCTCGCCGCGTCGAACAACTCTGTCAAGAAGCAAGTTGAGTGCGTTCTGTCGGTCAGGGTCGTCGCCTCGAGTTTCGCGTATCATTGCATCAACTAGATCCTCAAGCATTTTGTAAAGACCATTATCGACCATGCTTTCGATTCCTTGGGGAAGGGAATGTCTGGTCATCTGGTCGAATCGATGCAACCCTAGGTGAGACACCACAATTGAAACTGCTTCTCTGGCTCGATTCATTTGGTCATGGAGTCTTGTATCTCCAGGCTCGGGGGCTGTTGTAGGGTTCATTGCAAGATCCCGTCTTCTGGCATACACATGAACGGTATGGGTAGCAAGATCTGGGCAGCGAATAAATCTTCTAGATCTCGCACGGAGTCCGTCCGGTGGCCGACATTCTATATGAGACTCCATGGCTATTGTACACTGATGGCGCATTTGCCTTCTAGATAATCGCTTGGTAGGGAAGAGATATGGCCAGCGTATGTTTAGATCGGCTCCCCTTTCAAGAAGTACGCGGAGTATATCCGGCCTCAGAGCATAAACGGCGGCAACGAGCGGCGGACGGAAACCTCTAAATATATAAATATCATTGATAACATCCCCCGCAACAGCAGCATACCCGTCGAGGATGCGGTTGATCGCGCCTACATCGCAGGAAGGACGCCAAATCGCTGTTGAAAGGAGTGGTGTGTTCGGCTCGCCATTGGCCCACCTGTCGGGTGGTTCATAGGCACGGAACACTCGCATCTGGCGCGCCGCATCCAGGGTAAATATATTTATGAAGCTGGGTGACTGGAAGACATGAGGAATTCCAAGGGCTAGTCTGATGCGCGAGGGAGACGGCAAGAATCGAATTATCTCCAGAAGAATCTCCGGAGGTAGCCCTGTGATCTCGGGTCGGTTGAGGTTTGGGAAAATATGCGGGACCAGACTGTGTATAGTTCTATTCGAGGAGGAAGAAGACGATGACGAAGACGAAGACGACGACGTCGGAGGTGGCGGCGGCGGCCCGGGGGTCCAGATGGCCCAGGTGGTCCAGGCGGGCCAGGTGGGCCGGGCGGACCGGATGGCGGCGGCGGCGGCGGTGAAGAGGAGTTTGGGGGAGGACCCTGAGGGCCAACTGGGAATGGGCGAGGACGTGGCGGGGGAGGGTATTTACGTACAGGCTCATCTCCGCTGCCATTTTCTCTACGAGAAAATGAAAATGATGCATGTATGCCCTCGTTTCTTCTATTTTCCTCCTCTTTTTTTCTTCTGTTCTCTTCGTTTCGTCTTCTATTTTCATATTCATTTCTTCCTTTGCTCTTATCCTCAAAGGCTTTTTGATGTACTTTTCCACGGCGCATCGCTCGCTCCGCATGTCGCTGCATACGCTTTTCCCAGACTGTCATACGCTGCTCCTCTCCCTTCGAAGGGTATAGTTGGCCGCGAGGGAAGAGAGGATGTCCATATCTTCCCCCTAATTCCCACTGTCGCTTTTTATTGGCTTTCTTCGCAAGATGCCGTTGTATCAGCTTCTCCGCTAGGAATGCACGCTGTGTCTCTCTGATTTCAAAGGCTGGCTTGATGGGTTCCGGCTTCTGTGGGATCAGTTGTATCGGCTCTAGATTTGATCTTACTAGTCTTGGTGGCTTTGGTGGAAGTGGAGTTGGATCCGGTATTGGTGACCGTACACGAGTATTTTTCTTTGGTGGTAAATAGTCCACTCGCTTTTCCTGCCGCTTAGATTTCGTTCGAACGGGCCCCGGCCCGTCAGGCTTCTTCCATGTTGGAAGTGGTGGAAGTTTTGATTTCCATACGTAGTCTGGTGGGAGTGGTGGGATACCCATATCTTTTGCTACTCTGTGCACAAATTCCTCGTCTCTTCCTTGTCTCTTTTCGGAATCTACCATTAAGGCCACCGCGTCAAAATCGGACTCGCCTCGCTTTCTAAAGAGCTCTATCCCCTCTCTGATTTTTCTCATCCGACGCCCCTCTGTTAGGTCGCGCCGCTTTTGACGACGAGCCGCAAAGGTTCTTGGACTGGGGGGGATTTGGGGCGGCCAAAGGTCTCTCGGAATCGGTCCCATGCTCACGTCTCTACGAGGAGGCATTTTCCTTAAAAAGAATTGTGTAATATGAGGTAGGTAAGTTTCTGGTAATTTCTTCCAGTATTGGTGTTAATAGATTACTTGATTAGGTAGTTATCCTGTTATCAGTCGTATGTGATAATGAGATGTCTCTTGGATATTTTTTTCGAGGCAAAGATGCGATGTACTCATCTATATATACTAATGAAAATGATTGAACACACTTGGTGTTGACCTACAGTATAGGTGTTTCCCCCGATGTTGTGATATATCAATATAGGTACACAAGTAACCATTCGCATGTTATAGGTGTGTTTGATTGCTTTGGGACTCTAGATGAACAATGTCTTTATCACTGCTGAGGTATAAGTGAGTTGGGAGTAGGTCTACTAGTATTGAGTATATAAGAGACGCACTGCGCCCTCGTAAGAGAACACAAGGCAGGCATCAATAGTACAGCTCCATCTATCTTGAAATTAATTCTATATATGACGTTCATCAAGGATTATATCTAACAATTACCTCACTCTAGGAACTTTGCCGTGGAGCTACATACCCAAACCCCCTTTCACACTAACATAGTCATCTACTAGATTATTGTTCAGCAGTCATTTTTAAGCCGCAGTTTCATATTCGCAACTTCTGTCTTATTAGCACGCTACTATTACCAACTCAGTTGAAAGCCAGCGCTTATATTGACTAACTATAGTTTAATCAAACTATGGCTCTAATATTCTCTAGTTAGCGAAATTATTTGATTACCCCCATTGAGAGGCTAGCGAGTAGTTGATATAACTTACACATATAACCCCATACCCCCAAACAAGAATTCGACCAAGAGAAACAAAAACCCTAGAAGTTGAGAAGTTTCTACGAAAAGCCATGCCACGTACGGCATAAACCTAAGAGTTACTTCAATGCGCGAGGACGTAACAAAAGCATACCCTTTTCTTATACTCGAGGTTACACCCCTGGTAACACAAAAGCCTAAGGTTTACACTGCATCATGCCTGGTATTTATCAGGTATTATATGCTTAGTGAATATTAGGATAGATTGAACTATCTAAACCTTTACCCCTTTATATACACTCTCACGAGAGCGCTGCACGCATCTTATATACCCATTCCTAATAGATCTACTCCTGAGTCATTTATACCCTAATGAGATTCTACCTCCTTTATCATTTCTTTTTTCTTTCATTTCTTACTACTTCTTACAAGACAGGAAAAACTTGCATAAGGTAATAAGGCATATATCCCGAAATAGGAAATCTTTACTCGCATTTGACACAAAAACCTATATAAGGCAAAAAAAAACCTTAGGCATTGAAATGCTTATCTATAAAAGTTGGTTATAGTTACTTAACCGTACTTGGACCAGATAACTTTCCACTCTCGATATGCTACTAACTATTACTGATGTCTATACCTTAGGTAGTTACTTTAAACATTAGCATGTCCAAAAAAAAACCCTTTCTACATACATTATCTATGTGCATCTTTAACGTATGGTAAGTATTTGTGCATACCAATATTGTAACGTCAAGAGTTACTATTAAGTAACCAACAACCTACTCTAAGCAGGGATCTCTAAAGGTACGTTGAAATAAAAATGATTTATATCATTGATACAGGTGTCAACTACCTACCTATTGGAGTAACTATCAGCCACTTGAGACGCAAAACGATAGAAAGGTATCATTCACCGAAATTCTCCGATTAGCAAGCCAATGAGTTAAAACAAGCTTTCTCCCACATCCCAGTCACTTTACTCGTCTTTTCATCTCATAGTAACGTAAACTTGAGAGTTGCCCTTACGAGTTACTACAATAGCCCGACGCCATCCGAAAAGGTCCCGAGACATGGGATCTTATAATTTTGAAAAAGCAAAAAAGGGGTATGAAAAAGGCATGGGTCTGGACTTTTGTGTCTGTGGGGTCTTTAACTCAACCAAATTGTTTGATGTCATATTGTAAATTGAATGAGCTCAGGATGTTGTAAGATGTATATATATGCCTTAGGTATCCGTTTTAATTATATGCTGAATGGGTAGGACGACATGATCCCTACCTAGGTACCTAAGCTACGTTCCCCTCCCCATTCTAGAACATGTCAATTTAATTGGCTCTAAATGAGACAGACCTACATATAGAAGCCGTAAGCCAAGCAATCCCTGCAATCGACGGTTCCTTACAGCTGCTACACAGCATAGCCCTGCCACGGCTGATCTTACCCTCGAATAGGCACCGGGTATTGGCACCACCACCAGCTATTTTGGGTAACTGTCATACTGTAGTAGTTATCCACAGGCTGAATGATAACCATTTTTTTCGCCGCTACGTAGAAGGTTCTGTGACGGTTAAATTAAATGATCAGCAGTCTATATCCATACTCGTAATACAATTGTGTCCGTAATCTGTCCACGGAGCCGTCATGGTCACGTTGTTTGTAGAAGGAGGGGAGAGTATAAGTGGTGAAGCTTGGCCTCGATGTTGAACTTTTGACTAACCGTTCCACCAAGCGACCGAACCAAACGAACCGATCTGATCAGAACTTGACACCTACTCGAGAAAGCGGCATACATTAACAAATAACAAAGATGATGTTTAAGAACTACGCCTTAGTCTTCCTCTCTATCGCTTTCCCTTTGGCGACGGCATCAGCGCTGCCAAAACAGGACTCTACAGTCACAAAGAAGGCGTGCTGGGCTGGCCAGATCCATTACCCTTGCAATGGGTCGACAACAGGTTGTACTCCTGACGGAATAATGGTAGGTCCTAGTACTATAGCGATGTATATGATAGACATGTATATGCTAACTGTCGTCTAATTTAGGTTAAATGTCAAAACTCGAGCGATGCTATGATCTATGCCAACATGTGCAACCTAGGATCCCAAGGAAAGGGTACATGCGCCTACGACGCTGATTGCAATGCGGCCTGCAGTACTTAGGTTACTGGATTAGGTACTTGGACAAGTCAGCTAGGTTAGGGTCATTTATAATTTGGCAAATGGGAGGAGTTGTGAACTATTGATTTCTATTTGAGGATTCACTTATACCAATACGCTGTTGACAGGGCAAACACAGGTTGCCAACAAGGGAGCATGGAGTCGAAACTAGCGATATTCAAAAGTTTGTTTGAAGATATTATACCAGTACTTAGTCTCTTCGTGATATTTCATTATATGCAAAACATTAACGTCGCATTATGGTGATATGGGTACCCGTTTAGCATGTTCTAAGATGATATAGATATATTATAGCTACAAAGTATAAATGAGTATAATCAAGTAATTGATAGTAATATATCAGATAAGTACCTAATTAGATTTATATATTCAAATGAGCGGACAATATATGTACCTAGCTTCATAATCAACATTATTCATCTTCTATAAACTATCTATATGTAGGTATATCTTAGTAATGTACTTCACGCCTAATTCAATAGCTACCTATTTAATAGATATATCTAGCTTGATTAGGTTAAGGGACTGCTGCAATGCAATAAATATCCGATAACGCAATTGACTCATTCCATTCGCTCACTCCGAATAAGAATTTCACATAAATTCACATATTTCACCAAGTCAAATCTTAACTACCTCCTACTTACATGCTAAACCCATAATCACCCTTTTTCTAAATTTACAGCCATGGCAAATCGTACCCCAAACCCACTCGGGGAAATCGTCAACGGTAATACCGCTCAACGTCCGTCCCGAGATACGAAATTAATCGGCCGATATGTGACGCTAGTCGGCCTGTCCGCAGCCCATGCCGATCCGTTGTATCCACATATATCGGGTCCCGAAAACGCACATCTCTGGGACTACATGTTTGAGGGGCCGTACGACGACATCGCTGAGTACCGCTCTAGTCTAAAGGCTAAGGAGACCAGCCAGGATCCAATCTTCTATGCCATCCTATTAAATGGAAAGGCTACCAAGGCAGAAAACACAGAAAACGACGAGAGCGGTAGGGTCGTTGGTATAGCCAGTTATTTACGTATCGATCCGGGACACCGCTCTATCGAAGTCGGTCACCTCATGTACTCGTCGCAACTACAGCGCACACCTGCTGCTACCGAGGCTATGGTAGGTAATATCCAGTGCGGTAGAGTTTGGTTACTAGCGAAATAACCAAATTCTCGGGAGTCTACTAAGAGAGCGGATCACTAATTCTTCATAACACAGTACCTGATGCTACGCCACGCATTCGAGGACCTAGGATACCGAAGATACGAATGGAAGTGTAATTCGCTCAACGCGCCAAGTAGCAGAGCGGCTCTACGTCTCGGATTCACATGCGAAGGGCTCTTCAGGAAGCACTTGATCGCCAAGGGCCGCAATAGAGATACTACGTGGTATTCTATCGTTGATGACGAGTGGCCTGGTGTTAAGAAAGCGCTTGAGGCTTGGTTGGATCCTGCTAACTTTGACGGCGAGGGTAGACAGCGGAAGAAATTAGAGCAGTTTAGACGATGAGGAAGCTTGAGTTGTTCGAAGATTAGTTAGTCGATAATACCTAGGGAATATATTAGGTACTATATCACCTAGGTACCTTTAAAATAGAAAAGCCTTTACGTATAATACATGTAGGTAAATCAATATTTCCCTTGAAGTGCCTATATAAAGTACATAGCGATAAGTACCTAGGTACTGGATTTAAAGGGGCCGCTCTAAGGGGTAATGCCAATAATTACTTTCAGCTGGCAGACAACTGTCACCTATCAAACATTCCTTAAATATCACAACCCACTACCCGTACTTTGTACATCCAACCATCATCACGCAACAATCCTCTACTCTCCAAATGAACATCAAACTCGGGAATTCTAACCCCGAATTTGGCTTGTTGATGGCCGCTACCCCTTAGATATCTAGTAGATAGGCAGTGCAGCACCTAGAGCCCCTTAACAATGTTGCGCACCCAGCTTAGAAGAATTGCACTACCTACACCTAATCGTCTATCCGGGGCCGGTCTATCGAAGCGCACTCTTAGGACCGGGTCTTACATCCCGGGAGAGGGGCTCCCGGCCGTTCCGATCCTCAGGCCGACGCTATGGGCATTTGCCGCTACAGCCACCATCTTTCTCGGATGCGCTGCGTATGACGTCCGTCGAGACGTCCAGAACGCCAAGAGGAAAGGGCTTTTCAAAGACGGAAGCGTCGCTTCGTACGAAGACTTAGAAGACGCCAAGCGTCGCGGCCATACCGTGCACTCCCTGTTCCGCAAACCCGCGCCGCCGAAATGGCACCTCCCGGGCCAGATCGGCGAGATGCTCGCGGGGCACAACGACGCGGAGAAATTGATCTTGGGGTTCTCGGCTCTCCACATCAGTATCGTCGGGGCGAGCTCTCTTGCCCCGGCGGCGTTCATGCAGTATTTTGCGCACACGCCTTGTTTTAGCCCCAACTACACGCTCCTGACGTCCATGTTCGGCCACGCCGGTCTGCTCCACGCCGGGATCAATACCCTAGCCTTGCTCCAGATGGGCCCCGAGGTCGCGCGGTCCCGCGTCTTCGAGGGCAACGGCAGTCACTTCGCGGCTTTCTATCTGTCGGCCGGCATATTCTCGTCCCTGGGGTATCAAGTCGCGACTATCTTGCCTACCCGAACTTACAAGTTCAACCGTCTCCTTCCGGGCCTAGGAGCTAGCGGTGTGCTTTTCGCTAGTAAGTAGCTTATAGCGTCGTTTTCTCTAACTACTTCATCACTGCATCTTGGAGCATGGGGGGGTCGTTGACTATTCGAGATGTATTTTATTGACTCTTGTTGCAGTGCTAGGAGCATGGGCCACGCTGTACCCGAATGCGCGGCTCGGCATCATGTTCATTCCTGGGAGCTATACCGTTGAGAACTTCATGACGGCTCTTGTACTATTTGAGACATACGGGTTGTTCATCGGAATCCCGTTCCTACGTTTCAGATACGGGGCGCATCTCGTGGGGCTTGGGTTGGGATTTGCGTACGTATACTTTGACGGCAAGAAACACTTGTGGCGACCTGCCCGGAAGCTCGCGTTTGGTGGCATGAAGTTCGTCAAGATGGTATAGCAGTGTTTGGAATGTATGGCGGGATTAACACACAATGTGTGCATTCTAGGGGACAAGTAGGTAAGGAATAACAATATTTGGCAAGTCAAGGCTTTTATACCATGTTGACGCTTCCAGTTATAGTTAACTCATCCCTTATTCAGGAGCTTGGTATCTCGTCTAGGATTGAGTATCAGTAATGTTGACGGTCATCTAGGCCTATACATGAGAAGAGTACATGAATAGATAAATAGCAAGCGAAGAACATGGGTCAAAGAGCGATGTTTCAAATTATTTATTTGACTGGTATGATACTAGATATTCTACGATTTATTTTACATTATGTGGATATCACAACCTCTAGATAACACTTGACGAAAGACGACGCCATTAATCTTTTAGTAGGTGGATTTAATAGTTGTATTTTATTTCCCATCTCCACGGCTGTCAGCAGCCGCCAAAAGCTCATTTATGTACCCGGGTATCCATTGTGGGGGTACTTCGGAGCGGAATATGCCAGGTCCGATCAACTTCGACCAGTCGGATTGAAGCATTTCTTGATTAGCGAAGCGGCAAAAACGTAATTTATAGTTAACGTCAATTGACGGAAGGTCCGCAATCTTTAGATTCGATGGATTGACGCACCCATTCCACTTTCTACCATCTATTCCTCTCTAATAACTCTCTCCACTCAACATTACAACTTCTTACCTATATCAGATAAGCATCGTACGGTATCAATCCGTGATAGAAATGATGCTGTCTTCATCGCGAAGAGCAGCCACATTGGCTCTAAGAGGTCCGTCCCTCTTTTCGAAAGAGATATCTAATTGTAGTATATTAACATTCATATTCAGCGAAACCGACACCTCGTATTGTCCCTTTACAATCCCTCGCCTCCATCTCGACCACCTCTAAGAACGATGCTACGTCGTGACCCCCCACGGCTCTACGGGTCTAGCCCACCGTCCGCGCAGAGAAATCCCGCTCGCCAGCCAAGAACCCAAGAAAGGCGTAATCCAATATACCCTGTACGTCATATATTCGTCTTCCTTTCCTATCGAAATCGGTTGAGGGGGCGAAAGGGAAACTATGGATATTACGGGAACTAAAACTAACTCGCCACCTCAGGACCACACTCGACCAGATCGCTAACTGGGCGCGGCAGTCGTCCTTCTGGCCGATGACGTTCGGACTCGCGTGCTGCGCTGTAGAGATGATGCACGTGTCGACACCGCGATACGACCAGGACAGGCTAGGAATTATTTTCCGAGCGTCACCACGACAGTCGGATATTATGATCGTGGCAGGTACACTGACTGACCAACAAGATGGCGCCGGCGCTACGACAAGTGTACGATCAGATGCCGGAGCCGCGCTGGGTCGTCAGCATGGGCAGCTGCGCCAACGGCGGCGGTTACTACCACTATAGCTACAGCGTCGTGCGCGGCTGCGACCGCGTTGTTCCCGTCGACGTCTACGTCCCCGGTTGCCCACCCACTAGCGAGGCCCTCATGTACGGCATCTTCCAGCTGCAGCGCAAGATGCGGAACACCAAGATCACGAGGATGTGGTACAGGAAGTAAACGTGAGGGTTAGAGATGGAGAGACGGTAATGAATGGGAACGGCAAGATCATCCGGGTCCGGCTCCGGCTTCTTCGGCCGAGTCCCGACGGCGCGGCGATAGATCACCTTTCTCTTTTGTCGAGGAGTGACGTACTGTACATAAGATACCGCGGGCTATATACATTCGCATTCGCATGGCTTACGCAGCCTTTACGCCCACCTCTTGAGAAATGCAATTGGGATTTGCCTAGTTCTACAAAAGGAAGTTATTTGTTCTAGTTCAACATTAAGTTGTGTAACTTGTATGTTTCTTATCAACTTCATGAGGTCTCGAGTAGAATGGTTAATCTATACGGAAACTACGCTTGACTTTTTGAGTTTTATGCGAAACTTCCCTATTTATTAAAGGAGTTAGAGGGGGATATTCGAAGAAGGTAGACTTCAGGGGTTTAATTGCCGAAGTATATCCGGTTGGTTACATCTTTCTAACTTACACTTAGAATTACAGTTTAACTAACTCTATTATAAACACCGTAACTAAGCTTCTTTCCAAGTGACGTATTTGTTTTTAATGTTTCTAATTCAAAAGACTTCCTAGCAACTTGTAATATTATGAGCCATGAGTGATAACACTCCCCTTCTTGGTGAGTCTGTTCCTATATAGGGTACATCCTATCTAGGCTATGATGTCAGAGCTACTTTGAGTCTCGGGTCAACCCATAAGCATAACCAAAGTCACATAAACCCCCAAATTAGCATTCACATTCACATTCATATTTAAATAAAACGTCATATTCACAAGCCAACAAGTCAAATAGGTCCAGACCAAGATCCCAGTGATATCCGATATGAAACCCAGCACCACAATGAAGCACTGCTGGCGAACTGGAAACCGGTCTATCGTCGGACTCAAGCGGCGTTATCGCGCTTCATGAACTCGCGCACTAAACATTGGCTCGTTCTGGTCCTTATCATCCTTGACGTCGCGGGCATCTTGAGTGATATCTTCATCGCCTTGATCACGTGCGAGATCGGCGTAGAGCACGACGCGTGGGTGGCGCCGACGAGGAACGCGTTGACTGTCTTCTCGCTGAGCTTGAGTTGCGTGTTTTTGCTCGAGCTGCTGTTGGAGTTGGTTGTTAACGGTTGGCGGTGAGTTTGGTCTGAGGAAACAAAACGAAACAAAATAAAACACAACTCCCCCTTTTTTTTTCTTTTTTCCCCCCTCCTCCCCTTATTCCATCCTTGGCAATCCCGGTTCTAACCCGCCCCTTTTTTGTTTCCCGCCTCAACAGGTACTTGTCGAGCAAGCTGCACTGCTTCGACGCCTTCGTTATCGTCGTGGGCTTCGCGGTCGACCTGCTCGAGCACAACACGGCGGAAGAGATTGCGTCCCTGGTCGTCGTGTTGCGGCTGTGGCGCTTCGTTAAGATTGTGGATGAGTTCTCGGTCGAGGCGCAGGAGCAGACGGAGGAGCTGCGCGTGCGCATTCAGGAGCTGGAGACGCGCAATGCGGCGCTAGAGGCGAGGCTGGAGCTGGTTTAGACGGTTGGTTGGTGGTGGCATGTTGGCTTCACGCGGAAGTGCCTATCGTCTTCAAGTTCGGACGTCGGTGATGTCAGGGAACTAAGGTTATAGGTGTATGCCGGGAACTTTACTTTTCATTATGAATATTCGAAGAGGGTGTGGGTGCACTGCCAAGGTTTTGGTCTCGTGGTTTCAAAAGTCATCCGCCATCCCATGTTTGCCCGTATGAGAGATACCCCCTTGTTACTTGTCAATATCAAGTCTATTATCAAAATGTAAACCTTAATTATCCATCTATTCAGCACTGCGTCTGATCATTACATATAGTTCTCTTAAGGTTCTTTCTTAAACAGGGACAACGATAACAATGCTGAGAGAAGCGTAGATAGAAACGTTAACTTGACTCTCTCCCCAAGTTCGCCGAAGCACCCCCTCAATACCTTACTCTCACCGCAAAACTTACATGCGAGGCGCTCAACTTAGGCTCTATGCTAAGCTACATACAACCTTACAGCGCCCATCCGAACTTTATACAGCGGACGAGGGGGGCCAGGCTCTCCTAGGATCGAGATCATTCATATTTGAGCGCCTACCCACCGGGCAGAACTCTGCTCGAGAAGAGAGACGAGGGGCCATGCACTGCCGAAGTATCGTCCCTTCGGACGCGTCAACATTAGACGGTCGTGCTCGTTCCCTCCGCCGAGATATTTGAGCCCGAAGGAGGGAGGGCGACTTATAGTTCCGCCTAGGCGACGCCCCTTTTTCTTCCGTTTTGTACAAACTTGACTTGCAAATAATCTGGAGAGTATAGCGTCTACCTAGGTATTCTACTGTCTATTACGAAACTGTCACTCTTGTCTCGTCTTCGGTCTTTCTCGTCTTCGCCATTCTACCCAGTCATCGTGAGATAACATAGGTTACTCAGTCTAGTCTTCAGCTGTCGTCTTCAACACCATGAAGGCAGTTATATTCCGAGTTGCGTTCCTCGCCGCCGCCGCCGCTTCGGTGGGTGCTCAGACGACGGATAGCGACGACGGGTCTTCCTCGTCTACTGCTACGACGGCTTGCGCTGCCCAGAATATCCTCGATACTTGTCTCTCTACGACCGAGAGCTACGTCAGTCTTTGCGATACGACTGACTATATGTGCTTGTGCGATAAGTATACCGCCATCTTGACGTACGGGTCCCTTTTTAATGCCAGTTTCTATATAACCAAGTTACAAAATGCTGACTTCATCGCGATAGCTGCTTTAACAACTGTCCCAACGACAGCCGGGCACCAAGCTACCAACAACAGAAGGATCTCTATTGGTGAGTTGAATTCCCCTTATCTACCCCTTTCTCACCTTCTCACAACAAAAATACTTAATCTATCTTCCCTACTACCACTAACACCGCAAAACCACAGTACGAACGCTAGCTTATACGCCACCACCTCCGGCAACCTCACCGTCAGCCGCAGCATCACGTCGACTTCGTCCTCGGAGACGACCACGACCAGCGAGGGCGTTGTAAAAACCGCCGACGTCACGTCTGCCGCGAGCTCTCCTACTGCCACCGAACCCACCCAGAGCGGCAACAGCGCCGGCGAGAGGGTAGTTCATGCTGGGGGCAGACTCGCCGCTCTTGCCGGCGTCATCGCGTATTTCCTGTAGACTCACGCTTGCTTGCGCTTTCTACGCACTGTAGGTGGGATCAGCGGCGAGGGATGCCTCCTTACTACCTTGGGAGGGGATATATCGCGATGTTCTTCGCTGTGTTAGGATGTTTCGCTGTCGGATGAATAGCATGTGTCCAAAGAGCTGTTGAGAGGAGGTTGTATTGGGGAGTTTATGTACACTGCGATGGTCCCTTTTTGTATTTGAGTTTTTACCCCAGATGCCATGATGTATTCGACATACCGTTGCAGTTAAATTTAGGTGTTACATATAATACACTATCTATCTTAATGTCCATTAAGACAATCAAATATATGTCCTTCAAGAAAGCTTTACCCCTTTTTATGGAAGAATCTTTGTTGAATACTTAGTATACTTCGCTATTAAGAACGCCAGCCGGAGTTTACTAAAATATTGTCAGATTATACGTTAGGTACATTGTCTATATCGTCTTGCTAGTATCGCTTACTATAATCCAGTTTAGAAACCTGTCAATTATAAGATAATTTCACTCCAAATCTCACCACATAGCTCCCACCCCATCCCCTGATAACGCCCTCAACCCAGCCTCGATTTCACCAAAGACCCCAACCCCCTTGCTCCCAAGCGCAGTCCCTACACCAACAGCTACCGCTCCTACATCCCTCATCCGCCTATACCCCGCCGCGTCCTCGACACCGCCGACCCCTATTATCTGCACATGCGACGTCTCCGGAACCGCGTCAAACATCCGCCGGAGCGTCGCCACGTTACCTAGTGCTAGAGGGTGTACTAGGGACAAGGAAGAATTAGTATCACCATAGCCATATGTCTCCTCAGTAGCTCAATCCAAATACTTCAGACAGGGAAAGGGTAAATATAGAAATATAAGAAAGAAAGAAAAAAGACGTCTTACACGGCGCCCCCGCCATCCCCCCTATCCCACTCATCCCCGTCCCAATCCCATCCCCCAACGCAGGCCCGTTCCCCCCATCAAGCAACAAACACGACCCCAGCGTATTCGTCGCCGTAACAAAGCTCGCCGGACAAGCTCCCCCAAAACCAAGCTCCTCCCCTCCCCTCAGCGCATCCACCAACATATCGAACTGACCAGCATGCGTATACGGCGGGATTTTAACGCCCCACGGCACCACGCTTCCTTTCGCATCTCCCGCACCCCCACCCCCCCCTACTTTTGCCGCAGCACGTGCCACAACATCTAAATACGACCTCAACCCCACCGCAGAATACGCCGGCGGCGGCGCCCCGGGGATATTCGGACAGCTGAGATTAATCTCCACGGCAAGCAGCGCGCCGATTCTCGCCGCCAGCGCCGCGATCCGCATGTAGCACTCTGCGACGTCCTCAGGCGTCCCGGTAACCGAGACGATGAATAACTTCTCCTTCCCCTTCCCCTTCCCTTTCTCCTCCTCCTCCCCCCCCTTCATCTTCCCCCTTTCCCTCCCCCCCCTCACAACCGCCTCCACAAACCCCAAATACCCATCCAGCGACACAGGGCTATACCCCATATTATTCAAGCTAGCATTCACATTCCCACCACTCCCACCTACACCTCCACCCCCACCTACACCCATACCTACACTCCTATCCCCCCCTAACCCAGAAGCAGCACCAACAACATGCGTCCCCGCGTCAAAAAGCACATACCGATGCCTCGCCGAATCGTGCGCGAACCCGCGCAGCAGCGCCGTCCGAGTCGTCACCGCGCCCGTCGACGGACAATCGAATAGAGCCTGGAGGTCCTCCTGCGTCGACGCCCACGGGTTCGCCGAGTTGAGTAGGGGTGGGCTGATGAGGATAGGGGGTGGGAGATTAGTCTTCATCGTTGAGGATTCTGTTTTTTTTTTTTGTTTTTTTTTTTTTTTTGCCGTGGAGAATGAGTCTAGATGGTTGCGTGATGTTTAGTTTAGACTAATTACCTCGTAGTATTTATTCACAGTATGCTGGGTATATTATGTATGTGCTTATATTTAAAACTACATGTAAGGTAAATGTTAAAGCTTGAGATGGAGATAGAGATGAGAATCCATTGATAGATAATAATTAATGGCGGGGTCACAATTCATAATAGATAAGAGTAAGTTAACAGTTATCGTATCTCTCCCCCTTTCCCATGCCACCACCTGTATTAGGATAGTAGGATTTAAGCCAACTTAGATGTTCAACGCATCATTCAAGTAACAAAATCACTACCACGTTCAAATACGCCTTGCTACTTATTACGATATAGCTTCAAGAGTTATATTGAGTATAGTAGAGAATTCAGTCGCTTCGACTTCTTCCATACCCCATACCCTATACCCCATGCCTACCAGCCATAGCCGATATTGCCTCGCTCTTTACCTATAGTAAGAAATCGAGGTCGTTCTAATGCAGAACGCAGTAACACTGTAAGAAAAATAACTCCGCATACGAATAACCCATTGCTGCCAAACCTAGTCATAGAATAATCAAAAAGTATACAGTTTCATTAAGATCGACAGCAGACTATTAACCGCCGCGACGGCCGCCAGTGCTCATCAGTGTGATCTTCTGTTTCTTCTTCTTCTTGCCGTTCGAACCACCACTAGGTCCGTTGCTCGGTCCGGCCTGCGTAGGTTCGATGCTTAGAGCTTCCATCTGCATTGCTATTTCAGCAGCGTCGAGGAACTCATCGTCTTTTAGCCAGCCGTCATTAATATCGCGCTCTGGCACGGGTTCTAATTGTGGCGAAGCAGGAATTGCTCGCGTTCCCCATACTGTCTTCGATGTTGACGGACTGGTCGACATGTCTGCGAGCTGGCTGAACCCCGGTCGGGGGTTTGGCGGTGACGTACCTTCAACGGCACCAAGCGGCTGGAAGTCTTCCGAGTTCATAGTAGGAGTCGGCTCGAACTTGTCCTGGTTGGCTTGATCAAAGTGTCGCCTGGCGCTACGTCCGATAGCAGAGGCTTCTAAACGTTCTGCCTGTAATCTTTCGCGCTCCTCCTGAGCCGCCTTGTCCCGATGTGACTTACGTCGATGCTCTAAGTCGGCCGAAAATGTCTCTAAAACGTCCGCAGGAACTATGTCCGTCCAATCACACTCCAGGAAACTTACAACGCAGCCGTGAGGAAGATGTCCCAGGTACTTGGCCCGCTTCCTTAGAGTGTCATCCACCACGTGGCCGGTAGTGATATGGTCGACACGCGGGAGCAGCGTCGAGGGGAAGTTTGAGAAATCCCCAAATTTAGTTTTAAGAATTCGAATATCGAGAGGCGATAAATATAGGTGTGGAGGCGCTGTGTAGAAATAAAACTTCTGACTGGCTGGTTGCTTTGCTTTCGAGGTATTACCTGGCTGTAATAACTCTTCGCTCGGCTCATCGCGAATCTTGTCCACGGCTGTATTGATGGCTTTGACAGCACGTTGCGTCCAACCTCCGTCTTCTTGACCAAATTGCATCTCGTCCGCTAGTGCCTGATCCCGTAAATCTGTCATCTCCCTTTCATACTGCCCTACTACGTAGTCGTTTGTCCCTTTCATCACTCTGGCATAATCCATAACGTTTGCCGCAAAATGCCACGGGATATCTTCCCCCAAATTAACGACATCCTGGCCTCCCTCGTTTGGTAGGGCCAATGTAGAGCCTGACTCTCGTACCATCAATCTTAGTACGACATCTTCCCCTGGTCTCGGCATAGGATTTTCTTGGCCGGCATAGAAACGCACTGGCTTGACTTCGGAAAGCCGGAACGAGTCCTCACATATAGGGCATTTCTTCCATCTCGCTTCTTTCCGGGGGCTCGGCTCGTCGTCGTTGGTCGAATTCATGAATCGCAATAGGCACGGCAAACAGAATATGTGGCCGCAGTGCGCCATGCGAGGGGCTACGGGGTCTGACAGGCAGATTGGACATGCTGTAGTTTGGGATTCGGCCGAAGCTATGATTTGTAGTACGTCGGACCACTCGAGATACTTGTCGGCATCCGCGGCTTGGGAAGAATAATCCCCAGAGGGTGAAACTACAAACCGATAATTGGCATGAACAAACCTGAAAACATTTGTAAGCACAACTTAAACCAACTAATGACTCGCGGGGTGAAATCAACGCACCTTGCCTTATCAACGGCATGGTAGCCAGAACCGGGGCCCCAGGTAGCATGTCTACGACTCGATCTAGGATATTCGTGATGATTACGCGTTGGGGCGGAGTAGTTTAAGAGATGGGTGATGGAAGTTTGGCCTCGGCGGCTCGAAGTGTTTCTGACGGCCCTCTATTTCAATGAGTCAGTTATCTTATATAGTACTATAACTACATTGTATATTAGGTATACAATTAGTTCACGGAGTCTACTTACGAGCTCTGCCATGGCATCATCCTCATTCAGAGGCCTTCGCTGATTCCGGTGCTGCTTCCTCGACCCTTGTCCCTTCCTCGGAGCTGAATTCGGGAACGACGGGCTCGACAGACCGGAACGGCGAGAATTGGTTTCGAAGCTGGGCGCGGGAACAGAGATGGGTTGGGAGTTTGGAGTATAGGGTGTCGGAGAAGAAGAGGATTTGCCTCCCAGGTTTGACGGGCCAGAGCTCATGGTGTTGATGGCTGCTGACTTTGAGGCCAGGCTCGTCCTATCGAGAGGATGGCAAACACAGCGCAAAGAGCTGAAGATTAACGTCTAGCGACGTCATGCAAATACAACAACTACTACTAATTCCGCTAGAAGAACAAAAGAAAGAAAAAAAAGGAAATAAATTATCAATAAATTTTAAAATAGAAGGTTTCGTTTAGTGACAAGAATCTGAAGATTCTCTCATCAATGATAAGAGTTGTTTTGATTGGTATTTGGTCGGCAATTCGCAATTCGAGGGGTCCAGACTGGACGGACCCCGGAGGTTTGAGAAGGAAAGAGTGGAAAGAGTCACCGGCGGGGCGAAATCCTTAGTGACGATTCGATGTCACTTCAACGTGGGACGACGCTGCCGAAACCCGCCACCTGCCTGTGTAGTTAGCGCTACTTTATAGTCCACCGTATATTACCCATATTATATAATCGTTGTACCTTTCCAACTTGCGAATATAAAGATTGTTATATAGTTGTTTATTACTAAAACAATGAAACAATCAGATCCTAATTCTACTACCAACATATCGGGTATGCTAGAAACATACAACCAATCTCTCACTTACAATCAATTTACACATGCATATCACTTGTCGTCCTAACACTTGAGATTAAATCCCTCTTCAAAAAGGTAAATAATTCCTTAGAACTACCTAACCTATCCATTTATAGCGGGATTTAAAGGCAACAATACGTAGTACATAATTCCAGTCCGAAACAGTATACTAGAGTAAACCCTCCTTTCCCGAAATCATATATGCGCGAAGAAAAAGTTTTAGCCGGCTCCGTAAGATACTTGTCTATTATGCCGCTTTTTCTACGTATCCCAATTACCTCCAGTCTGCATCCAAATCGTGTCCTATCTGACTATCCAACCATATAGTCCAGTCTCTTTCCTGACTGGACGTCAATGCCTAACTGCCACCAATCACAGACTTCCATCACTGCACTTCGCGACCCTGGATTTTCATCAACCCCTCAACAGCCTAAACTTGACTTGATCATGTTGGAAAGCAAAATTGCATCAATCGTGAAGTAACGCAGGACGATAAAGACAAGACGGAACGCCGTCAAGTTCGACATGGCTCATCGGAACGTAATAGGAGCTACCAGCAAGAAAAATTGAGTTGAATAAAAAAAAAGGGAGGCCAACCACCCCGCACCATCCAAAACAGCACGAAGCCCTTTCGTAAACCGGAAGAATAACGTATTATCTAGGTAAACGATCGAGGAATGCTGAGTGAACAAGTTTTATGTACAAGGAAGTGCTTGACAGTGACTATTGCCCTATCGGCACCTGTCGTAGCGAGTCGACGCAAGATGGGGAATCATAAGCTTCAAAGGAAATGAAGAGGTTGACAATAGTGCCGAAATAATACTCAAAGCAAAGAACAAGCCATTAGCGTTTATTTGCTAGACAGCTTGCTTTTAACCTTGCCGAAGATGGAGCTAAGTCTGCTCTTCTTTTTCTTCTCAGCCGCAGCGCCATTGGCTGGCTTGGCAGGGCTGGTCGGGCTAGTCGCCTCAGTCGGCTGGGCCGTAGTTTCGGGAACAGCCAGGGTAGCCGGAGCGGTGGGTTTAGTGGTCTCGGCGGGCTCAGTGGGGTCGGTTGGGACTCTCTTAAGTTCAACAGGCTTTACGGTTTCCTGGTGGCCGTTGGCACCGTTGGCACCATTCGCACCGTTGGCAATAACTTCTGTCGACTCTGCTGGCTTAGCCGAATCTTCCTTGTCAGCGTCGACAGCTTTGACCTCCTTTAACAACTCAGCTTCAACGGCCTTCTTGTCCTCGACTGCTTCCGTGTTTGCAGCGGCTTCCGGGGCTTTTCCAGCCTCGATGATAGATTCCTTGACTTCAGCAGGTACCTCAGGGGAGACTTCTTCGCGGGTCTCCTCCTTATTCGTGGTTCCGATGGCATTTTGAACAGACTCTGGAAGTTGTGCCTTAACCGAGTCAGGCAGATTCGCGGCTGCTTCGATAACAGAGGCTTGAGCTACGGTAGCGGCATCTGTAGCCTTCTCAACAGCGATGTCCTTGGCAGCAACAGCACCAGTGACTGCAGCGGCGCCGACAGCAGTAGCCGCAGCCGCAACAGATGCAGCAGCCTCGCCGGGAGTAACAACATCCTCCGTCTTCTCGGTGCCTTTCCCAGCAGTGCCTTCGGAGGTAGTGGGGGCTTCCTTTACCTTGTCTAGAAGCTCGCTCTCGACCTCGGCTTTCTCCTTGACCTCCTCTGCGATGCCGCTAGCTTCGGGATCAACGTGTGCTTTCTCCTGGCTCTCTCTTACTACCTCAGGAACCTTTGGCTCGAGGGGTACGCTCCCCGCCAAAACAGCAGTTGTAGACAACGGCGCGGCAGAGTTCAGGGTAAGGGGCAGGCCACCTTCGAGAATTAGACACTGGATTCAAATTGGGACTGAAACAATAGCGCAGCTTACCTGGAATGGTGTCGCTCTTCTCGTACGACTCGGGATCTAACTTAACTTGGTCGGTAGTGCCATTGGCAGTAAGACCCTGGGGGATCTTCTCGCCCGGAGCAAGCTTGATAGGGTTGACGGCTCCAGCAGCAGCCGGCAGGGGGTTTACTCCAAAATCGCCGGCCCCGTCGAGTTCCGCAGCGGGGGTCTCGGGAAAAGTGCCTGGAAGTTCCTCATTCTTCTTCTCCAGCGGCACAGCTGCAGCCAAAGCAGCAGTTGTAGAGTCCGGTGTAACAGTATTCATGATAGCAGCGGTTGCAGGCTCTTCTTTAATAATACGATCAGGGGTTAGGATGTTATTCTCGTTACCGCTCTCGTCAATTTCTTTCGGTGCGGTGTGGTCGGTGACCCAATTACCGTCGACGACAAACTGTAATGTAAGGTAAATAGTTAGCTCAGAGTCGAGATGTGTAGGTAAAACTAGAGGTTAAGTGAGGTTTCGTGGTATATTTCAGTGGCGCAATACTGCGAAGAAAAAAAGAGAAGATGGAAGAAAATAAGAACAAAGAGAATTTGCGCATGAAGTTGGGGAAAGCTCAACAATGACAATTCTACCTAATGCAAGGTGCCGCAGGACCCGAAGTACAAGCAGCTGTAAACAACCTTAGTCTGCCTTAGGTAGCTAAGAGTCCTACAGCATCTGCGTCAGGCGTTAGGCGTCAGGGACAAGGCTCCCTTCTCAGGAAAACAACCGGATAGGGCGATATCTGTCAAGGATGACGCTGTTGGGGTTCCACAATGCAAGTCGCCTATGCCTGCCATGCGCTTGCAAGTTTTCTAAGCACCTAAGCACCTAAGCACCTAGTACCTAAGCACCTAGGTCATGTAGGCACTTAATAAGTGACGTCTAGATTTTTAGACTAGTGCCAAATAGTGTCACAAGACCCTTCGAAATTTAACAATAACAATAGCGGTCGTAACGAAGGCTTGTAAATGCTTGTTTGTAGGTATCCATCAATTGCCCATGGAAGTATAGCGGCAGTATAGCGTATAGCAGAAGCACTATAGCTAGATGCATCATCCGTGGTTGGAATAGATCACTCCAATACAATTGACCTATCAGAATCGAGCCCGCCTTATTTTTTGTCGCATTCGTAGTCGCCTTGCGTCATACGTGGTTCACGGAGTAAATGTTTTGCATCGGCCGCACACGCACGAAGGCGGGGAGGGGATCCAGCGGATTCAAACTCCAATGGCCAATACATAACATAACCAATGCATCGAGCCAGCATGAGCATGAGCGGAGCTAAACAAGCCAGACTAATCAAATGCGCTCCAGGATCCAGGAGGGATTGAATGTTGTATAATATCTTTAGCCCATAGAATGCGCATAGATAGATATTTTTGGCATTATATTATCCCATGCCGCAAGCATTAATCGTTGCGCAAAGCCGACCACTCATCTTCCGATCTAAAAAGAACAACCTTGTGCTCTCTTCCGACCGACGCGGGAATAACATACCCAAAATAGGAATATAAATGAAGGGGAACGAAGCATGGGTTAGGTAGATTAAACAATTGAAAATAACTAGAGTTAGATGGGATGAGATGCGACGAACCTTATAAAATATCTTAGCTGATGCATCTTTAAGTGTCACCGCTTTCTCGAAGTGTTCGCCAACTTTTTCTAGCTTCTCTGTCTTCTTCCAATCGTCGAATGTGCCCGTCACATAGACCTCGGAGGCAGGATGCTCCCTATCAGATCAGAAACAAACGATATCAGCCGAGTTTCTACATCAGTTTTTCATGGGGGAATGCGATTGTTGGGATGTTGGGAAAAAAGCTGAAAGAAACAGAACGGTGAAGAACTCGGGTGGCCAACATGGTCGCCAGCAGTTTGTGGATATACAGACGTGGGTCGAGGAGAAGGAGAAAAGGTGTCTCGTCGTCGCTTGTCCTTGCTTGCTTGCTTGCGCGCTTGCTTTAGGTACTTACCATTTGAACAAAAAGGTTCCCATTGTCAAATAACCTGCCGATAAACCTATAGGGATACGCTATACGAGGGATGTCGATGGAAGCAATTTAATAAATAATTAAGAGGAAGATTTGAAGATTGAGGAGGTAATCTATCTTAAGGCTTGCTTCTTTGAAGATGATGGAAGAGAAAAAAAGCGTGGAACGAGAGCTTCTTACTCTCGAGCTTTAGCACCGACCCGCAGCAAATGTAAGTAATTATAATTATTAGTCGTCTAGCCTGATAAAGTCTGATAAAAGTCCGATCTATCGATTTGCTAGGGATTTTACTAAGGATTGCCAGGTCCTAGCACTCGTATATAGCAGCCATAAATTGCCATAAATTACCATAATTAGACTAGCTCCACCTTTTTTAAAACTTAGGTACCTAGGTACCAACTTCAAACCATTGCCCACCACCGCAGGCATTGATAACGTCAAGTACATACTGGATACATACATATTGCGTTATCATCGCATCAATATCGAAACGAACTGCCAATGAATTTCGATGGCAATATCTTTGAAGGAATCCTAATTTCAATTACGCCTTATCTTTCCTTACACCTCAACTTCTCCTATTATGTACACGCGCATTTTCACAACAATAAAACAATAAATAAAAAACATAATACATAGGTACCTACATAAAAGAATTTCAAAAAAACAGTTCCAAGAATCGGATTGCCACTCAAGCCTCTTGCCGTATCCGGAATTAGATACCTGTCAGCGCCCGTGGAATCATCTACGCATTTCGATGCATATGCGTTTGTACATTAACATTAGTTATTCATTCACCCGCCCGATCACATGCAAAGCGAAGGGTTTACCCAGCCACTCGAATAACATCAGTGCTTATGTCCGAGTAAACCGAGCCAAGACATCTTACAATCTAGGTTAGATAGTTACACGAACAAACCAATGCAATACATACATAGGTCTAATGCTTATCGTTATAATTAATTATGAACAACTTTATCAATTCGTATGTACATAATATATAGGTAGGTATATTTCATAACAGGTTTAAAAATAGAATCCATAACATTTCATAGTATATTCTCTATTATCATATCCACCACAAAATCCAGCACACACATTCCACATCTATCTAGGAATACATTCGTTACCCATCGTAATTCGTCCTCGAGCAGTATGGTATGTAAGCAGTTCCTGTAAGAGAAACCCCCCTACAAAATCCATCCAACCCCATAGATAATTCGAAAACGGTTTAATTCCAACCTCCTCCGCCAACGCCTCCAAAGTGCAGTTGCAGTGCAAGTAGAAGACAAAAAAAAAAACCCATGCAATCAATATGTTCCATCCTCGACTCCCAACCACCCCCCCCCCCCCCCCGGTATTTTTTATCTTCCCTTGCAATGCGCGCGTGTTTCTAATAGTACAAGTGTATCTCTGTAGCTTTCCTTCCCGATGTTCTATAATGTACACATAACAAGGCACACATAATTCAATAGAGAACGTCAGAGCAAAACAGTAGCAAGAAAAGACAGAAAGGCAGACAAATAGACAGACAGGGTAGGGAAGAGAAGAAGAAAAATATAGAAAATTTGAAGAAAATAATCCGACCTGAGAATCGAATAGGAGAAGAAGAAGAAAAATAGAAGAGAATATATAGAAATACAGGAGAAAGGAAAAAGAGACAGGAAGAAGTAAAAGAAAAGGGGAATAAGAAATAATACAACCACCATTCATTCCCAACCATTTTATATCCTTAAGTTCCTCTGTTCCCGTGTATAGTGTATTCCTTCTTTTTTTTTGTATCGTTTGTTGGCATTTCCCTTCGACCCGGTCCGGTCTGGTCCTCAGAACCACTTATACCCAGCGCGTTCCTCGATCTTCTTCAGCGTGCCCACGGCATCAACCAGCAAGCGGCTCTTAGCGCCAACAGCTTCGTCTTCGAGCCTGCGTCGGACCATACTAATAACGCCCATAGACTCGCGCCGGCTGCGCGCCCCGAGCGCCGAGTCCTCAGCGGCCACCGTCTTCAGCCAGCGCATAGCTTCGCGCTCCCCGGCATTAGCATTATCGTGGTCGTGGTGAGGAGACGTGCAATCCGATCCGGAGCCAGAGTAGGCATTCCGGCCGAGCGGTATCCGAGTGCCCAGCAGATTAGCGCGCACACGTACACCGCCCAGTAGTCCGAGATGTCTAGCATGTTCCAGTCCTTATTTAAGTCTCCTTGTTCTTCCGGGTCTGTGTTTGGTGTATTATGATTACGAGACTCGCTGCCGTCGAGGAAGGCTAGGAGAGCCTTGGCGGCAAATCCGGCGGCAGCATTGGCGTGAGGGCTCCCGCACCAGAGCTGCAGGCGCTTCTTGTGCTGTTGGAAGACTTGGGGAGACGCTACCTTTCTCGAGAAGAGCCAGGTGTCACCGCTAACTGCGAGCAGGTCGTGTAGAGGCGTATAGTGCAACGCTAAATAAGTATTTCCAACAGCAGATCCGGGGAAAAGCCTGCTGATTCGCTCAGTGGAAGCAGATCTACTTCTACCGAAAGATCTAGTATGGAGGGGTTAGATCGTTTAGGCAGGCGAAGAGCCTCTGAGGTTAGAAATACGGCACGGTCGAGATATCGAGCGTTCATCACCTGTTCCGCAGTAGGGGTCTCGCCGGTATGGTTTAGAGGTCCCGCGTCTAGTTTCGTGTCGAGGAGGGCCTCCCATGCTTCCGGCGATTGCGCGGCCCAGAGATCTTCGGTAGGTCGAATTAGGGGGATAGGGCGTGTCGACATAGGAAATTGTTGTATTACATGTTGTTGATAGTACACGGATGCGTGGGCATCCAAAACAAAGCAAGCGGCAAAGAGTCGGCGTCGTGACTCATTATCGATCCATTCGTTCCATCGTTCGTTTCGCGTTGAGTTAGAGAAAAGGAAATTGTCCGGTATTTGGTGGTTGGCCATCTGTGAGGAAGAAAATGTTGAGTATGGATACCAGAGGCCATTAGGAGAAGACATAACAAAACTAAAGAGATGATCCTGAAGAGCAGAGTGTATGAGAGAACCAACAAGATTAGAAGGAGAAGGAGATTGGGAACTCACCCGAGAGTAAAGCGACTGGAAGGACTCCGAGGGGTGTCGAAGGACACTCCGTCCACGGAACCGCGCGTAAAACTCGCAAAGAATGATCGTCTGCATGATTTGGAGGTTCCACTTCGTACACTGCATCTGCTGGTTTAGCGGTTACTCTCTCAAAAATGATGTCTCGTTGGTTCAACTTACAGTCTTGACCTCCTTCCAAGCAAATTCATGCAACTCGTTTGCTCTTATACGATCATCCTTACCTTGGAGATACTGCGCGCCCACGGCAGCCATGGCACAACGCAAGACCTCGTCGGCAGCTGTTTTGACGCTTTTGCGGTGAACCACCGGAAAGAGTGTGTCGAAGCTCTTCCAGTACGCTTGTAGGTACTTCGGGATGGCGTTCCGGACGTGCGGCGGCAGGGTATTCGCGGTTAGAAAGGCTGTCCCCTGGAGTGTTCCCAGGAGCATCGTCGAGCCCTTCTGGCGAGTTCCTGCCGACGCTGCGTCGGGAATTGATGGGCTGTAAGGGTGACTAAATTTTCATTCGATTGAGCGGACAGTGAGATAGTCGGTGGGGTCGGACTACGAACTGAAGAATAGGGATGATATTGCTGATCGACGAAGGATTGTTCGTCTGAAAACGGGACCGGCAGGTTCAACGCTTGATCGATATTCGATGCTGTTGAAGAAAAGGCCGTTCCAAAGAAAGCGGCCGTGGTGGCGACTTCGAGCCCGCCGCCTGGACTCTGCATGTTAGGAGGGTAGAGAGGCCAGTCTGACGTTGGCGATTCGTACCCCTGAGTGTTCATATTGTGTCTCCTGTGGCCGATCTCCGAAGGGTAGAGTAAGTACTTTCCGAAGCAGAAGATGGCCAGGGCGAACCATCGTGACCAGCATGAACAAGACCTGGAGGAATACTGTTGTCAGGTATTGTTAAGCTAGGCAAGGTCTGGGGTAAGATCGCAGTGTCCATGAACAAGGAAGGGAAGGGAGAAGATGTACGAGGTTGGTATTCTAGCCCAAAGAAGTGGTCAGTACCTGTGACCGGAGAGCCTCCAATGCTTGGGGTTTGGTTGATCAACCCAGAAGACAGCATATAATTCTGGCCGGGATTGGGCGAATTCTGATAGCTATCACCGCGGCCAGGATGATGTGACGGGGACATCGAGGTCCCTCCACTAGTACTACCTTGGCCGCCCATCTGATACTGCATACCGCCGGGATAAGAGGTGCCGGAAGAATTGTCGGACGGACCAGGCATACCGGAGCGAGAACCAGAGTCCCTGCCCATGGATGAGTGACTATGGGTCATGTAACTTAGCCCAGAGCTTGGATCATCCAAGGTGCCGGCAGATGGCGGCCGGCTCATGCCTCCCGACGATCCCTTATCATCATGGTCACTGGAATCAAGTTAGTATTTTTACTGACGCTATACCTTTTATATAACCGCCCACTGTCTCTGGGCGTGACGAGCGAGTAAGTCGGCTCTGTGAAATGCCTTTTCACAACCTGAATACGTGCATGGAAATCCAGGCGTCTTGTGGCTCAGTTGGTGGCGTCTGCAAGTCGGCGTTTAGTGATGCGTATCCCAACGATATCCGTCACCGAAATTACTTACCTAAGGTGTTCCGCCCTCGTAAATGTCTAATTCGTCATGAGATTAGCCTATCCAGCCTCGTCCGTAATTCCAAAAAAAAATTCTGCTCACCTTGGGCGGTTTACATGTTTCGCAGGTATGAACCGGAACGCCTTTCTTCGCTCGACTGACACGGCCGGTGATGGGAGTCAACTTCACCGGCATGCTCCCGTCTCCCGGCATGTTACCCATTGGTCTCGTAGGCATAGTAGAAGGCGTCATACTTCCTCCTCCAGATGACGAGCCTTGGGCGTGACCTCCGTACGCGGTGGGATCCATTGGTTCTGAACTCGTAGTACTCTGCCTGCTCATAAGCGCCGGCCTTGCTGATGATGATGTCGATGGCGAGGAAGCGGTTGCTGTTGATTTAGATGAGCGTCCTGTAGGACCACGCCGTCTCGTTGGGGCTGAAGCTAGTCTATCGTCTTGATCTCTGGGCTTCTCATGACTCGACGTTGCCGCACGGGAAGGATCTGAACTACGAGATGGCCCAGGTGGGATGGAGCCGCCATCGTTCTTATTTATCTGAGGGTCTTCTTCATTGCCCATATCCATGATAAATTCCAAGCTAGTCATGGCTCAAATTGGAAACGACGCACAGCCCTGCAAGTTTGGATAAATAAAGAGTATATAGAGATGGAAATAGTCACAAAGGGTAAGACTGGAGTTAGGGAGGGGTGGATCTGTAAAGAAGGGCAAGGCTAGATAGATCTCAGCCTTCTAACTGGCGGCAGTATTCAAGTTGGTTCAAGAGAGAGGTCTGGTGTATAGCATCTCCGTCTGCGATGAAACGGGAAATACCAATAGCGAAGCAAGAAAGCAGGCTGAGCTGCATTGCTATATTGAGATCTAAAGGGCCGAAAGGGCAACACAAGCAAGCATAGAGGAAGACAGATAGAGTGTACACGGAGAGAGGAAGAAGGTCGACAAGAGACGTCGGTCACGGCCAGGCGGACGGATTCTCTGACCCAGCCTGCCTAGCCATGTACCTACATGTAGGTTGTAGTGTAAGGCACCCCTGCTCCAGCTGACGGTGGATCATGGACTGCATGGGTCCCGGGGTTGGATGAGGTCGCGCGACATGCAAGGTACTAGTCCTAACGGTGGTGGCTCATTTCGATACTATTTACGGGGATGCATCGTACGTGCGTATACACGGTGCTTGTAACGATAGTATGTAGACTATGCGATCCCTTGCTAGATAATGCGTATGAATAACAACCAAATTTGTTGCCGCGATAGTCGAGTTAAGATAGAGACGTGAGAGTAAGAGTAAGAGTATGAGTGAGGGGAATGCCGCTCGCTCGCTCATTGCTAATAGCCTCTCATAGTTGATCATAGTCTTCTATTAGTGTAGGCACATGCTGTATTTCGCTGACCATACATAGAACCGTACATTGTGTGTAAGCGTTATAGCTTTGCACATAAGGCAATTGTTCTATACTTTTTTGTATCGTGCTGTACCCGGTAGACCGGGTCGCGGCAAGGAGCGCGCCATAATTAGCAGAAAAGGGATCCCTAGACAAACCTAAGGCAAGGCAAGGGTAGGTAGTATTAGTATTGTACAAATACAACACTGCACTCACACATGCGCGCGTGAAAAGACCAACACGGGAGAAGTGAGAATAGTTTTTTTTTCCCTTTTTTTTTCTTTTTTTTCCCTCAAGGATCTACCATAATGAGATGATATCGCGAGAGAAATCATATGGTAAAATATGGGTTTTCTTTATTATTAATTTTTATTGCGCTGTTGTTGTTCTTTCTTGTCAATGAAACCTCATTATGTTGATTTAGGTATTTTGGTCCTTTTTTTTCAAGGGCATATTTTCTGGGGAACCTCTAAGCGGCCGTTGGTTCGATGCGACAGACTGGGGCTCCTCTAGTGTAGGTACACTTACAAATGTATACCTATACCTTGAGTACATGTAAGAGGTAAGGAAGGTACATATGCCTGCCGGAAGCGAGACCGGAGTAGGTACTTATACATACATGTACCAGTTTTATACCTAAATCTGACAAAACTTACATACATACATCCATACATCCATACATAACATACATAACATACCTACACTACAACAGCGCGACACAAGCCAAGGGGGCGCAGCTAGCAAACGGTGTCCTCACAGCCAGCCAGCACCGCCAGGGTTTCACGGCATTGTATCGACACGCAGACACGTTCCTGCCATTCATTGTACTACCGTGGTATAGGTTGTCAGGTTGCGTGGGTTGCGTGGGTTGCGAACATTTCTGATACAGCTATGTACTAAGACCCAGACCAAGATGTAGATCCTCACCGGAAGATCCGGCCCCAGACGGTCGGTTATCGCTTTTATTCGGCATAATGATGATGTCGTTGGTGATGGAAATTTAACGAGACATTGTCACCTTGATTTAGACAACCTTAAAAAAAATTAATAATAAACAAAATACATGTAAGAGAAAATACTTTAGCTAAGTTATAATAAACAACTAACTTTAGACAAACCAATCTATAAACATCAGGTACCTTAGGTAGACAAGGGTACAAGTATCCTTCCGAGCGTCACGAGATTTTCTTTTCAGCTTTTCAGGAGCGGAAGATGTCTGATCCTTAATAAGCCTTAAATTATATAAAACAAGAAGTGTCAATGTACATTATGTAGTTTCTTCAAAGGCAATTCCCCACGTTCAACTTACCGGCTTGTTAACGGCACAGGGATTCCGAGCCCTATCTACTCGAGTCTCAACTGGAAAGTTACAAGACATGCATTTACTCCCGTCCCTTTTCCCTTTTTACGGTATGATACTGTTCTTCTATGCGTTCAGTTGTCCATGTTACAAAGCCCAGAAGCACCTAAGCTTTGCAGCACGGCCCGCTGTAAGACGAGGGGGATATGCGGGTCAAATCCTTCAGGTTACAATCCAGGTTCTTTATTGGTCTGTTGTTTCCAGCTCGACCCGTGGTGTGCCAGGGTCTAAGAAGTACCTGTACCTCAAAAGGGGGCTTGGAGGCGCTCATTTGTGATTTCTATTAATAACTAATAGACGTCACCAAAGGTTAGGAATTAGAACGGGTACATATTAACACCTATGCGTTTCGAGGTGTGGTACATAGTAAGCCAGCGTAGAATATAGATGATCCAGCCAATGCACCATAACAAATCGAGCGAAGGAATAATCAAAGTAAACCTAGCCAAGCGTCCCAACGATCTACTTCTATGTTTCATGATCGCGTGTATTGAGATGTGGCGGCTATTTGACGCCATCGGTTGCGATCCGAAGACTCGATAAGATGAATGGGGTCCAAAAACCGAAGACGGGAACAGGTGGTCTCTGCTTCTTTCTCAAAGGGAACTAGGAAAACCAAGTGCCTATCCGTTCCCTCGGGGTCCGAAACAAGCTTCGCTATAATGATTGCCGAGAAGATGACATGCATGGAAGATGGAAGCACGCAAAGAAGACGTATTCGTGTATTCACGTATTCACGTATTCACGTATTTATCTTGTATTCTTCGATTGATAAGCTCGATAGTATTTACCACACTTAGAAAATTATCATAGGACATGACATATAGTAGGATTTCTTAGCTAAAGAAATTCCTCTTGGATCGGACATGAACGCTTCCGGTTAGGCTTCGGTACGTAATGATAATGGTAAATGGTAAATGGCCTTACGCAACAGGGTTCCCACGTTTTTCATCGACGCATGTCGTAGATACATGTCGTAGATACAGTAGCTCATAAGCAACATTTTTAGAGGTGTGTTGCTCCAAAAACAACATGAAATAAAACACTTGCATATATTAGGCCTAGCTGGGGGATGTAGGTCATGTAATGTATGTATATAAGACATTTACGTATATGTAAGTATATATGTAAGTAGTATATTCTGTATGTAGGCCAAGTATGTAGGTAATATCAAATAGGTCTTTTGGGGTTACCTAAGGCAGAACCTGTGCAGAACACGGATAAGAGTCAGAAGTTACATGTACGGAATATCGGTACCGTGAGATACCCGTGATGATGTAGGAGGTTCAATGTTCCCTTCCCCGCGTGTATGTCCGCACATACATAACAGCACTACCGTACTTTATCGATTCTGCAGCCAGCCCTTAGCCCCTCTAGCCCTACCTGCTAAACCTTATTATCTTAGGTACAGTACAGCATACATAGCCCTTTTTGGGGCAGTTTATGTAAGGTAATCTTAACCGGAACAGCCCTAGCCCCGGCGCTTAAAGTTATTTATAGCCCGGCTACTGCGTCTACCGTCCGGAATTTGCAAATTTACATAGAAATTTACCAACTAAACTTACATACAACTCACAAACTCGCATATCTACGCCTCTCGCATGCTTCTTTGCATGTTCAAACTACCCTCCATCTCAACAATACTTCTTTTTCTCCAAATCGCACACCATAACCATACGAGGCCGGTAGCCAAAATAGATATCTCCAACTTACTTCGGGGAAGCAACTTGGCGTCCTCGTTCGCTCTTCGCTTTTTGCTCACATTCCGCATCCGGCTTCGTCTGCGCCACGATGCTGTGAGCGCCGGCGACTAAATTGGCATCAGCTTTTTCTCCTACACGAGATTTCTTATGGTGTCTCGGTTAAGTCCACTACTTCCGGATACAATATACGATACCACTACAATACCATAACATGCTATGCCATGCCATGCCATGCCATGCCGTATAACGCCAGTTATAACGCCAGTTATAACGCCAGTTATAACACCTTGTGCGACTTCATAGGCGCTTCTCTGCCCTGCGGGATCCTTAGCGGTCGCGTGGCACTTACAGCGGCTCCTGTGTAGGCGAGACATGCACCGGTGACTAATCTAACTCGTCCAAAAAAGGCGCCTCTTTAACCCCTCCAACGTCATATCAAGTTCAAGAGTCCCCCTCACTATCCTGAGGTCCGCTCCAGCCGCGATCACAACCCGAGATCGCCGGCCAAAATTATATTCGGAGTATTTGCCTGTCTTTGCTCCTGTCTAGTTATTGGTATCGTGGATGTTATGCCAAGCCCAGTGTTGGTTACTGCTTGCTGCGTCATACCTTGCATTCACCTCGACGACTAATAGTCGTCGACTATATCGAGATGAACTTAGCCTCGCTCGATCAAGAGCATGCGTATTTAGATTCTTGCATGCTAATCCATCGTATAGTACCCCTGTTGGCCCAATGGATTTTGACTATACTGGTCTGAGATGATAGCTGCCGGATAGAACGCGGCTGTGCCCCCAGTATATCCCAACGTCACTCTTGTCCGTAGAGACATATGTTCTAAAGAGTACCGCCCCCTAAGAGTAGTACTCTCCTAGAGAGTTAACTCTATTTCGAGGTCTGGGAGATGCTATTTTTTGTGTTCTATCCTATCACTCCGGTTATCATGTCATTATTCTAAGTTAACATGCATAGGCATGTTCTATTCTCTCACGTCTCTTACTGCAGTGAGAGTGAACACTGTACGATGAGGATACCTAGCTCCCCACTCACACCGGCACGGTGTTACGAGACAGATGGCTTGAAAGATGTTACGAGAAGGCGTTCGCGGAAGGTCTTCCGAAGATCCTTAGCTTGTGAGGGCAATATCGAGAACGTAGCCCCCTAGGTTTCAAAACGCTGCGGCCCGCTTCATAAGTCGACCCCATCTTCTACTCCACAAGAATGCCTACGCTAGCTTGGTGTTCTGCATGGAACCGTAGCTCAGGGGAAAAGGACGCACCCGTTATCTTAAGCCGGACGGGTAGTTCCGAGCAGTGCTACCGCAGCTAGTGTAGCGCGGCCCGGAATAGCTTCGATGGGGGTGCTAAGAAGCCGGTGGCGAATATTAGTCGAAGGCATAGGTCTTGAGCCATACGTGATTCGCCAGAGATATCTATAATCGCATATACTCTCATATTGCTTTTATTAGCACGACTGATCGTATAATAGCAAGTCTATGGATAATATTTTTAGTAGATTTAGGAGGTAGGTAGGTATGATCCCCCATTCCCTCATGGCCTACTCGGACACGAGATGTCTTCCAAGCCCGCACTGGATAAGGCAAGGTCAGAAATAGATTCTTTACAAAGAATGTTCATAATTATAGCCGATATAATCTTTGAAGAAAAATGCGTAAGCCCTCGATCTTCAGTCTGATAGCCCCGTACATTAATTACCCCTAATACCCCTGGTAACTATACGATGATTACATGGTTAGTGCCCGTTGCATGCCTTGCATATATCTCAGAGAGTATATCGTCACTCGTAATTTAACAGAAACTTTCTCAGGCGCTTAGAGGCAGTTTTCATCGATGGCGTAAGGCTAGTAAGGGGCTAATTTACGATTGTGGTGTTACGACACTACCATTTTCTCCCTTACTTCCACATAGGGCTATTCAACGTAACCAGCCCAGAGTTTCATTTCTTTTTTTTTTTCTCATCACGCGTGATAGAGGATAGAGCCTTGTCCCTTGACGATTTTCTATTCCAACCAACCGTGATATTATCACGAATACTACCAACATCACCTCCTATCGCTTACTGTTGCCTATATCATGTTTAACGTCGTAATCGACCACTCCCCCGTTTACCTGTTGGCAACTATCGCCACGGCTAGAACACCATCATGCCAATTCTAGCCTCATGTATCCCTTTTCGGACTCGATACGCCTAGCCGCAAGTGCGCTTCACTTCCTAGCCTGCGCGTCTAACGGCTCCGAACTCCACTCAGGTGGCTACATCAGCGTCTGATGGGTTACATGAAACGGCACAGATGGTGCTGTATGTTATAGCCATTGTAATACATATTGGCTCTAAGGAGCTGCCTAGTCTTAGCCTGGGGTCTGACCTTTGAATATATGGCGGATATGCGAACCAGCTCCCGACTGCTGTGTGACCTCGCGAGTCGACTGGATAGTGAAATGTACCATCGTCGGGTAGTAAGCCCAGCTTTCCCCCCTCGTATTCACGGGCGTAGGATTCTCTAACTAGCAGCTAGGTTGCTCGAGTAGCACAGATCTACAGGACATACTTATAACCCGAGTCACGAACCTTGACGTAGCAGAATCAGTACTACCGTAATTAGGAGACACACCCCCGTACTTGGATTGTCTTACGCGTCGCTACGACTGCCGTCACAATACCCGGTCGAATAACGCCTCGTACGTACATCAAAGCCTAACGATCCTGAAGATATTATTCTGAATAAGGAATGAAGATAGTTCCAGAGGTAACGCCTCACATTACCGACGTGACAACCGGAATATCTACATCATCCCTATTATCGTGCTGGGCCACCAACGCACGGCATTAAAAAGTAAGGTAGTATACAAGAAATATATCCAAAATACCAAGTGATTATACAGTCTAGACACCGCGTCTAGCCATGTTGTACACTGCCGAGACTCGGTAACAAATATAGACATCTGCAGGCAGTCAGACAGACTACTTACCTACCTATTCAGCCCTAAGTGTGAAACCGAGACTATTCAGGGGCGTATATAAAACTACCATCGTAGCAATGCAATATAGTCTGATTTGTTAAGACATGACTAAAGATAGTCATACCCTGGCGAAATAGTCCGCATACCTACCTACCTACCTACCTGTATATTGTCATCATGCGATGTAGCAACTCATCAGTATCCCACGACACCACCTAACCCATAAAGTAATCCTCAAAGTTGCATATATGCGGTCCTTACTAAAAACGACTATGCCGATGGCATGATTTAGTCCACAAACCACAGCTAGCAGGTTCGACTCGACCGCCGATAGTGCCGTAAAGCACGAGACAAGCCGATGGATGTCGCCGACTCGTGATCCTACATCGACTAGACAAGCCGATATATACCCCTATTTTCATAATATCTCGTGTATCTCGGTAGAACTCACAAGGTATCTACCTACCTAACCTACCTAAGAAAATACGAAAAACAAACTAGGCTACAACTCTTCAAACATAAGTCATATCTGCCACGCCCATATCAAGAGACAGTCGATAGGACCGTCAACGACTCCCCAGGAATCACAATTACCACCAGGTAAAACAATGAACGCTCACAGGATACATACCACCAGGTCCGTCGCGCGTTCACGTAAGACATAGCCGTTTCTCGAACCCTTCAATTCAGAATACACTCATACCTACACCTACTCGCTAGTCCAGCTTTATCTTATAACGTGCTCAAAACACAACTAGAAAAGAGCAAACACCCTAATGCTTAAGGCGTAAGCGAGAACCTAGGAACCCCAAACCTAGAGGCATTAGAAATAGCCTGTGGCTTTCTGAGTCTGAGTAGATAGGTACCTAACAATATTATAACCTTTACATCCAACTATGAGATATAAATCTCAAGTAACAAATATACCTATAAATCAATCCAAAGTACAAACTACCATAGCTCTTCTTCCACATTCAATATATCAATATATCGATATATCAATAAAATGATATAATAAAAACTTAATACTTATTAGCACCTAAGAAACTCTACGCTTCCAAGTTGAGATACCAACCTTATGAAATACCTTACGAAGTTAGTGAGTCTCAGGGGTAGAATAGGGGGAGTATCTACCCACGACTTACTAAACCCCTACCCTTACAAACACTTAATCACAGCATCCACGCGCAAAAATCATATTGATCATGAACATTCATGCTGGGAATTAATTCTATCAAGTGCAGTTGGCATACGTAAGCAGCGAAGTCGTTTATCTACTCTCCCACTAGCCTTCGACTCCTTGGCCTCAATCTTATTTACGGTGTCAGAAATGCATACAAAAAGCCCGTAAAACGCCGTTTCGTTCGTTATTATTGCACTTTTTTGTATTCCTCGATCCCCCGATCGTCAAAAAAATAAAAAATCTAGCTGCTTTCGTCGTCGTCCCCCTCGTCTTCGGAGCCAAACTGGCTATCCCCATCGTATGGCCTCGTATCGACGTTAAGGCGGGCCAACGGTCGAAGTAACTAACTAGTGGACGCGACTACCCGCCCGTGGTCGTTGCTAATGTTCTTATCCTCGCTCTCCGAATCGTCGTCACTTGGCGGCCGACTATCGCGGAGGTTACGACGATTCTTGGTCATCTGTTCATGTCAGCGAATTCGTCACCTTGAAATACTACATGTAAACTTACCCAAGACCTCACGCCACCAATTAGACCAAGTGTATAACCGGTAATAAAATCATTAGGAGCTGGTGTCCTCTCGCCTGACGGGCCCGGCGTAGTGGGTGATTTGGCAGCAGCGGCCATGGCAGCAGCCTCTCGTAAATTGACATCACCATTCGAACTTGAAGGGCCTGGTGTGGTAGGAAAGTTAAAGCGGCCACCCGGGGCTGGACTTTGAGGTCGACTTGCGGGCCAATACTGACGGAGCTCACGGCTAAGTTCCTGACCTGTCGTAGTCCAGTTTGCTCTGATATTATCACGCAGATCCTGGACATGACGTTTGAGGTCGAGCTCGTTCTTCTTGAGCCAGCTCACGTTAAGCTCCTGGCGTGATGTCCCTCGCTTCAATTGGCGAGCAATGTACTTTTCGTAGTCGCGGACAATCCTAGTTTTATGGTCAGTATCACTGCACCTCAAACAGCTATAATGCCGTTGAGTATTACTTACTTTGTAATGATACCCGTTGTGCTCACACCCTCGGTTCGCTGTGTTACCAGGAATTTTCCAGCTTTCTTAATAGGAGCATAAATATCATCGCCTTCGGCTGCGCCGTATGGAATATCATCGTGAGCAACGTAATCAATCCGGTGCTTCTCCAGGAACTCCGGCGTTACAATCCAGGGGCAATTCTCGACAACTTCGTCAACCCACTTGCAGTGCCTGAGTGTTTCGGCACGCTCTGATCCAGAAAGAACCGTTAGGCCTTTGCGTTTATGTGTTTCTTCGTCGCCTGTAACACCAACCATCAAGTAAACGTCGTCGAATGCCTTCTTCGCCTGCTCAAGCTGGCGCATGTGACTATCCCAATATTAGTTACGTCCTAATGATACAGAAAGCTATAAAAAAAGCCCTCGCTAAGCAGTGCCTACATACCCGAGATGGAATAAATCAAAGACACCATCAGCATAAACCCGGATAGTGCGTCCAGCGGGTGGGGGGTTCGTTTTGTATCCAACGGGGTGTACAAGACGCCCGGTTGGAGGCGGTAGCATAGCAGCTTGCTTCCTCCTCTCATCATCTTGTGTCATGGTATCCCTAAGGGTAGTAGGTTTCCTACTCTTCCTAGTGACTCGATCGGCGATATCAATGCTCGCTTCGGTAGTGTCGCTTGGCTCACCGGGATCTACGGTATGGCCAGCTGCCTCGAGGGCAGAGGTACGATCGGAATTAGCACGTTGTCGTTTCGCCGGGTTCGAGTTGGAAGCAGATTCCGACTTGCGGTGTAATAGCTTTCCGGACTCGGGCGCTGTGGTATCTCCTTCTTCGCCAGATGCGTCTCTCGAGGAGGGCTGCAATAGAGGGTTTTCGTCCATCTTAGCAGAGCTCGAGGTTGCTGGACGTTTACGCTTGCCCGCATGTGAGGAGCTTGAAGGAGATGACATTTGGCTTTAGCTTTTGGTAGGTGGTGGGTAGGTAGAGGTAGGTAGAGATTAACGCGCCGAGCATAAAGCTTGGGAATTGGGAAGGATGATTCGTAGGTTGAGACTGGATTGATTAATACTGCAACGATGCAGATAATGCACATGCAGCTCTACTTCCCCGTAAAAAGTCGTTGAGGCGTTCGAGAACAGTTGGGGCACCGCCACGAGAATCGAGAATCGTGAATTATGTAGCTTATATAAAGCTTGTCAAGTAAAATAGATTCAGGCAAACGTCATAAGCAATTGCTCACATATAGATAGGTAAATAAGTAAGTAACAATTACGGAATATCGGTGACGAATAAGAATTAAAATCACCGGAATGTGGGAGCCCTCAGTGGGATGTGATCAGAAGAAATGATGATGCTGATAATGAATGGGAGCACGGTGATACGTGTATCTAAGTGCATATAATCGATAAAGAAACCAACGTGGACGGAGGACGTGCTTTCTCTTTTTCTTTCCTTCCCCCCTGCTTTAAGTCGGTAGGTCGGGTGCTTTTGCTGGGTACCTACCTCACTAGTATTACCCCAGCTAAGGACAGATTTACGCTAATAATAAAAGGGGGTTCCAGCTAAGAAAGAGATATTTCAAAAGGAGTTGTTTTAAAATTGCACAAATCAATGCTACATCCATGAAGTTCCAAATTTTTGATAATTTCAAAAAATTTCAGTAATGGTTCGATACCCCCCCAAGTTAGGGATAACCATGTAAGTGGCGTCATGACGTACCAATTACCTTAACTCGGACCTTCTAATCCAGCTTTCTCATGCTTGGTCGTGGCTAATGCTCCGGAAAGTACCATGTGGCGTTACGCCCAGATCCTGATGGAAGTCATCTACTTCCGTTTTAGGTTATATGTTATGTACCTACCCAGGTATCACCCGTGTCAGTCCCGTAGACGTATCTTAAACTCTACAATGATTTAGTTTAAGTTTAAGTTTATACTTTTTAAAACAAACGCCCATGACTTGACTTGACTTGAGGTTCTTTCTTCTTTTAATAATATTTGTATAAGTACCTAGGTAATAGCTAATTATGTCAAAATGGCAGTCACATAGGTCACATAATTAGGTGAAATATAATCATTTGGAAACGAGTGAAACTTATGTCAAGTTCTTTATTCTTAATTCCTATCCGAGTAAACCCCAAGACAAAAGTTATCCCAAGTCGTCTTATACGACAAGTCGACATTCTCTTGTTACCATATTCCCTTCCGCATGCAATGCAGAGTTATGCAATGCATATCATAAATGTATATACATACTCATATTCCAATAAGTCATTAAGTCCGTTGCTTATATCCTAACCAATATTCCCAAACATATTCTTGAAGCCTTTACACTATTTAGATGTCTGCGGTATTTGACCGATCATGATCCTTAGCTTGGTCCTGCAAGACGCGCACCCCGCAATCATTGCTATTTGACCAATTCCATCGGCACGGGGATATGTACCTAAGCTTCCCTCGAGAGGGAGACAATAATATATATTGGTTTGTTTGTAGTGAGGCATTTCTCGGCCTCCCGAGAATATAAAGTTTATTCTCGGTTCTTTAGTCAACCTTTATAGTTGACTAGGTTTTTTATTTTGACAGCCTCCGTCCCCTCCGGCCGTGTCTTACACGAGCCGAACGGGCCGCTGCTGTCGTGTGTGTCTCCCGCAACGGTGTGGGTGTCTCGGAGAGCTCCGGTAACAGAAAGCCCTCGCCTTCTCAGGAGCGGCGGCGCCAAACTTTTGCGATACCTCGCAATATTCCTGGTTGCCGCCGACCCATTCGCGGATGTGGTTGTGCAGCTCACAGCGTGCTGTGCGGCACTTGCGGCAGTATACCTGGCCCCGTGGGGACAACAGGGCCAGCGAGTTCTGCTTGCCTACTCCGCTGCTAGCCACGAACGGACCCGATATAAGTGCGTTCCGCCACACCCACTCCATGTCGTTAGGACCCTCTCGCCTAGCTGACAACGACACTTTGCCGTGCATCCGCTCGTGGATGGAGTAGAAATGCTTGCTTGTCAACCCTAGGCACGTGCTGTCGATGGGATCCAAAAAGTCGAAGATAGCGTAGTGCAGCTCAGGGGGGAGATCCTCTATGGTAAGGGCTACACCCGGTTGGTGTGTAAATGGGACTGGCTCGACGTCTGTCACTGAGTATGACCTTAGCTGTGCTGGCATGGGTGGACGTGCAGGCTGGACATGGTTCGTGCCTCGCGGAGTGAGTACGACCGGAGAAACTGCGAGCTGCGGCTTTGCAGTCGCAACATGAGGGTGGAACTCGAAGTATGAGTCTGTCTCCGTAGACTCTCTTGGTGTAGCAAGCGGGGTGGGTAGACGGTGTTGTCTCTGCAGGACGATGGACGAATTAACCGAGGGTGGATAATCAGTTGTGGAAAAAGCACGTCGAGGCGTCCAGAGAAGGCCATTCCTAGCTACAGCTTCCTTTGCAGACACCTTCTGCTGCTGCAATACCACCACTGATGTTTCCGAGGCTGGACCGAGGTCCACATTGAGGAATCTACTTGAGATATCCATCATGTCGGACGAACCTGGTGATAGTGGCTGTCCCAGGGACGGCGCACGGAGAACTTCAACCATGTTGTCTGTAGGTTGGTATGTTTTCAAATTCAAATCTGACGAGAGATGCTGTTGCACCCAAAAAAAAAATTAACCAGGTAGCAATGAGAAGCACCTGGCTTTTCAGAAGGTTATTCTCGAGTTTACAATAAGACTGACAAGCCCTAGGGGTCAAGTTGAATAGCTAGGGTCCTCAGTTCTAAGATTGCAAAATTTGCCGCTTAGATGGTGGCTGATAACAGCGATACGATAGATTCGCTTTAGTTAGAGATCAGCCGAGGCTGAAGCTTAGGTTTGTATATGGGGTTTTTGTTTTTTTCTTTCTGGGGTCTGGAGATCCGATGTGGAGGAATCTTCAGATATATCGTGGGATAGAAACTCGTTCGATAGTCTGTTGACGAGTCGTGACACTTACCGAGGCCTCGAATTACGCGGGACGGGAGGGTTATTAAACCCGCCGCCATGAAGAAAGCGGTAAGGGGTCAGCTACGGCCTACGAGAACTAGCCACACTACTACGATCACTGTTTAGTGGAGATGTGATCCACTTCTGGCAACTTGGCAAGGCGCTGAGGACTAAGAGGTCTGGAGATCTATCGTGACAAATGGGGAGAGATGAGGGTGGTGTGACCCGCAGCCATCGTCGCCCCCGACCGGGAGTCTGGGCAAACACGGGGGAATCCTCTAGAAAACCGGGCTAGGCCAGAAATAAATATTTCTATCTATGATTCGAGTAATGCTAGCCAGTCAGGAAGGGGTTCTAGAAGACAGGCTGAGTCCGAATTGGGTCACTCTTGTCACATTTTGGGGGGACGGGAGGAACTCGGCGGCTGTTAACAGAAATCTCTTATTCATTTTTCAGTCCCGGGAATTTTCGCTAGCCATCCCCGGTCATCCCGGTCAATTCCTGAGCGATAACGGACGGAGGGGACTAGTAATAAACTAAGTATGTATGTATTCACATAGTTATGTTAAATTCATCTATGTCATATATGTCATGGTCTTAACATAGTTGCGTGGTAATATATCGAATAGTTCCTTTTCTCCATAATCTATCGCTAGTTTTAGGATTTCGGTCCAAGCCGCTATGTATACATATGTCGAGAAATAAGACATAATCCCCCGCAAGTTACTATGTAAATACAAGGGTATCGTGACAAGTATCCATCTTACACTATGTATGTATGTGTAAGTAGTATCTACATACTAAGCCGCTGTGCCTTTACCGCACTTTTCCCTTCCTAAGCGGTGGAACAATAATCCATTTTTATGTTAATTCGATACTAACATGCGACGCCGAACCGAGGGTTGTGGAGTGGGAAAACAGGGACATGCCCAGCCTACCGGGAACTCGATATAGCAGCGATGTGCAACGTCAGACAACCTCAATTTCCAACACATGTTGGAAGGGCTTTCGGGAATCGGCATTGGCAGATTTGCGAAGGGCCAATTCTCCTACTGTATAAGTAAATGATTACCGAGTCTTACAAAAAGAGGAGAAACAAAACTCGTTACTAGCCAATAGGATCACCGTCGACCTTATTTCGTAAGGGAGGGATGTCAGTTACATAGATCTCTTTAATATAAGTCAACTTGTTAATCCGACGTTCTGGACTGCGTCAAAACGATACATACCTTGGCAACTTACATATCCGCGCTCTTCATGCAGATCGTCACGATCGTATCCACTGCTATGGGGCGCTGACGTCTCTTTGCCGATAATGGAGCCATTGCTTACCGTGATCTTGTCGTCTATGGTTAGGTCGTACAATCACTGGCAGATATCTTTTAACTACAAGAAGGAATCCGGCGCTGTCTTTTACGGGGGTACGAAGTATATGTATATCTAGGTATACATATGGATGTAAGATAGGTATATTACACTTGGCTTCTCGCTGGCTTCCGGAGTGTCGAGCAAACGGGTGTGCCCTTTAGATGTTTATAAATAAAGGTCATTCATAAATATGTGACAGGTGTTTTATTACAGCAAGTGATCATATGTATATGTATTTTTGATCCGGCTCTTCGTCCCGCGTCTGAAGAGAGAAGAAGATGGCGTGCTTCCGCTGCTGCGATTTGCGTTACCTACCTACGTGGTATGGAATTTCATCGCTGAGCTCCGATCTACGAGAATATACATGGGTACATGAATATGTACAATGGTCTGTTTTCCCTGTTTGCTGACGCAGGGAAACTTGGCGGCCCTGAAAGGAGTCTAGATCGAGGTGACAGCTCGGCTAGCCGCTGCCCAACCCTTCCCATGCAGTACAACACCATTTAGGGCTGGCTGGATGTTGATCGCGTAACACTCTGATAAGGTAACGGGACATAGATTCTTCGGGATTTTCTTACCTAGACTACCTCTGATGTCTTAGCATCATATTACTTTAATCTATAAACTCGGGGCGACGTCGACGGTAACGCTCTTGAGTACATACGCTAAATATGTAAATCGATGAAGTCAACCATACACGCCGAAATGAACCTGACCTAGTATACTTGTTAAGTCTATAGCAGAATTTGCAGAGTACTTGGATTTGTATATTAGAACTGTCTATATGCTGTACGACATATTAAATGTAACAATTTGACAGGTGGATATATAGCTTCTAAAGTTTATATTAGATCGGCATGATATAATATGATAGTAGATTAATTAGTGACTTATAAACTTGAGGTTAAATAGGGGAGTAACTAGTATATCTCTGTCATGTCACATACTCTAGGAAACATCATATACCTTCTACCTGAAGTTAATATCTAATTTATCAAGATATCTAGTCAAGTAATGATAGTCAAGTTTCGCATTTATTGTACCATTCGAATATGGCATTTTGAAAAGTCCTAGGTTAGGACTAGTTAATATCTTACTAGTAAAAGTATTACACAAGGTCAAACATGTACAAGTCTAGGTACCTACCTGCCTGATTTACACGATGCGTTCATTCTATAATAAACACCATGAATTAAATAACAATGGCTTTTATATCGACTAATCATGGTTTTTCTAGGTATAAAGGTAAATTATCAAGGCAAATCAGTTCGAATCTACAGCTATCGATATACTTGGCCTCTTTATGAGGAATGGACGAGAGTATATCTAGAGCAAGGATATATTTTCCTCTTACTATGGATATAGTTTATATTGATAAGACTGCGTCTATCCATACCTACCTAGCTATACTCTTTACATGTCACTTTAAAGCCCCCTAATATAAGAATAAATGAGCCTAAATTACGTAACAATACTGATCGCATTTGACTGATATGTTTATTCTAACATATTAAATGGATGGATGTTGCTAGTATATATCATCTACTATCTCTATTCAAACATAGACGACATCTATAAAACCACACCTCACTACAAATATAAGTCTAAGCTGTAGAAGTCCCTAGGACAACTGATTCCACATACTGCAGTGCCAATTATACCCATTGCCTAATAGACCTTGCAGACTGCCCGAGTTCCTCATACAGCGACACGCTACCGTCAAGCAAACAGACCATTACAGCATTAACATCAAGTCCCATAAGAACAACAGAGGTTGTAAAGGTATCAATTTCTCTTCCGCGTAGATATAACAACGTGTTTTTACAGCCAGCCAGCCCCCTCATGCCATTTACCAAGTCAGACTTGCTTACACGCCCTCATATCCCGACCCAGATGACGCTAATAACAACATCCAAGCCCTTGCCCTCGCCGCCGTCGTACTTGAAGCTCCACATGCCATCCGTCTTCTCGTTCCAGAAGGCTTGGGTGGCCGAGTGCATACCGCGCCGACCGACGTGCGGCTTCCCGTCCGTGGCCGTCGCGTTGCCGCCGTCGCTCGTACTAATACGCGGGCTTTCGGCTTTCACCTCGCTGCCGCCTTTGGGCTTGTTAAGCGCCGAGGTCGGCACTAGGTGCTGCACGATGGTGCTGTTGACCACGTATTTGTGGGCTGGAGTCTGGGAGCCGGAGGGTGTCGATTCGGATATGACAGCTCGGAGGATCGAGTTCTAGCGCGCGGGAGGTATGTCATGTTAACAGACGAAGTTTCTTGTGGAGTAGGTTTAGGTTAAGGTAGGAATAGGAGATCTAGCGAGACGTACGATGATGGTGGCGTTCCAACCTTCGACTTTTGAATGCTCGTAGAACTCCGCACTACCGATGGCGCTTTGGCAAGCCTGTGTTTAACCGATATTAGCTTCATAGGCTCTTTATTCTGTTTTCTCGAGGAAGGGTGCGAGGCGAACCTACGTCCATCGCGATCTGCTTTAGTCTCGTGGTGCTAATTGGCTATAATAAACAACTCCTGTAAGTTTCTTCGAAAGTAACGAGGGTTGGCGGTCGTTGTGACATACGGCATTGTTCTGCGGTGAGGCCATCTTGAATAGTGGTGGTAACGTCGAGCTCTAGAGGTAATAGAGGAGTTATAAGCAGAAATCTTCTACGGTGAATAAGTTGTGGTAGATTCGTAGAATTTTCTTATAGAAATCGTAATGTTGGTATCTAGAGGCAATTGATAGTTCACTTAGGTTAAAAGGTTGACTATGGTAGCCTTGTGCTTGGTCTTGTTCAGCCTTCCTCCCTCTGACGTTGTAAACAATAATTGATGTAAGGTTTATTTTCAGAAGGGGAGGGGCCGCTATGAGATCCCTGCATTTACTACCTTAGCACATCTATGAATGCACCTGCAGTTTCCCAGATTATGCATATATAATACATGGATAGTTACACGAACCGGTAAATTATGTAAGGATATTCTAGTCCTTTTTTAGTCTTGCGCGGGGCAACAAGGCACGTGCATATTTCTTCTTTCCTCCTCTCACGACGGCAGCTTTTTATGAATCCCTGCTACTCCTTGATATTCCTTTCAGATTAACCACTGAGATTCGCGAAACGGCACACGTGGGTGAGCTAATGATATCAACTAACCGTGTTTAGATGTTTAGATACGTTTTTTCACTACTGCTATCAAGAGCTTTCAACATCAGATTATTCGATTATCATCGTCATAGCTAATCTTTTTTTATCTTTTTGTTTTGATTTTTCGGTCTTTCTGTATTTTTGCAGAGTTTGCACTCAATTCCTTTTCATCCACGTCGCCCACAGCTCGTTTCATATGCGTTTTGCTTTTTTCCAAAAATTCGACCGCGACGGTTCAAAGCTTTCCTAGTTACAATTATAGTTACAAACTTAAGTAACAATCTCAATTATTCGCCAACGAGAAACCCTATCTTTAACCAGCTATTTAAGCTTAATTCCACGGACCCTACCTCTAAAACTGTCCATCTATCACCAATCATCAATCGCCCGACATGTCTAGCCAACCTCTTCTGCAAACGGCTCCAGGTAAACGCGCTTTCTTCGGGAATTACACCTATTAAGTCATTGATGCTGGGAACTAACATATTTCAACCAACCAATTTAGGCAAACGAATTGCCCTACCTACCCGAGTCGAACCTAAGGTCTTCTTCGCCAACGAGCGTACTTTTTTATCATGGCTGAACTTCACCGTCATATTAGGGGCTTTGGCTATTGGCATGTTGAACTTCGGTGACCGTCCCGCATTCATCTCGGCCTTCCTATTTACGGGTGTAGCCATGCTCACCATGATATATGCGTTATTTACATATCATTGGCGAGCCAAGTCGATAAGAGTAAGGGGACAGGCTGGTTTTGATGACCGCTTCGGGCCATCCGTACTGGCTATCATCCTCCTATTAGCTGTTGTCGTCAACTTTGTATTGCGGATAACATACTCCGGCGCAGAGGGCGGGAAAAAGCATTAATTTCAGACGGAAAAATCGGAGGATACAGATTGCAAGGTTGTGAATCGGGCTCGTGGGAACTTGTTCAAGAATGAACCCTTGAACGGTGTACCCAAAATCGATAGATTTGCAATATCCCTTGCCAGTCTTTCAACAGTGGACAATGGCCGGTGCGAATGGGAAGTTTGTATATCAAACGGCATCTTAGCATGGTATATTTCCTATCGGGAGCGCATTTCTGGTGGAGTTTGTTTTGGTCATCATTACGAGTTTGAAATTTATCCATATGCTTTGTAGCATAAGATATGAGAATGTTAGTGCTTCGTAGCATAAAATCCTCTCTAAAATAAGAGTGACAGCTGCTGGATCTTTTCGCATCTGTGATCTTGCTTGGGTATCTTAATATTAGGGTTGACTCTACCATATCTCTCCTTATACGGGATAATAATGGTTCGGCGAGTTCTCTACTTAGAGCCGGCATTCGTTTGTTCCCCGTATCGCCTCTTGAGTTCCTCGATGGAAACTGGAGAAAGGAACAGGCTCATGACAGGTATTCCTCTCCAACGTGGTTGGCCTTCGATAGCTCTTTCAAAAGGAGTCTTCAAGGTCTCAAAGTCGTCATCACCAGTGTCGCCTAGCTTCGTTTCCTCAATAATAGTATTACCATCGCCTCTAGGTATTTCCTTAAGCTCTTCACCTAGCGCGATGTATTGAAACCAGATGCGCGCATCGTCCGCTCGTTTTTCTAACTCGCGCTTCGCGATTTCGGCTACCGAGACCAACTTGCCCGTGTCGGAAGCTTTAGCGCGCAAAACAATCACACTGGTCTTGCCAGTAGCGGGACTAGTAAGGTGTTGAGAATGGAAACGACTTTCTTTTGGATTTTCGAAGACGAGATTATCGAGTTGACATTTGATATCGTATTTAGACTCCAAAACTTGGAGCATTTTAATATCCTCAGTCGACGATAAGTTAAGGCTAGCTTCAAGCTTGGGTTTTTTGTTTGGTGCGATCGGATCAGTATCGGCGCGCTTCCTCTTCGTTAGCAAATCGCTGGCTCGATTGCCCTTTTGGGGATCTCTAGGGGCGTTCATGATACCGCCGAAGGATAAATGGTCGTCATCGAAGGTTGTGTATATGGTTAGAAGTTAAGCATGGACCAGACTTGGATTAAATCTTGCATACCTAGCTTTAAGGTGTAATTCTTATCGATAATGCAAGATTATCAACCGTTACAGCCATTGTTACTTCGCTATGAATAAAGTGCTTACTTTAACTCCACATAAAATTCACATGGGAATATAAGGCTTGTATAGATGATTATATTCTTATGTAAACGGATTGTGGCTAGAAACTATAATAAATCACGTCATACTAAATATTTCGTTTAATTTGGAAATAGTTGACCTTTGTCGAGCTTCCCGCTTATCGATATGTAACATCAAGTTGTCAAACGAGAACAAGGGAATCTTTCTTGGCCGACACGATGAGCTTCTCAACTCAGACACTTTTGAGACGAGGCCAATACACAATTGGTTGATCATGAATAAACAGCTCCGTTACTTCATGCAACCTATTCATTGCCAAGAATGAACGAAACTACAGTACGTACTATGCATGAAGGTATCGTATGTATCGTATGGACAGAAAGTTGCAATCGTCATCTCAGACAATCTTTATATATAATTCATTTCCACCAATCAAGCCATCTTCTAATATTTAGGTACATCATAGAAATAGTTATTTATAATAACTATGGTTTAGATATTCTTAATATATACTCTCCTCAACAGCTCGTCTAAGTTCGTTTCTCTTAACCTTAAGAAGAGATGTTTCAATCTCAACAATATGATGTATTTCATGTTACAGTAATGCGTAACTAGGTACTACTAAAACCTCCGGTTACTAACTAATGGTGTCCAGTTACAGCCTGCCATGTTTCAGCGAACCAAACGCATGTACTATGCAGTCGTATATATCTATTAATACATATGTATTTGCTTACTTTGCGTGAACCACGCCGCTTTTAGCCTAAATCCAAGTCTCTCTTATGCAATTTACACAACTATGATTCTTGCTTTATCCAGTCGAAATATCTATTCATAACTACTACGTTATTCTATAAGTATTATCTCAAGTACCTAGGTGCTCAAGAAGTACCTATGCGGGATTTATTTAAAGCCGCTAAAGCCGACTAGTACATATTGAGGCAGAAGACTTTTCGCTTCGATTCTAGCAAAAGCAAACAGGATCATAGACGTACTTAGCTCTGGGACCCTCACCGATCCCATAGCTCAGTCGGTTAGAGCGTCGTACTAATATCACCAAGATCATCATCGATCACCATTGGTCATATCTCGTCCATGCGAAGGCCGGCGGTTCGAGCCCGCCTGGGATCATCTTTTCTTTTTACCTTTTTGTTTTTCTAGAATATCCTGACGGCTTATTAGTTATAAGGTATCTGAACCTCTATGGAAGAAAGAGAACATTATCATGTCCTGTTGGGATATCATTACGTAAGACTGATCACATGCTATCACGTGATTGGCTACGCACAAAACACCACTTCATTTTAGGTCACTTTATTTTAGGTACCTAGCCCACCCATACGTAACTTAAACAGATACAATAACAGACATCGTGATAACCTCATTTCGTTACCTTTCCTTACTTGTTTACTTTTCGTATTATTTCCTTATTCATACCTAGTCATCTGACATACCCAATTGTTTTTCACTATTGTAGACCTAATAGAATGATATTTTTTAAATTATCCCTCCCCCTTTTTTGTACTGATCTTTTTAGTCAATTACATATACTACCTTTATTACGACTATCACAACATGTAGAACAATCCTCTAATCTTGAGGGCAGCTTCTCTTTCAAGTTCTAATGGTCATCAGCTAAGCCGCATTATTGATCTTGACTCGCTTCTAAGCCTTGGGGGCGCTTTGATTCTCTCGTGAACCAGTCGGAATTCTATATGTCTCGTTTAAAATGCTTACAATAGCCGGGCGATTAACTCTATCTTAATTATCTTTAACTTTTATGGTAAATATAGTGATAGGTTCAGTGCGTATAGTAGGTTCGCGATACACCTACCTTGTTGATGGTGATCCTTGAAGGAACTTTTTATTTTCGTACGGAATTTAAATGTCAAAACGCATCGAACCCCTTTTCATCCGAACTACGGCGAGATTCCAGACCTAGTGAGTTGCTAACAGTCCTGGTGGTAATGCTTTGACGTGAATTGGATGATGCGCTAGTTGTCGTGCTACAATGTTTGTGCAAGTCAGGAATAATCCAGAAACCCGGCGCCTTGATACTAACTTATTTCACATCTTTCCTTTGACTTTTTGGTAATTGCCGGTGAATAATCACTTGTTTCTCATGGTACCTTTACCTGGGACCAACAGAATGTTAGGGTATAAGTGGGTTAAAGGGAGTTATAGAGGTATATCTACTATATAAGAGGCACATAGCACCTCGAAAGAGAGTAGAGAGGCAGGCGTCACTAGTTCTATCTACCTATCTATCCTGACGTTCACTTCATGTATGGCATCTATCAAGGGTTCTTTCTGATACAGCAATAGAAACCAATTGGGGTATTAAGCGAGGACCCTTACGGGAATCATATAATCACAATACATTAAAGGTTGAGACGAATGAATAATCATATATGTGAGTTCATTTATCTTGATGATTTAATGAAATATCAACTGTGGTAGAAGAGAAGATTAACATGAAGGTATAGTTTGGGAGCGAATGTGTGTCAAATATAAAGTGCAATTGTTGAAGTATAGTTAATAGTTCAGACACTTAGATTAGTCAGGGGACTTTCCTAAGAAGAAGAAGCTGCTCGCAACCATGATACTTCAGGAAATTTTAAAATATGTTAGGTAGTGTAGCCCGGCCAAGCATATGTCAATAAAGAATACTAAGTCAAACGAAATACAAAATGGGGCGGGATTATGTCGTTGGATTTAAAGAGTCCTCCCCATTAGAATCTTGGCTGATATAATTTTCGATCGGACAAAGACTCGATAAAATCATCTACTCTCCCTAAGATGTCCTGATAGGGTTCTTGGTGTTCCACTTCAAAGAATCCTACAAATATAAATATAATCTATTAAGTAAGGTTATTGTTAGGATATAATACAGCTACACTGTAAAGTAACCGCTAGGATCAGGTCTGTATATAAAGAGTGTTCTCCCCTTATTCTTAAATAAGGCATAAGTCAATACAGTCACCAGTTATACTACAAGCTGGACTCCTAACTCTCACTCCATAGAATATAGCCCCTAAGAATTGTATCTAAACCGTAGCATACTTGACACAGAACCATACTTGTACTGTGTTTGCTATGACCTCTCATTCCTGCAATGTTATCGTGCACGAGAAGATAACCGACATGCTAATGACACAGCTGCTCATGGCATCTTACATGATCTATGTGTATGGCTTAACACTGATATTGAAATTCTCGATGGAGAGTATTAAACAGGAGCGAACTCATTGGTGTCTTCAAGCTATCTCCAAAACTAAATAGAGTAGTAACTAGTAAAAGGATTGAGTATAATAAGGTTGTCCCTAACGAACCCAAGACAGGATCGAGAAGTAAGAATGGCATTGACTCTTTCAAAGTGTGGGGATTAGGGGAAAAGAAAAGCGCAAAAAAAAAGAAAAAAAAGAAAAAAGACTCAAGTAGTAGAAATAACATCAGGTATAGTGGATATAAGTAAACAGCTATAAGATGGATGATAAGAGGGACAAAAAAGGTAACTAGATACCTAAGAGTAGGTTGAAGTAGCAAAAGTAATGATCCCAGGCGGGCTCGAACCGCCGGCCTTCGCATGGACAAGATATGACCAATGATGATCGATGATGATCTTGGTGATATTAGTACGACGCTCTAACCGACTGAGCTATGGGATCGGCTTGTTGATATTTCTTGATGGTAAACTGACCATACAAAGGTAATACTGTTACGAGTGAAAATTTTTTGGGCTATCCGGAGGATTTAGATGCAGTGGAGGATACCACTAATCTGAATCAAGCATAGTGTTTAATAATAGATCATTAATTACTATAAGAACTAAACTAAAAACATTTTTTTTTTTTCTTCTACAAACACTCATGATATCTGAATATCCGGATGACACGTGATATGAGGTCACGTGCTGAGATATACCTAGGTAATAGGCGGGCGATTTTTGTACACATGCACAAGCATCATGCAATATCCTAGTGCGCTTGTACAATATTTAGCGCTCTTATGTACATAATGCAATGCCTACATATGTATATCAATGCCTACCTATGCAAAAGTACCTGCTAGCCCTGCGTACGAGCTAAAAGCGGCCATGTAACAGCCTTTTATGAATCAATTTCATCTAGTAATGTTTCCATTCACTGGAACTTGATTGTCTTGTTTCCCTTCAAAAGAAACATCCCATATCTGCCTATTTCCTTTTTACTTATAGGTAGGAATATTCCGGGTATAAGACTTTGCCACCGTAGCCCCTCTCTCATCCTTAAGTGAGTCATAAAAAAAAAGGGAAATATTTATAAAGTATGTACATATATTCAATCGGAGATAGGTAATGAGAATATCAAATTACTTAACTAGGTGCCTAGACAAGTACTTAGGTATATTTACGTAGTACACAGCTACTATGCGTAATGCGGGCATAATACTGTAAATATTATGCAAACACCCCTTTATCGTGCAGCACAGACCGCCTCGAGATACGTACGTTTTTTCTTGGAAACGCAAATGGAATAATCCCTGTCGGTTCAGAGCAACTCGAATTTGATTGATTTGGGTACCCCCTTGTCAAAAAAACCCAGAATCCTAGAATCCCAAATCCATCCATCGGACTGTCGGGCAATCAAATCAAAAATCAAAGTGAATTTACAACGTGTATGTACCTAAAGGTAGGTACCTAACTTACCACCACTTAACCTCCCTAGCTCTAGGCAGGTAGCCACCCAACCCAACAAGGAACTATCACACCTCATTCTCATAGCACCCTCACAGCAACCTAGCAGCAGTAGCAGCAGCATTGAACTGTGGAAGCTACCTACAGCAAGATACGCGTTAGGTAACCTACGACGCCCCCCCAAACCCCAAACTCGAGGGAATCAGGACTTCCTTGCACCTTCGCATTTTCGCATCTCTGCATCTTTGCGTCTCGCACCCTCTAGAAACCTTAACAATCTTACAACATTTTAACAACCTTTCATTTTTTTTTCCTGCCTGCCTTTTCCTGCGAAAATCCGCCTGTCGCAACATCCGAAAAAAGATACTCGCAGCAAATGATAGTCGGCTTTCTTCCGCCTTTTTATTTTTGTTCTATTCACGCGTTCCTTTGCTGAATTTAATACTTTCCCCCCCCGTCGGTCGCGCCACTTTACTTTACTTCATTCCCTTCGCCCTTATTCTATTATTTTTTTTTTGTTGTCTCGGTCGCATAAATCGCACCTTGATGATCATCATACGCGCCTTCTAATACCAACGCACCGTCCCACAGTATCTCCATTTGATACTGTTTTACTGCGCTCATTGTCCTTTTTTCGCATCTTATTCTTTTTTTTTTTTTCCTCAAGGACATTTTTTATTATCTCGCGGTCGCAAAGTCTTTTTTATTAAAGTCGGCCTTTACATACTATTAATTACGCGCAAACGTTTTACGAACTATTTGCGTTGCGTTGTTCTTGTTACCGGGACTATCGTCGCGCATTCCTCGTCTATTACGAACCTGACTCAGACTGAGTTTCGTTGGGTTTGACCGTGGCCACATCAGCGATAGCCCTACTCCTTTTTTGCGCATCGTCGACCCATTAGGAGCCCGTATCTTCTTACTATTTGATACGTGCGACTTCCTTGGTTCTTGTTCCTCTGCCTTGGGTACTAGTGATTGCCTACCTTACTGCTTAGCTTGCTGCTTAGCCTAGGACTAGGACCGTTCAATAGCGTGCATCGTCAGGCTAAAAGAGGTGGTCGCATCCGCCGGCTGAGCCGACCCCCGATTTGCACACTTTCTACCTGCCGCGCTAGGGAGGAACTAGGTACCCACCCCCTGCAACCATTCGTCGTTACGTCAGCCTCGCCTTCCCATTTGGTGTCGCACCTCTGGCGATAGGTTCCCCCCTTCCACCCCCTTTTACAACTTTATTGTTGCATATCGGGTCTGCTCTATCCGCGCCCCGACCACGTACAAACAATCAACTGCGCAACAACGCTTCTTTAGGCGCAAAAACACCAAACTTTACTCTTCCCTGTCGGGTATGCTCATGTTCCGATTTTGGAGTTCAGATTCGAGGGGAAGTGACAAAACTTTACAAGTTGAACAGCCTATGCTTGATTTCAGCAAACCACTGCAGCCTTGGGTGTCATCTGAGTCGCCGCTTACTACTGCGGCCGCCACAAAACATCCTACAAACCCCGGGCGGCGCAAGCAGAGCAACGTCGCGATAGCGTCGCAACTCTCTGCTTCTTTACCCGCGCTCAAGCGGAAGAGGACGGATGATGATGACTATGATTATCTTAGGGCGCACAAGAAGGTGGCTTTGTCGTCGGTAGAGGAGAGAGAGGGCATGCATCGCAGCCCGTATTGAATAGGCCCGACATGAATCGCGCTAGAGATGCTATCGAACAACAGTTTAGTCTTGAGATATTACTCAAGCACGACGAGTTACGCTTGATTAATCAAGAACTTGCCAAATGCCAGGTGGCTTTGGAGCAGCTGCGAAGGTGCCATCTAATTCCGTATCCACAGAACGTTCCCACGCCGGAACACATGGTGAATATAATGAATGGGTCAGGTGCAGCCTTGCAGCCAAAGTTGGGCGAGAAGCTGCCTCAGTGGGCACCTCCCTTCGGCGTCACTGAAGGTCCGTACGCGCGACACTATGCCAAGTGGCTCATACCAGATCCTAAGTTCGACGGCATCCAGCCTGAAGCCCATGTGCAAGCCGAGAATTCAAGATTCAGGAATTCGATAGACGGTAGATCGACGAGAAATAGTTATGCTGAGTTAGGTGCGTCCCACGGGAGAGGTCGGCCAGTAAGGGGTACGGCAGGTCAGAAGCTTCAAGCTCTATCAAATGGTTATCCACCTCCCAAGGATAAGAATGGACCTTGCGTCCTGAAGCGATCTGATGGGAAGACCGTAAAACTTGTCTGCATTGATTGCCATCGCGAGAACTTTTCCAGTACGCAGGGGTTCATTAACCACTGTCGAATAGCGCACAAGAGAGATTTCAAGAGCCACGAGGAAGCTGCGGTACATTGCGGCCATCCTATCGAGGTTACTGAGCCTAGTGGTACTGTAGGAGAAGAGAAACCAGTCACCCAGAGTACACCTTCTTCGTCCGGTCTTGTCCATCCATTTGTGCGGGAGAATGCCATGTCCGAGTCTGAGGCCTGTTTCTCTGTTGTGCGTCGTATCCAGGAATCGTTAGAAATGTACAGCCGGGGCCAACTACATGGCGTTTCGTCGATTCCTGGAGCCTCCAAGAGTTCTCAGAGCGCACCAGCGGCAGCTAGACAGCAACCAAATTTCTTACCTTCAGCTGATTCTCCACATCTCTCTCGCTTACTTCAAAGCAGAGGATTTAATGGCAATCTGCGCGAGTTGGTCAGTGAGGCTAAGGCTAAGATCGACCTCGACCAATACTTTTCCCCCGATGATGAGTTAGATGAGGCTGACGCGGGCGGTAATGGCGCTGAAAATGCGGCCACACCCAGGCCCCATCCCTTGTACGGGTCCCGGTGAGGGCTACAATGTCACCCGCTATCGCTACAGCTCGACCAGCTAGTAGCAAAGGCCACCCTCCGCATATTCCCTATGCCACTCCTGTGCCAACCCCAGCTCCCCGAGTCGTATTGGCTCCCGAGCCAGAGATGATTGTAGATGACGATATGTTGGACGTGGATTTGAGCCCTCATACTGCCGTCAGCAATAACGCACCGTCTCTTGTTAGTGATGATGGGGAGTATGATGACTCGGAAGCCGACTCTGAGATGGAATCAGATCTGAATGATAGCATCGGAGCACAATCCATATCGGATGTCGACGAAATTGACATCGAAGACGACCATAGCGGTGCACGTTCTATTCGGCACCACCGTGGCTCTACCGGCGCAGGATCTGGGACGACGGTACGCCTACGTAAGGATGACAGTAAGCATGTCACCTTTGTTAGCCCTATCAAGGGGAATGGAAATGAACATCAGAGACGGGGTCGAAGATAGGGTAAGAAGTTCCTGGTATGGATTTGCTTCATGTAATCTTTGCACGGACTGGTCGGTTGGCAGTCAAGAAGACGTGCTGAACGACTTTCTTTTTAACGTTGGACTATACCGAATTCGTTTATGATCACTCTTACTATACACCTTTTATTACGATTGCATTTCGAAGTTTTTTCAATTTAAGATTTGTGCCGAGGAGCCAGTCTTCTGGAGGTTCACGCGGAACATGTCTATTAGGTTACGAAGTTGATTCGATCAGCGTTAACACGGAAGCACGGCGGCGTCGGGTTGATAGGTCAATTTGAAATTAGTAGAGGTTAGAGGACACTCAGTGTGAGGAGGCACTGACGGTTTTGATACACCTATCCTCCAGAGCGCGCAAGCTAGTTAGCAACAATTGTTTTTTTATGAAGGGTTGCGAGACAGGTTGATAGACAGCGGTTCCTGTATCTATAATATCGAAACTGTATAAAGACACCATCGAATATTGAGAGCTTGCGCAATCAAACATAGATCTGCTTTGCAAATGGTGATTTCACCTTTGATTCCTCATGATGAGAGTAGTAATTTAATACGTTGAAATGTATATTAAGATCCCTATGCTCGTTCTGCCTACACTGCTTTCTATAGACGACTTATCAAATTATAGACTTGAACGGACTGGCCTTTAATGTTTTAGTGATCCTTAAATTTGTACGTATGTACTTCTTATTCAAATACTTATAATAGACGTTCAATTCCGTGATCCATCCATCCATCCGTCCATCGATAAAACCGTAAGCAGAGAGAAAAAAAAAGAGGAAGATAATTGATTGGACTAAAAATTCGACGAGTAAGCTCTCGAGGAAACTCGCCGGTTTCCATCAACCCTGCCAGCCTGCCTACAGCTATGTACAGGTAGGCATGTATATCTTACCTAAGATATGCCGCTGGAACTCCCAGATCGAATCGAGTCGATCGATCTGTGATATGTAGTGTGCTCGTCAGTCATTAATCATACATACCTAGGTAGGTAAATAATAGAAATCCTTCATAATCCTTGATTGGGCGGTATAATACGCCGGCAGCCCTTTTTCGGCGCACTTGTGCTTGTATGTATGTATGTATGTATGTATATTGAGTACCTAATCTATGTATATATATATAGAATGTAGCTGATATCGTTATGTACGCGTCTATGTATGTATGTATGTGTGTATGTGTGTAGATAGCTACGCCGTTCATAGACGACGGGAACAAGTAGCCGGACAAGGCATAGTGAAGCGGAAGAAGAATGTTTGTTGGTATGAAAGTCATGTATGTCGGTGTATTTTGATAAACAGAATTGACAATCTGCCCCCTTTTCAACTTATCAGCTTAGTTAGGTACTCGGGGCGTTTTTTTCTTTCGGTTTATTAATACGGAAGTATAGAGAGTTCTACAGTTAAACAGGACCTGACGTACTCAGTCTTCCTATCGGATTCGAAGTTGCTAGCTATCTATGTGTGTGTACCTTACATAGTATAGTACTCGCGATAGTTAGCTGGCAAGACGAAAATAATGAATTCAGCAGATATCTCATTACATCTGCCTAACGAGTCTGTCCCCCTTACGACACGATTTAATTTGGTTATTACTGCGTTTCGCGATGACATATCCACATCTATACCCGTACGATGTGATGCGATGCGATGTAATCTGATATGTGAAGTTTTTAAAAAACGAATGTTAAACCCGCTCCGAGTTCCCTATTTATTTCATCTCTCGGACAGCGGGAACGTGTACACACACCCTCGGCGAGCAAGCAAAAAAGATAATACGTGCTATTAACCTTCATCTCTCTCTCTCTCTCCTAACAGCCATAGCTAGGTTAGAATGGCAAGACGAAGGGGATTTGAACCAAGACACATAAATGAGATGCAAAAATCCGTCCGTAATTCAGGCTCTGTCGTAGTGAGGAAACACCATTAATCGTTCTATATACAGCAGTAGTAGCAGTAAGAAACATTAGAACAGCCTTTTACTCTTGTCCGAAGCCCATCGTCTCCTCCACCACCGCCGTAGTTAATTTGTTCTGTAACGCCTCCAACGATTTATATGGGGGCAGGTCTAGGCGGTTAAAGCTGTATTATTATTAGCATCTTTGTTCACATAAACCGTATCTTTCAAGTACGTACCAAGTATGTGCCTTCGGTAAGTTACCAACTTCGCCTGCTTTCTCGATAGTGAACCTCCTCGGCCCATCGCTACCTTGAAGATCTTTGAACCCGTTGACGGGGATTCGGGAAGTACCCGTCGTGAACTGTAACAGCCTGCTCTTTTGCTCTCCATCCCAGCTCCGTACCGTTTGCCAGAAAAACTGGATGACTTCGTCGCTCTCCGTGTAGCCCCGGTAATCGGTGTGCTTCTTCCAGTCGTCCACATCGATATCGGCAATACCACCAATTAGTAACTCTAACTCGCGCTCATCAAAGACGTTGATCAGGTCTTGGGGGATAAGCTCGTGGAACCCTTCCTTGAAGGCCTGGAATTGCTCTGAAATACGCTTCTCAATACGCCATTTGACCATAAGGTCCACGTATTCCTTCTTGTTGTCATTAGTAACGTCGATATTCCGGCCGTTAGGGATAAGATCCTCCACTGTCACAACGCCAAATCGCTCGTCCTCGGTAGAGAAAGTCTGCTCGAGTATACCGCCAGAAATGTCGTTGTCAAGCATCCACTGCAAACTCCGATGGAAATCCGCGTCCACACCCTCCATGTCGGCAAGAACCACCGACTTGCCTAACATCATCTTGTAAAGGGCACCAATAAAGAATGCGTCCAGGAATCGTCGGTGGAAAATGGCCAGACCAACCACGCGACCAATGAACTTGAAGTAGTTCAAATGTTCGGGGTTAATACCGGAGTGAGGGTTAATCTGGAGGGTGTAGTTATCGTGGGCGGAATACTCGAAAAGACAGTAGAAGGGGTTAAACATTTCATGCGATAATAAGAAAAAGAATTCTCTGGAGAGACCACCGTAATCTAATCCATCCTCGCCGTCAAACTTAATCATCAAGCGCTTCTTGAGATCAGTTGCGGATTGTCGTGAGATTTCCGCGAATGAGTCCTCGAAAATGTGAGAACGTCGTACTTTCATGTGACATTGCCCTGAAAGTATCCGCATAGCGGGTTGCGAACGGAAGTAAATCAGCTTTCTTCGGAAGTCTCGCTTATACTGTGGTACATTCTGATCTAGGGATGATGGTAGTCGGGGATCGTCCCAAGTAGTAGTCTTAGTATTATGATCCACGAAGTAAACGCGAGCCGTGTTAGTTAATCGCATTTCCCACCCGCTAGGTAGTGGTCCGAGTTGTGAGACGGGCTGCTGCTGTATCGTTCCGTTGGAATTATTCTGGCCACCATACATTCTAATATATTGCTGGCGGCGGGGATCCACCCATGTGGTAGTCCTAGTATTATGGTCAACAAAGTAAGGCCGGCCTTCGGGCGTCCAACGTTGTTCCCAGCCAGGCGGAAGCTCGCCAGTGCCAGGGCTAGTAGCGCCGGTATGCATCAAAGTACTTTGACCAGGGCTATGCGTAGAACCGCTACTAGAAACAGGCGGCGGCTGCTGCTGCTGTTGTTGTTGCTGCTGAAGAGTTGGAGAGTTGGCACCGGTACGATCTTCCGGTAGGGTTCTGTTCTGATGCCTTTGTCGTTCAACCTGAGTAGCCGCTTCTCTTTCGCCGCGATTTTCTGCGGAAGTACCGGATTGGGTTGGACGATTCCAGCTTGTGGTTCGCGTATTATGATCTACGTAGTAAGTTCTCCCCAGGTTATCCTCGCGTCGCTCCCAGCCAGCGGGTAGGCGACCTTGGGCGTCTTCAAAGGGGCTCATCTGGGCTCCAGGTCGAGCTTGTGCACCGTTGCCGTTAATCGCGGGCGGGTTTGCGCCATTAGGCCTCAACGGCAAGGACATCTGTGCACCTGGCGCAAGTCCGTTTGGACCTGATGCCGAAGAAGTCGGTCGTTCAGACGCACTATTGGCGCTAACAGTAGAAGCCTGCGGGGCCAGGGAAGGTCGACTAGAGCTTGCTGACGAAGGTTGCTGCGTAGGGCGAGCAGGAGTAGTTAGATTTGTAGACAAGTTGATTATCAGTTTTCCGTGAACGACGAGGTTATCCGTAGACTTTTTCAAGTCTCGTGTAAGCATCTGGTCTGGTAAACGATGTTAGCTTGGACAAGTGGACTTTGTGGCTTTTTAAGACAAAAATAATGCCTATACATACCATCAGCCCCATCTGCTAACTCGATAGCATCTCCGATCCTGATATTGATAACGCCTAAGAAACCTTGATCCTTCTTCTTAAACTTCTTTTGGTCAAAGACCTGTACTGCTAAAATACTATCCTCGGTTGCTCGGCTATAGAGTTGGTAAGTTTATGGATAGTTTTTTGCTTTCAGGAGGGTAAGTGCGTACAAATCGAAACTCTCGTTCCAATAAGGATTGAGCGTACGTTTGGAGACGGTCGTGGTCTTGGTCTGTTCGCCATTGATGGTAGCTACGGCAAAAGGATCGGGTAGACCTATATTTCAAGGCATCGGTTAACAGCTTGGACCATACGGATTGCGACTAGAAGTGATCAACATACGAAATACATCTCGCTTGTACAAGCCGTCGGCAGCGATGACTAGAAGATATAGGTAAGTATCTATGGGCCGCCAAGCATGGTGATGGAGTTGTTAATGGAGTTGGTAGAAGACGCACTCGTGACTCGCAGATTCGGTTGGCTGTAGGAATAAAATTCGAAGTTAGCGGATCGACTTGTTAAAAAACTATGACCATAATTATTGTATAATATGATCATATAAAAGGTTCATGATTATCTCAAACTCACGCCGAAGGCCCTGGCTCAGTACGAGTTGCGGTCATACTAATAGCTGCTTCACGGTTTAGGAATGAAGTCAAACGTCTCACTCTCTCATGACCTCTTGGATCCCGGATCCCACCTGGGCGTCCCCGTTCCAAAGGAGGGGTTCCGTCCGTATTCGGTCAACGGTAGACGTGTATTGAATAATACAGATTAAGATTTAATTCGATAAATTGTTTAATTTTTTTTTTGATTTGGTCCTCCCTGTGCCTCGTCTGAGTTTCTAGGTGAATAATGTAGCCGGAAATGTGAGCCTCGTGGAGTCTTGATGGTAATAGCCACTAAGCAAGTGGAAAGTTATGAGGTTAAGGCAGGTCGTAGTGGGTAGCAATGATAGGTTCCTTCGCAGTGGCCGCAGTGACCGCAGTGGCCCGCCAGTGGCGTAGTGATCAATTATGACTACTACAATCGTACCTAACTAGGTACTTAGGTGATATTATGTACCTAATACCTAACACCACTAACACCACCTACCTAGACGCAATATACAATAGCGCTGAATCAATCCGGTCCAATGGCGGCCATATCTATTAGTTGAGGCTGTGCAAGCCGCTAGGAAACAAGATAATGCATGCAACATTGAACCTCCTGCGCGCAAATAATTCATGTACATTTAGATATTTAATACATCATTTTAGAGTGGTATTCTCTAATCCACACAAGTATCTATCAACATAGCATTAGTAACTCGAGTAACTAGTGCACGTACCTAATTTGGTTTTAGATGTCCCTTTTTTACATCACCCCCCTACCTTAGCATTCGCAACTCTCGTCGTCCTAAGTTGTGCCCTTGTGTTTCATTAAAATGGAATTATTGTGCAACTATGTAAAATGCCGTGTTTATTACCAATCTCGAGATATACTATATAATCTTTTCCCTATGACTACCTATATAATACCCAGGTATATACATAATAACTTAGTAGACAACAATAAAAATATACCTACATATATCATCCCTCCATAGGACCTTCAAGCTTAATCCCACCTTAGTCCTACATATGTACCTAGGTAATGCATTCAACTTTGATTACATTGACACGCGGATGAGCTGATAATAGAAGCTTCTCCCATTCGGCGGCCTCCAAAATACCCCAGCGTCTAAGCCTCGGGGAGCATCCAGGATAATACGGCAATACGGTCAGGAGAGCAGGACTTATTGGCTCTCCTAGTTTTATAGATCTGGGCCGTGCCGTTACCCGGTCTCTTCTATGCTCGGTACACTTATCATGTCACTATGTATGTAGGTTTTTTTATTCTCCGGAAGGCACCGGATTAGAGAAATATTATAAATCATAAAATACTTACCTAGGGATCGACTCGAGTCTCTATGTAATGTTCATCTTGCATGTGACCATGACGGATATGAAATACTACATACGACAAGATCAACTTAGGGCGTTTAGTCACGTTTATAAGTTAGGTAGACATATATAAATGATAGCAAATAGACGACTATCATTTTGATGTCGACCATCATCTTAATCTGTCAAAACTAGCAATTACATAGGTTATCAGGGGGTAGGGCGGAAATATTTAAGCCTCATACCCTATTAAGGCTCCTCCGATTTGAAATACATATGTCGGAAAAGCATCTTCTAGATTGCATTTCTTTCCTTGTCGAGGAATTCAGAATTCACTAAATTCATAAGCAAAACCGCACATCGTCCCTCGACCACCAATCTCCTAGGCTAGGTATTATGAATACTATCCTCTCTTGACGTCTTTGAGTTGCAATAATCGTGCCTGGCAAATAAGCAACATGGTCAAAGCAACAAAAGCTCCACGTGCTCATCCTTTTTTTCTACGGCTGAGTCTCGCCTGGAAATGCTTCCCTGATTTTGGACATGGAGGCAGAAGAAAAAATAGTGAAGTACGCTACCTGGTAACGTTGCGCCATACCTGCGAAGTCGGTGATCTAATAAAGTCCTGTATGCATCTCACATACCCAGTCGACATTCGTCTGCCAATTCCTATAGAACCCAAGGCTATAGGTAGGTAACCATGTTCCTTTGCGTTAACAATTATAAACTTTTTTCCCCTCTCCGCTTGTGCGATCTTCAACATCTTTCAGGGGCTGGGGTTGAAAGACTTGAGAAAACGAGCCCAGTCAACCTCAGTAAGGATTAAAACCGCTGCCTCGTGCTCGACCCCGATAACCACCCCGGTAGATGCCTCCTCGTGGCGCAAACCCACCTCTTCCACCATAATAGCCTCGTCCCGAACCGCCAAACCCGCCACGGCCGCGGCCACCACGGCCACGGCTAAGACCCGGAATATTGGTTCGCTTGGGAGTAACTTTGATGTTACGTCCCTTAAGGACACTGTCATTCAGCACCAACGCTTGGGCGACGAGGCTCGGTTCAGTAAACTCGACGTACGCGTAACTATACGAGAAATATGTAAGCTCACGCAAACTAGAATAGAAGAAATTTGCAGAGCTAAATCAGTCTTGCTTACCCTTTGGGTTGGCCAGTAAACTTGTCCAGCAGGATAGTGACGCGGTTAATGGAACCACAGCTCTGGAAATGAGCTTGTATCTCCTCAGGAGAGACAGAGTAGTCGACATTTCCGACGAAGATACTTCGGCTATCAACGTCGGATCTGTCCTCTGAGACCTCTTGTCCTCTCTCCTCTAGTGCAGCATGCATCTCGCGGAGCTTAGCCGCCTCTTGCTCCATCTCGGCGACGCGTTTCTTCATTGCTGAAATCTCTTCCTATGCGCAAGCATTTTCCCATTAGCCGTTAAGATCTAACAAATACCCCTCTCGTATTGAAATATTTCAACGGAATTGTCTACACTGAGATCGGAAGGGGAGGCGCACTTCATCATTACCCTCCTCGTTGACCATGGGGTCCTCTCCGGTGACATCGCGCTCGTCGTGATTCGTGTCGGACATGATGCTTGACGTGACTGTATTCCCGAGACACGTTAGTATGGTTCGGCAGTATATGAGACGCGTAGGTATAATAAAGGCGAACCTATAAAAAATTAAAATAAAAAAGACTGACCCCCCTCTAGCTCGGCGATAGCCTGGTTGCTTGTCAAGATGAAGTTTCCAATAGTAACAAATGTTAGGATACCGAAATTGAAGATGACCGAGAAAAGAAATTCTTATCAGCAACTTGATAGCATCGGTATGCCAGAACCCAAGAAAGCGCAAGGGTCAACTGGTTGGGACTTAAGGGACTTAGGTTGCCAGTTGAAAATGCGCTAGAAACAAGGCAAATTAGATGCTTCCCGTTCCAGAGCTCCAAAAAGCTGTAGTGGAGGTAAACTGTAAACCGTAACAGAGGGATGGGTCCTTATGTAATCATTTCATGTACCTGCCTTGCCTGCCTTGCCTGCAGTTTTCTTTTTTGTCGATGCCCACTTTCCAAGGTTTTCTTAGCGTTTTAGCTGCCTGGGCGGCGTACATATGGTGGGTCCGATTCGGCAAGGGTCAGACGGATGAGTACATTAGGTATATGCAAGTACCAGAGGTAGCAAATTGAAGCAACTGATGCCCGTCGCGGTTAACAGGCACTTACGAAGCATTGTATTAGGTCTGTTTTATAAACACATAGTGTAACATTCATCGATAAATAAATTATAACTACCTCCTAAATGAAGCCTGCTGCTAGGCAGATATCAGTGAGTCACGCATACTTTAACTCATCTTCTGCAAATGCCGTGCATATAACAAAACTCTTTTATAAATGATAATTAAGTCATACGAAGGGCTATATAGAAACGAAACAGGTACATAGAGGAATTAGTATAAGAGTTAGCAAAAATAATACGACTAAGTGAAATATACTCTACAACTATAAAGTCTATCATGTCTTAATATTTTAGGTATAGGCATGTGTAGACATAGCTTATCAAAGGCTTTACATAGACAATCATAAAGACTTCCGCGATGCCTTCTAAAGCGGCTTTGTCTCTTGTGCGTTTGTATAACCCAACATTCCAGGACTAGTCTTCGGATGGTAGATATAGGCGGCAAATATATAGTTAAGAGCAAACATCCGGTTCGAGTGTCTTGCCGTGTTCTTAGAGGCAATACTTGCAAGATTATAGGAACATGGGCCACGACACAAAGAAAGGGGGCCTTGAGGTTAACTATCCTATAATATACTTTTATAATTTTCCTATATTCAAAAAAGGGGGTTAATATATACCATCTAATACTGTCTCGAAACTCTTTCAAGACTCAACTCAAGATTGAAATGTAACTTCAAATGGCCCATCAAGAGACCACGGTCCCTTCTGAGTAACCGGCTTCTCACCACCGAGAACTACCACACTCTCCACCATAACCTCAGTCGAATACCCAAAAGTACCATCAGCCTTAAGCGTCGTCCCATCCCACGTAAAGCTTATATCTGACTTAGCATCGCCCACATCCAGACTATCCCCATCGTCCAGGTATAATGACCCCTTCGCCTTGCCATCCAAACCCGGAGCAACAATAATCTGGAAATCGTTCTGCCGCAACAACGTCGTAGTATTCGCCGACTCCGTCCGCAGCGGCAATACCGTGCCGCCACGGATATGTACCGGGATATCAGTCCACATCACATTATCTGTAGTGACCGTAGCACCCGTCCCCCGAACCGGCTCGAACGTCCAGAAGTCGTAGAAAATATCGTCGGGGAGGTAATACGTAACAGACTCGGAGTAGTCGTCTGTCACAGGCGAAACTAACAGCGCATCCCCGTAGAAAAACTGCGTATCGATCCCGAATGTCTTCGCATCCTCCGGATACACGAAAAATAACGGGTTGGCGATCGGCTCGCCTGTCGTGCTAGCGCGGTACATCGCTGTATACACATAATCGAGCAACCTGTACCGAGCATCGATAGCCTTGCGCGCGGCCCGCGACCAGGTCCCAGAGGTAGAATTCCTGGGCGGGAGCTGAGATGTCCGCATGGTTACGGTAGAACGGCATGAAAGCGCCTAGTAGCGCCCATCGTGCGCACATGTGCTCGTCGGCGACCCCGTTGAAACCACATACGTCGGATCCCACCATGGGGACTTGGTGCACAGCTGCGAAGCCTAGGAGTTGCGGGATAGTTACTCGGTAGTCCGACCATGTCGAGTTATTGTCGCCGAACCAGTGCGCAGCGCGGGACCCAGCACCTGCGAAGGACGAGCGTGTTAGTACGAACGGACGTCTTCCGGGGCGTCGGGTTAGGAGTGAGTTGCGTGTTGCGGTTATCATGGTGAGGCCGTAGAGGTTATGGGTGTCGTATTGGTACGTGCCGTCTGCGTTCGTGATGTTACTGTATAGTGTGGAGTCGCTCAGTTCACCCTTGTGGTTGTTGATGCGGTACTTGGGGTTGAAGAGGTCGCGGTCGGGAAGACCCTTCATTTGGCCACCGGTCGTCTGCCTTGACTGGAGCTTTCCAGACTTGGCGGCTGGAGCTGGTTGGAAGTCATCTAGAAACCCGGGGATAGGTCGTCCGGTATTGTCGCGGGGAGGGTTGGCTAGATTAGGGGGTTGTTGCCTTGTTTAGCTGCTTGTGCCGGGTCACAGGAGATGTCAGGACAGAAGTTGGAGGCTTCGTTCATATCGTTCCAGGCCCCATCGATATCTATACCAGTTTCAGGATCGAAAAAGAGCGAAATCTCGTTCGTCCACCAGTCTTGGGTATTTTGTGCGATCCAGTCCGGCCAGACAACCTCACCAGCCCATTGCACTCCGCGATAGTTAGATCCGTCATCAGCTTTGAGGAAGACTCCTTTTTCCTCGCCTCTAATGAAAGTCGAGTAGTTATCAGCTCTATGAATGCCGGGATCAAGCATCATAATATAGTGCTGCTCTCTCTTGTGTAGAGTATCAACCAGCTCCCGCATTTTATGTAAAGGAAACCGCTCCGGATCTGTAGTGAAAACCTGACGAAGATCCATATAATCGATATCGCCCCATAGCGTTTCGAGGGGGATATTTGCTGTAGAATAGTTCGCAACAACTTCGGCCGCATAATTGACGTCCCAATACCCATACTTGCACTGGTGGAAACCGAAGGTCCAGTAAGACATCATAGCAGGTAAGCCTACAACTTCAGCATACTGTCGACTAACTTCGGAAGGACTGGGCCCAGCTAAGAAATAGAAATCCAGTACACCGCCGATGATATTGTACTCCAGGAATTGGTCACCCGAGTCTGTCTGGTCTATGTTGATGTCCATCCCGTTAGAATTCAAGAGAAAAACACCATGAGAACCTGAAGCACCTCGATGGTCAAGATACATTGGATGAGTCCCATATAGGTTCGCGCGCCGCGGAATAAATGGCGACTCTGAATTCCAGAAAGTACGCTGGTATTTCTCAGTAGGAAGTTGAAAGGAGTCGGTGTGTTCGCCTAGCCCGTATATGTTGGGATCCTTAGGTAGCTGAGTTCTAAGGTAGACATATTGAGATTCAAAAACTAATTGACTGCCATTGGTGTTGAATAAGACCTCTCCCGAGCTAGATCGCTTAACAGAAAAAGAGAAGGGCTCTTCTATAAGTGAAAATTGTAGGGCGGCATATGAGAAAGAAATATTTTGGCTGGATGGCCTCGGAAGTATATGTTCCTGAACTTGGTATACATCAAGACCGGCATCATATATCTTTACATGTAGCCGGGTATCTATGTGTTATTTACCTGTTAGTATAATACCATAGATATTTTAACCGAACATAAATACACACCTGTCTGATATTCGACTAATAATTTGAGATCGGGTAGGTCTGTTCCATAAATATTGCATGCATTACTAGAGAGAGACAAATCCGCAGTGAGCGCGCCACCCGTATCAACAACATTTGAAGCTGTATAGCCAGGACAATCCTCGACGGACGCAGCGAGAATGCTGGCCGCAAAGGCAGCCAGAGTAACAAGCGTCTTCATTGCAACCTGATATACTTCACTCTCGTCAAGTTCCCCTTCTCGGGGGCTTCTTCGGACTTTATACAACTACATTGCGGACATTACGGTCACGAGCTGGTGATCTCATAGCTAAGCTGCATAGCTACGATGCATAGGTAGGTAGCTACCTACATCTAGCAGGTGAATTACTTAGACGAGAGGTGCATCTGTGGAGAAATATACGGAACGGAATACGCGGATATGCAGGCTTCTTATTCGACGTGGTCTTTGGGGTCGTCGTGGAGTATGGGGTAATCCAGTCGCATTACAGCAAATTTCTTGGCCAAACCGTGACAATGAAGACGTAGCGCAGAAAAGAACTACCTTCATAAACTTCATTATATCTGTGCCTAGGGGTTTCCTTCACCAACATCAGCTATCTAAACCAGGCGGTCACTACCTACCTACATAGGTAGATATGTAGGTAGAGCAATGATATGGGCAGGTGAGGATGGAGTATTATAGGCAGGAGTGGAGGATCTCTTATGTCACACGAAACTCTAGCTGTCTCCCTTGAAGAAGTTACTCTATACGTTTTTACCTATGCGTCATCGATGTGGAATGTGTATTGTATTTTGTTGGCATTTGAATATATGCTTTGATTATTCTAATTAGACATAGCCTTATTAAGAGTAGTGCATTGTGTCTCACTGGCATTTAAGGACATAAACATTAATTTTGAATCTAGATTTATATATCTTTCACATGTCATGTCGTCTCTAAGAGACTATATACACGTACCTACCTATCCCGTAACCATATCATAGATATATGTAACCAGATCTACGTTAGAGGCTATCTCGATGTTTCCTAAAGTTGTCAGAAGCTGATCTCAGAACTTAAATGAGCTTGTGACTTGCTCTGTACACAGGTTTCCCCCCTTTTTGTACCTAATGTATATTAGGTACGGATGGCTCTTTCTATAAACTCGATTGAGGTACAATTATATCTCTGATGCAACTTCCTCAAGTTATAATGGCGGCAGGCACGTTTGGCACTTGCCTTGAGATTAGGTTGGAAAGTCCATCTTGTCGACATAGCTACTTCCTAAAAACCAAGTACTGAGTTTCATGTAGGGTTTAGGTCCGCACAAAGTCTTCGTATATGCTCTCCCACTTTAGAATTCCTTTCCTTTCTTCTCCCAAATCTCACGAGGTTGAACCAAACAGTATATAGACAACTTATTATTCCGCAAGGAACTCTAACCTAACTACGGAAGCCTATGGCTATATATACACAGATAGAGACCCAAAATTCTTGTCAGAATTCTGGTCAACCTTCTGGACCAGATGCGGAACAAGATTGTTGTATGCGACAGCCTACCATCCGCAAACAGATGGACAAACTGAACGATACATCCTCTTCGTGAAGTCATGAGGTACATACCGAGAATGTCCTTTGTCCTAGATGTCTCATCTAGAATCCTGATACCATTTGAAGTTCGCAAACATGAGGTATGTATATAGATTCATTACGTCGATGCGCCCCCATTCAATGCCCTACGACCACGATCCAATTATCGAGAGCACTATTAAATACAGATTCCTACATGTATCCCCCCTTATTATCTATACCTTTTTAGAACTATGTATCACGCCCAGCTACTACCTGGGTAATCAACCGCGCAGAGGTTACTACAAGACTATCTAAACTTCCCGTTCACATCACTTACATATTATATACCTACCCCCATTCATTTGCTCTTTGATATACCTATGAATACTTGCAATGCTATTCCTCCCCCTCTAACACCCGGTTATAACTACCGTCGGAACTCACGAATTGCATATTTGCATGTTACAATATACTAATTGTTGTATTAGCGTCGTGAACGACATACGACACGCAACCTTCTACACTGCACCCGCGGGTGCGCCTGGAGGTAACAGGGGCGAACCCTCCTTTCCCACCCCCAAAGGAACGGGAACCCTTCTCCCCCGCAAGGGGTGAGGAAGAAGGTAGGTAATATGTAAGATCCAATTAAAATACATATGCTAACTGATAAAAGAAAAAAAATCGGAAACAATTAGCTCGAGATATCGAGCGACCGGAAGCTCGCTTACAAAAGGCGAGGGAAGAGGTTAGTTTATCCTACTTATATACCTTCGTGATTAATTAAATAAAGTATCTAATACAATGTGCAGGTGGCATCTCTCAATGATACACCTAGGGCCGGTAATGCCAACAATACATCTGGAGATGGAAGTTGATGATCCTTGTGAGTTGAATCAAATTGATTGGCCGAAACCTAGCGCTAATTTAAGAATAGGACAATACATCCTCCCTTTCAATACTATATAAGTTCCATTATGAGACCGATTGACACCTGCGGGGCAAGGCGAGTCTTGGAAACAAGCAGACATTAGCGTCTACCCTCCCCAATAACAATAGTCTAAACAAAGTCTTCGTGGCTCAGTTGGTTAGAGCGTTGGTCTCATACTATTCGTGTGATCCAGCCATAGGTTGGGATATCCAAAGGTCGTGAGTTCGAGCCTCACCGAGGACATCAAAGACTATATTTTTGAAGATTCCATCGTTTTTTGACGACTTGAATTATTTTTTTGTGAATAAATTGCAATCCTGAAAATTTTAGGATAGTGTCAATATGCGCAATGCATGTGATTGCTGGTTGCTCCTCTTGTGCTATTACATAAGCAATTGCTTTTTTTTATTTTTTATTTTATAATTATTTATTCAAGATATAAACTGAGAGCTCGTGGTATGAGAAATAGCTTTACCAGGTGTGTACCTGAACTGGGCGCTTTATATTCACGAGTTTGGTAGAAGGCCTCATAATAATGCCCTAGCTACCTACCTAAGTATCGTGTTTGTCAAGTACGCTATAACACCCATTAAATTCAAGTCACATTGTCGGATTGTTTGGTCAGTGATAGTATATAGGCTACGCTTTGTGAGATGCCGATATGTGAACCACGGACTCGTTGTATTTTTAATGGCGAACAAAATTTTAATATAAAAATCACCTTCTTCCATGAGAACCGATTACCAACCTAGAGTACATAATTTCCCATCCATTAATCTATGATGAGAAACCGTTCCGGAGCGTACAACATATGCAGCAACAAGTAATACAAATGCGGGTTCTTGTTCAGTCGTCACCATATGCCCCCCCATTCTACCACTCTTGTCACATCCCCTGACAGCCTTAGAACTCGTAGTTCCTTGTCGATTGCTGGGCTAGCCCTTGCCGTAATTTAAGTCGCATGTAGTGTTTGTTCGGACGAAGTAACCCATAAGATTGGGGTATACCAAGCGTATTTAGTAATAACTTGCCATTGCCCCTGATCTTCAAGCTACCGCGTCGAATAGAAGACCGTTGTGGTATCGGCGACGTTTCTTTAACAGCTAACATCGACGCTGGCCTTAGAGTTCATCAGGAGAGCGACGATGAGACCGTAGAGACCCAAGACTTCAGCGAAAATGAGAATAAGGATCATGCCGACGAAGAGTCTAGGTTGCTGAGCGGTTCCTCGTACACCGGCGTCACCAACAATACCGATGGCGAAACCAGCAGCCAGACCAGCGAGACCCACCGAGAGACCCGCACCTAGCTGAATGAATCCGGTGTAGAGAGGGAGTTGTTGGGTCAAACCGTCGGAAATCAGGACAGAGACGACGAGACCGTAGATACCAATGATACCAGCCATAATGACAGGAACAATGTCTAGAAAAGTTAGTGCTTTTGTTTAGAATGTATTGATGGCTGGAGATGGCGCGTACTCTTCACGATGAGGTCGGGTCTCAAAACACCCATAGCCGCGATACCAACACCGGACTTGGCGGTTCCGTAGGAAGCACCTAAGCAGGTGAAGACGATAGCTGCTGTGCAGCCCATGGCGCCGAAGAAAGGCTACCGGAGGTTAGCTTTGCATATCGAAGTCGCATTCGTCTCGAAGTTTAAGGGATAGAGGTATGATGACCGAGACGCGCGCCAAGGGAATGTAAACTAACCGCGTAGACCGGGCTATAGGAAAAGGCATTAGCATATTGAATTAAATAAATCACATCACAAGCTCGATAGCAACAAAAGCGATGTTGCCTTAAGCTTGCGATGATGACGATGATAGGACACTTGTAAGGAGGCAATCATCAATTACGTACCAAGCTTCAGAGTATGACATTGTGGCGGCGTAAGTGGGTTTTTAGAAGTAAAAACGAAAATAAAGAATGCGGAATGATAGACTTCGAAGGCGGACAGATGAGAGTGGTAGATTAAACCGGGTGTTGATGGCGAGCTTAAAAAGTTGTGGTAGTATGAGAGATTGTTTAAAGTTGCTGTAGTAATGGGGAGGTATTACGGGAGAGAGAAGGTGTTGCTTTGCCTTGTTCCAGGTTTGCCTTTGATTGGGGGTTTGATTTTGCAGCTCTGGGTCACCTGCAGGATCGATTATGTCAGCGGATATCGGCGTAAGGTTTGACCGACAAAAAACTCTTGGCACTCAGAAGCTTTGACCGTGTTGAACCTTTTTTTTTTTTTTTTTTTCTTTCTTGAACATTTCTTAACTGCGATCCTCAAGACTTCGTCAACCTTTTACCCATTATTCTACATATTCCTCTTCAGGGCGAGCAACCGCAAGGAACCCTGCTCCGTCAAAATGTCTGCTAACCAGGATCAAAGTGCAGGTAAGTTTTAACACAGCTATCTTTTTCGTCTGGATACCGTACTAACCTATCATCAGCTTGGCCCGTCGCCGATGCTTCTCTTACCCAGGAGATTTTAGATTTGGTGCAACAGGCTGGCCGTGAGTATACACTAGTTACCTTCACTTACCTTCTGTCCACTAATTGTGCTCCCACATAGATGCCCGCCAGCTTAAGAAAGGAGCCAACGAAGTGACCAAGGCGCTGTCCAGAGGTATTGCCGAGATCGTCATTCTGGCCGCCGATACCACTCCGCTTGCCATTCTTCTGCACCTACCTTTGCTCTGCGAAGACAAGAACGTCATCTACTGCTATGTCCCTAGCAAGGTTCGTTGGGAATTATCTTAACTATAATGTGAAGTACTAACAATTAGACAGATTGCTCTTGGCAGAGCCTGCGGTGTATCCCGAGCTGTCATCGCCGCGAGCATTCTCTCCAACGAGGCAAGCGATCTCTCCGGCCAGATCCGCAGTCTGAGGGACAAGATCGAGCGCCTCATGATTTAAGATACCCCAAGAGCCAGGAAAGAAATTCAGGTTTTGTTGGGAAATATACTAGGTCAAAAGCTTATAGGCTCATAACTTGAGGAAGAATAGATGCGGATATAGAGAATATAATCTGCACATCAGCAAGCTTCTCGATTCATTATTCGCTATAAAATTAATGGCCCTATTTTTTTCCCCATGCTTCACGATTATGGCGTGCCTGCTTAAGGTCTTAAGCCATTGGTACATCTTAGGATCTAGTACATCTAACCTTAATATATGTACCTGCGTATGTAACATGTACACCTGCATTTGCGCGCGTCCTAGACCAACCAGCCCTTAGAGATTCTGCCCCACCGTGTGACGGCATCAGCAACCCCACCAAAAACTAAATCATTCAAGACATCATAGTAAAGACCTAAAGATCTGAAGACCTTGAAAATGACCATATCACTTCTCAAGATTAATACAATTTCTTTTCATTCAAATATAATAGAGTCTTTTCACCGGCTTATAAATACCATGATTGAATGTTTAGCTACTAAAGATGCCTAATTTAGCGCGAAAGCTGCTTATATGTGCAGCCGTTGATGGCCTTATAGTTCAACCTCTTGCGACAAAAGGGCAACGAACTCCTGCGCCCGTCAAAATCAAGTATGGAGATGCTACAGTATCTTCGCTTCCTCGCGATCAAATACCGGACACTTCGAAATCGAACTCGTCCTTCGAAGCTTTCGGGGTTGTAGGTTCGTCTTATCTAGAATAAATAACGCTCGTAAATAGATTCGATCGAGTAATTTCTAATTGGGCTTCTCCATAGGACTTTTCACTGTCTCCCGTCTAACCTACCTTATTACAATCACTGGCCGCCAGCAAGTTGCGCAGGTTCGCGGCTTTCCTATATATGTCGTCACTGACGTCGCGCTCACCCCGTGTACGAGTCGAAGCGAGGCCGAATCAGCCGTTGCGAACACAGCAACTAAACTACGACAAACGTCAGCCGAGAAATTTGTCGAAGACAGTGACTCGGAGAGCGAGGTGGATACACGTTCAGTATTGGGTGGCGACGACGCGGAAGACCCAGGAGCTATAAGCGATCGTGAGACTTCTGAAGACAAAGACGCGCCAGGGGCAGGCAGGAAGAGTAGCATAGCCGAAGATGTCATAAAGCGCCGCGGGAGCTATGGGCGATTTGCTCAGCGCTGGTTCAGCCGCAAGGGCTGGATGATGGACCAAAAACGAAACCTAGGCATTACTAGTGTCGAAACCGACCGGGCGGGTGACCAGGCCGTCGATGAGAGGAACAAGGCGAAGAGGGGAGATTCAGATAAGGAGTTGAGCGATACCGTGGTACAGGAGAAGGTCGACCCTCCTCCGACACCGTCAGCTGGTGAGAGCCTAATACCAAAACTATTGCGATTTGCGCATATCTGGCTCGGGACGTCTAGGAGCTTCTTTTTCTCCTATGATTTCGATATTACGAGAAGCCTTGGTAGTCAATCTGTCACATCAGTCGCGGATGGCCTCCCGCTTCACGAAACAGCTGATCCCACATTCTTTTGGAACCGTAGTTTGTTAAAGCCATTCCACGGATCTGGCGACGAATCATTACTGTTACCAGTAATGCAAGGTTTTGTGGGACAGAGGAGGTTCGTTGTGGATCGTTATCCACCTCAAGTCGATTCTCAGGAAGATTCCATGGAAATGAACAATATGACGCCTCCCCCAGAGTCCAATGTCGAATTTCCTCCACCGGAGAGAGCATCTAGTGATCTAAGGCCGTCCGAGAAGGAGTTTGTTATCACCATTATTTCCAGGAGGTCCACTAGGCGAGCTGGGCTTCGATATCTACGGCGTGGTATAGACGAAAACGGCTATACTGCTAATTTTGTCGAGACAGAGCAGATACTCTCAACCCCAACGTGGGGTCCTTCATCAAAAATCTCCTCTTTCGTTCAGGTTCGAGGTAGTATACCACTTTTCTTTACACAATCACCATATTCTCTTAAACCGATTCCAGTACTACAGCATTCCACAGAGGCAAATTTTAGAGCTTTCAAGAAACACTTCGAACTTATGGGCAAGACATATGGATCTATACAATTAGTAAACTTAGTTGAGAAGCATGGTGTGGAAGCTATAATTGGTAGAGAATACGAGAAAGCGGCCCAGAAACTGAATGAACAAGAGGCGGAAGGTTCCCCGTCACTTGCTTTCGAGTGGTTTGATTTTCATTCTGCGTGCCGCGGGATGAAGTTTGAAAACGTGAGCTTACTTTTAGATATCCTGGGTAAAAAGATCGAAGAGACTGGTAGTACTGTGGAAAGAAACGGTCAAATAGATCGGAAGCAGAATGGCGTTCTGAGAACGAATTGTATGGATTGCCTCGACCGTACTAACGTTTGCCAAAGTTCTTTTGGCAAGTTCATGCTTGATCTGCAGCTGAAAGAAGAGGGCTTCGACATGTCAGTCCAGCTTGACCAGGAGAACTCGTGGTTTAATACTCTCTGGGCCGATAATGGAGACGCTATATCCAAACAATGTCAGTCAACCCCTTACCTAATTAAAGATATTGAGATCCTGTTGGCCTTATAAGAGAACTAGAATTTTTAATCTTTCTAACTCATAATTCAGATGCCTCTACTTCTGCAATGAAAGGCGACTACACCAGGACAAGAAAACGGGATTATCGCGGGATGGTGAACGACCTAGGCTTATCCTTAACGCGGTTTTATAACGGGTAAGAAATGCCCGCGTGCCTACTTAAACTAAGCTAATTCCTACTTACACTATATACTAGAATGGTGAACGATTATTTCTCTCAGGCCGCTATCGACTTTTTCCTCGGCAACGTTTCCTCCATGGTGTTTGAAGAGTTCGAAGCAACCATGATGAGTAAGGACCCCGGGGTCTCAATGTCAAAGATGAGAGAGCAAGCCATCGAGACATCGCAGAAGATTGCCATAGAGGATGACAGGGAGGATTTTATTGGAGGGTGGACTTTGCTAAGCCCTCATATATCTGATACTCTCAAGGCTTTACCGTTCGAAGAAGTGGTACTTCTTCTGACTGACACGGCATTATACTTGTGCCGGTTCGACTGGAAGCTTGACAAGGTATCCTCATTCGAAAGAGTGGACTTGGCTCATATAGTCAGTGTCAAGGTCGGCACGTACATAACCTCGGCCATCTCCCCTGCGGAGGCCGACGAGTCGAAGAACGTCGGTATCGTCGTGACTTATGAGCCGGGCAAGTTTGATATCAAGAGGACCAATACACAATCGCTTTCTAGCATGTCAGGACAATCTGACGAATCATCGGGAGCGAAAAACGTGCTGAATGATCCGGCTGCAGCGCCGGCCGCCGTGTCCGGCATTCTGAACCAGGGCATCTTCAATGCCATCACAGGTAAGCCGCAGGCACAGGCGTCGCGGAAGATCGCTCTAAAAGCACTACATTCCACGACGGCCGTGTCGGACACGAAGGACGTGAAAAAGATGACGGAAAGCGAGCAGATCAACGTCATCGCGACGGAGATAGAGCGGCTGGTTTTCTATAACCAGCCGGCTCCGGCCAGCTCGGGGGAGCGGAAGAGTATCGTCGAGAAAGGCGACATCATCTCCCTCGCCGAAGCGAAGCGGAGCACGGGCATTCTAGAGCAGTTAGGTCACAGCATAAAGAAGCTGGTTTGGGCATGATAGACTGGTAGACATTCCTTGGCTAGTAGTAGTAATCAGTGGTTAGGAGCATGTATCTAGAGTCCTGCAGGTAGACGTCGGCTTCCTCAGTCAGAAGACCGGGGGATGGCCCGGTATAGGTGCATCTGGTAGCGCATATCTTGCAAATCCATAGGATACCGCAGTTTTTCGCTGAGGCGGAACCAGACCGAGTCGTGTGATTGTATCTTCTCCCACTGGCATCCTTCGGCTGGTAGCTTGTCGGCTTGGAGGAGAGTGTGATCTAAAAGCCATTGCATGGGGTATTTCTTGGCTTCCTTGCCCACCGCTGCTTCGGAGTAGCTTCCTGGGCTGTCGACGACAAGTAGCAACGAACCGGCTGGAATAGTGGCGCTTAGGTTCCGCAGGAATGCTGTTGTCATCTTGATCCCGCCGGACGTGTACAGCTCGTTGAGCGTAAATAGCAACGTGACGAGTAGCGGCGTCTGGCCTAGTAGACTCGAGAGTTTGGCGCTGTCGAGCTGGAGTACATCCTGCTGCACGAAAGTCGACCGCAGACGCTCTGACGGCTCGACGAGGGCCGCGCTGGTTGATTCGGCCGCGGCGCTCGCGCCCTTAGATTCCGGTGCCAGAGTCGTCAGGCCAACATGTAGCTTCTGGACTACTTCGCCCCAGGGCCCAATATCCAGCAACGTAAGATCGCCCGAAACCGTGGCCCCCGCGCCACGGAGATACTCGGCAAAAGACACGACTTCCGCAGCGCCGCCGCCGATCGCAAGCATCCTTACCGTAGCATCACGCTTCGCATCTCCCAGGTCGAGCGTTGGCGAAACCCGTCCAAACTCAACCTCATCGTCGTCGGCGGCAAGCAACAATAGTAGCGGCTCCAATTCACCGGCTATCTGCCCCAGGACCCTGGCGTAGCACAGCGCGCGCGGCGGACTCCATCGCGCGGCGTACACTTCCAGGTGCTGCTCGCTGCCGAAGGCGGTCGCGAAGTCCCGGTTGTAGAGGGCCTGCTTGAGTCTCTGCAGGACGGCGCTGAAGTCGGCGGCGCCGAGGGCCGCGTCGAATGTGTTGCGGAAGATGTCGAGGAGCCGTTGTTGCGCTTGGGTTTCCTCTGCCGGGGCCGAGATGGAGGGGTCCGCTGCTGTTGCGGTTGAGGATGTTGGTTTGGAGGCGCGAGGGGTTGGTTTGGGTGGTTTTGACTTTTTGTGGTGGCTTTCTTGGGTGGTTGGGTGTATGCTTTTGCGGTTCGCTGGGGCGATCTTCTCCTGTTGCTATGCATTTTTTTTTTGTTTTGTTCTGGCTGTGCTGGTCTGTTTTATTTTTGGGGGTTCTGTTTATTTCATTTGCGGGATTGAGGGTTTGTCTGGTCAGAATTTTCAAGTCACTCGAAATCGTTAAGTGGATGCTGCCGTATTGAAAATGTTGATAGCACGGCTAATACTTAAAGTTATTTTTATTTAACTACGCTTTTAATTTGTATAGTTATAGTTACTTGTTATAAATCTTGTGTTATATAATGTAGGCTAATTATCTTTACTGCCTAGGTATATATGTATATAGATTTATATAATAACACAACTGAGGTTTTCACAAACACCAATTCGGTAACAATAAGAAAGTCCTAGGTTAGACTACTTACTATACGACTGCTGAAATGCAAAGTTATCAGAATACCGGCAACTCCGACCTTATCAAGAAAAATTTACATAGTAAATATCTTAGAAAATAGTTTGTTCTCCATATTGTTAGGGTAAAGTGTTTGAGTCAGTATTTGGACACTCCGGTCAACCTGACCGATTTGACTTATATCGAGATGACCAAGCAAAGAGGCGTGATGTTTTAAACAATTTACATAGCCACGAGGTTAGCGGCGAAGTATTTTATAAAGGACGCGAGTGTCACGAGAGAAGCGCATGCTCCGCGTTTCCGCGCTCGTGTCTTGTCATTGGTACGGTAAGAGGTGTTAAAACCCTACCCAAGGTGAATTATCCTCGAATGATGTTCTTTCACTTACTCACGTTGCTAGAATAGGCTTGCCAAGTGCGTTTGCGAACTCTACAGTATTTAATATGGCGCACCTTTCGGGATTATTTTCTACCATTAGGCTTTTAGTACCGAGAACTACCTAATCCATAGGTATAGAGGCTTACAAAGGCTGACGTGGATATTGATATCAAGATAAATATATACAATGTCCTAAGTCCGACGTGTAATCGAATCCTTAGAACTACCTAGGTTAGGTAGCCTTGAGTTTGTAGAATCTCACTAATAAGTATCCCAATCGCCTGGATACCTACATACGGGCGTAGAACAGGATGCTACCATGCTTGTTGCCCGATAGTTACAAGGTAGATGGCAGTAATTACCTATAGTACCAATCCCCCGGGCAACTAGGTACTAGTCTCATACTAGATTCCGCTGTAGGCAATGAGCCTTTTTCCGGACCTATCAGATGGGTGGCAATGTGCTTGTCTTGCAGGGCTGTAGAGCGGGTTGGAGAGTAAGATGCGCTGAGTATAATATATTACCTACCTAGGTATATATATCTCAACTACCTAGGTAGACGAAGTCGGAGGGGTTGTCTGTGCCTCTTGCGTAGTAAGAGACATGTCACATGTAGGCAAGATTTTGCGGCATTACTCTAGGAAAGTGTTCTTCTATGGATGGTATTGGATTACAAGGTCTTGATGATCTCGGAATAAAGTCTCAAATATAAAAAGTTGAACGATGAAGGAATGACGTAGTTTATAGAAGTGGTTATGATGTATCACGATATTGACCCGATATAGTGGCAAAGTACAAAAGCTTCCAACAAATTTAACTACTTCTGAGAAGGAAAAAAAAAAAAAATTTAGTTGAGGCGTTGTTGGACTTTGGTGGAGAAGATGTATTGGAGACGACTTACACTAGAGCTTGGCAAGCCTATTATGTTGAGAGTTTTGATAAGGGGAAAAAGGTGACGAAATAATGCCGCTGATGATCCAGTTTATACTAAAGGAAGTCTTCTACCCAGGTCCTAAGCAATTGGTAGTAGCAATCTGACTATCGGATCCGATTCCTAGGTAGCTTTATGTCCACTTAGCCCACTTCATTAGGTACATTAGAACAAAACCCCACCCCCACTTGACCGCATGTATGTACCTCTTGACATACATCAAATGTACATTATATTAGGTACCTAACATAAGCCGTACTTGCCTATGATTGATCATCTAATATGTAACATGTTGCCTTAGAAAAGCTGTTACCGACTAGATACATACATCGTGTCAGGCCTTGTTCCCCCCTAAGAAGCCTTAAAGCTAAGACTAAGGACCCATTTGAGGACCGTTGCCGTTGCCGGTCGTTTAGAAAACCAAAAACACTTTAACCACCCGCAAATCTTCCCACCTTCTCTTTCTCTTCCTTCAAACTTTCTCTTTCCTCCATCGACTTTCTTTTATTACCAATTCCCAAGGCATCGTCGTTAAAAATCGCAATCATGGGATATACCGAGACAGATTGGCTCGCCATTAACACGATCCGTCTTCTTGCTGTAAGATGTCGACTCTTTTTCGGTTAACCCCGCCCCCGCTTTGCCCCTCCATCGTGAGCTCATTTGAAGCTTTCTCGAGCCCTTTTCTTGCCTACATCACGAGTTTATCTAGCAGTATAGAGAAAGTTGTATTAACAATTGTCTTTTTCTAGGTCGATGCCACCTTCGGATCTAACTCGGGCCACCCTGGCGCGCCCATGTGAGTAACAGAACACCAATAACCAGCACCGTCCTGGTTATTCAGTCAGGGAAGAAGTTCTTTATACTAATCGATTCAAGGGGTATGGCACCGGTTGCCCACGTTCTATTTAACAAGTTCATGAAGTTTAACCCCAAGAACCCAAAGTGGTTGAACCGTGATCGATTCGTTCTCTCGTAAGTTAAATTGAACTCTGATTTATTTCTTACCGCCACTAATTACGGGTCTAGCAACGGGCACGGATGCATGCTCCAATATGCTCTCCTCCATCTTTTTGGATATGAGTTGTCTCTGGATGACATTAAGAACTTCCGAGTGAGTTTACTTACCGGTATCGTAAGGTGGTTGTAATACTTACAAAGTGTAGAAAGTCGACAGTATCACTCCCGGACATCCCGAGGCGCATGACACCCCGGGTATCGAAGTTACTACTGGTCCTCTTGGACAGGGTATCTCCAACGCTGTTGGTCTTGCTATTGCTCAGGCTCAAACAGCTGCTACTTTCAACAAGGATGGCTTCCCTCTCGTCGACAATTACACCTACAGCTTCTTAGGCGACGGTTGCTTGATGGAGGGTGTTTCTAGCGAAGCCAGCTCTTTGGCTGGTCACTTGCAACTAGGCAACTTGATCGCTGTCTACGATGACAATCAGATTACCATCGACGGTGACACAGCTTGTGCCTTTACCGAAGATGTCGTTAAGCGATACGAGGCGTACGGCTGGCACGTCGAGGTTGTCGCCGACGGTGACAACGACCTCGAGTCCATCGAGAAGGCTATCCAGAAGTGCAAGGATGTCAAGAACAAGCCCTCATTGATCAAGCTCAAGACCACCATCGGTTTTGGTTCTCTGCAACAGGGTACCCACGGAGTTCACGGCTCCCCCCTGAAGGCTGACGACATCAAGCAGCTCAAGCAGAAGTTCGGTTTCAACCCTGAACAGTCCTTCGTCGTACCCCAAGAAGTATACGACTTATATGGCAAGAAGGCTACCGAAGGCGCAGCTCTTGAACAAGAGTGGAACAAGCTATTCGCTAGCTACGCTACCAAGTACCAGGCCGAGCATGCCGACCTCTCTCGTCGTCTGAAGGGCGACCTACCCGAAGGTTGGGAGAAGAACCTTCCTGTATACACCCCGAAGGATGCTGCCGTGGCGTCTCGAAAACTCTCCGAGATCGTCCTGTCGAAGGTCGAAGCCGCTATTCCTGAGCTCATTGGTGGTTCCGCCGATTTAACGGGATCTAACCTGACACGATGGAAGGATGCTACTGACTTCCAGCCACCATCGACCGGACTGGGTGACTACTCTGGCCGATACATCCGATACGGTGTCCGTGAGCACGGTATGGGCGCTATCATGAACGGTATTGCTGCCTACGGTACCCTTATCCCTTACTCGGGCACTTTCCTGAACTTCGTCTCATATGCTGCTGGTGCCGTACGTCTATCTGCGCTGTCGCAGGTCCGAACCATTTGGGTCGCCACTCACGACTCTATTGGTCTCGGTGAAGATGGTCCTACTCACCAACCGATCGAGACTCTCGCCCACTTCCGCGCCCTGCCTAACATGATGGTATGGCGACCGGCAGATGGCAACGAGACTAGCAGTGCTTACTACCTGGCCTTGACTTCCAAGCACACATCTAGTATCATCGCTCTATCGCGACAAAACCTACCTCAACTCGAGGGCTCGACTATCGAGAAGGCAAACAAGGGTGGTTACGTCTTACACGATGTTGAGGGTGCCGATATCACACTAGTTTCAACCGGTTCGGAAGTCTGCATCTGCGTTGACGCTGTCAAGTACCTCCAAGAGAACCACGGCCTGAAGGCGCGTGTCGTCTCCATTCCCTGCTTCGAGGTCTTCGATGCGCAAACCAAGGAATACAGACTGAGCGTTCTCCCTGACGGTATTCCGTCTCTATCCGTCGAGGTCATGAGTACAATGGGCTGGGAGAGATATACCCACGAGCAATTCGGCCTAAACCGATTCGGTGCTTCTGGCGCTTACAAGGACGTCTACAAGGCAAGTTTCCCCAACCCTAGCATGTCGATTATATACTAATTAAAAGAACAGAAGTTCGAATTTACCCCCGAGGGTGTTTCGAAGAGGGCTGTCGCCACTGTCGAGTTCTGGAAGGACGTTCCTAACATCCGCTCGCCCATCAACCGCGCGTTCCAGCAGCTCATTTAAAAATTTAGACTAGCGATGTTGTTTAGTCTTGGTGCGGTTATGTTAGTTGGCGCAATGAACCAGACGGTGTTCGTGGACATATAGACTTGCGAGCCAAAATAATCCGATATCACGAGAAACGCAATGAATTAAACAGAAGTACCCCTGTAGGCTATATATCTGTAGATAAATACAAATTGGCCTACTTATGAAATATGGATTTCTTGTTACGTTGCTACGTTGTAATATGTTAAGATTATACGTTCTCGAAATCCAAATCCTGGGTTCGTGATAGTGCTGTGCTGTGCACATTCTACAATTTCTAGCTATAATTACCTATACTCTTAGTATATCTTAAGTAAGAATAGCTATGCAGAGATGTCTCCTGGATTGCCTTTATAGCTGACTCTCGTAACCTAGTAGAAAGCAACGCGCAAGTCAGATAGTCTACACAATCCATGTAGATCTCTCATCGCGGATAATCTGGTTCTGACTCCTTAACCACATACTGGCTATATTTCCACACTCTCTCAGCCCCTTTCCACCCCAAAAGTACTTCTTCGGACTGTTCGCTCCAAATTGTAGTGTAGCGAGCCTCTAGGCGGGAACACGGCAGTTCCCCCTCTCTCTGCTTGGACTTGGCTGGCCAAGCTGATCGATACCTCTCTATCATCGTCATACCTCATTCCCCTTTGCCCCTTGCCCCTTTCTTCATTCAATTCATTCCATTTCTTTTCATTGCGTTTCCGGATTTCTCTCTCCCCTATCCCTTTCGTCATTGTCGTCGCTCAATCCCCAGCATCTCCCGCTCCCCCATCTTGCACCACCTGCACCTCGGCCCACTGCGCTTGTATCGCGCGGCCCACGCGCTCCAGTCTGGCCGCCGCGCGCCGCGCATCGCGGGCTTCGTCCGCGCTGGCGGCTACCACGACGCTGATTAGCATGGGCGGAGCGTTGGCGTCTTCGGGCTCGGGGGCGCCGCTGCCGCTGCCGTCGACGCCGTCGGTGGAGCTGGGGAATTGCAGTTGTTGCAGGCGGCGCTCGACGGCGCTTGTGGGGCTGCTGGGCGTGCCGTTTGTGGGCTCGGGGTTGGGGTCGGCGGCGGTGGTGGAGGAGGATGCGGAGGTGGAAGGTGGGTTGGTGGCGGTGGTGGATGTCGGGCTGGGGATGGGACTGGTGTCGGCGCGCAGGAAGGATTGCAGCACTAGGGGTCCCGAGTCGGCGTGCTCGACCATGACGCGCAGGGGCGCGCCTAGGCCGAGGCGTAGCGCGGATTCGTGCGCGCTGAGGGCGGCGTGGGAGAGCGTGGTTAGGGCTTCGAGGCGGGAGGGGGAGCGCGGGGCCGAGGTTATGAGGGGCGTGAGGGAGCGGTCGGTTAGGTGCAGGGAGAGGTGTGGGTGTTGGGAGGGGAGGTTGGCCATTGTGTTGTTTGCTGCTGCTGCTGCTGATGCTGCTGCTTCTTTTTTCCCCCCGTTATATTATCTTTCAGTGGTACGACTTTGGGGGAGTTTCCCTATGGATAGGTGCAGCTATCTGATGTAAGGAGGAGTCAGGTAGCGATGTAGGGCTGGCTAGCTTGCGTATAGGAACGGTTTTTGGATAGGTTAGGATGCGGTTGTATTGTATGCTTTGAGCGGGAGATAGCTGGTGAGGTTGGAAATAAGTAAGTAAGTAAATGAAGCTGCCTATGATAATGCTGTAAAGGTTGAATAGGGGCCAGGCTTTGTAGGGATCGTATAATGTAACTTTTGGTGTTGCAAGCTATTATGTAGGTAGGTACATACATGTCAGAGGTAGCGTCGATCAAATTCGTGACTAAATGTAACGCACGTACATATGTACCTGGGCCTCGGAGGAGATGGGGTTTGGGTGGGGGGTGCAGCTACCGTTTATTTCCCACTCCCAATTGGGCTTTTATAGGCTACCTTAGGTGCCTACCATTGCAGGTAGAAGCGCGTGCGATGACGCATTTAGTTAGGAAGTAACATTCCATTGGTTAAAATGACGATTTTGTACCTAGACAATAAGTGGGTCCCACTACAACCGCCAAAAGTTATGGGTTCCAACATCGTCAAATGACCTAAAGGCTGTCATCCCTAGGGACGCGTGTTACAACTTACAACCTTTTTTTTTTTGTGTCATTTTTGGATAACGACATATCATCTTCCCTCGTCCCTATAGAGTAATTTTTCTCTCTCCCGTCGACAATGCCGCAGCGATTCTAGGAGAGTCGCGCGGGACGAAAGAGGAAGAAGAGGGCCGTCGTCGAATATCATCAAGCTATGACCAGCGACAGTAATACTAGTAGTAACCCCGGTGCTGGTGGAGCTTCGAGACCACCGCGACCTCTTAGCAGAGCACCGGCGAGGAGTGTAAGCAAAAAAAAAAAACTCTATTATTTTGACAACTGACCGATCTTTTCTTTCTTCTTCTTTTCTTTTATTTATTTTTCTTTATTCTTCACATGTCACCGGATCATGGCGATATTAGTAGTGTCAAGTCTCCGCGTGTGACTTTAAATTCCAGCACGTCCATATATCTTCGAGACGGTGGTGAAGGAGTTAAATGCTAACGCGATGCCTCCGCGACGACAGAAACTACGCAATGGCACCTGGATTGTTCCCGGTACCGGTGAACGCACTCGCCGCCAGTTTTCCCTGCGATATCCGCACCTCGATGGCCCCGACGACGATGACGGCATACGCCCCCTCACCGAAGGTAACACGGTGAAGGAAAAGGCCCGGAACTTGTGGCACAATACTCGCGTAGCGTCTGGGAATCTATGGGAATGGATGAATTCGCCAAAAGGTCGAGGCACAATAAAATGCTCTATCGCATACCTACTGGCTAGCATGGGGACCTTTTGGCGCCCTGCTGCTAGGTTTCTAGGCCCGATGGACGGGAAACATATCGTCGCTACCATTACTGTCTATTTCCACCCGGCTAGGTCGACAGGCTCGCAGATAGAAGCTGTTGCTATTGCTGTCGTCGCCGTGTGTTATGCCATGTTCATCGGAACTTTGTCTATGGCCACTTCGGTACTCTTCGGGTCAGTTTTGGACATGGTCGAGTTGTCTTACATTCTAGTTCTCACAATATTCATTGGAGGTGGCCTGGGCTTTGTCGGATGGGTTAAGCAGAAGCTCAATAATCCTCTCGTGAGCGTTGGTGCCAGTATAGCATCCATCGGTATCATCACTATTGTGACAAAAGAGAACTCGGTCCATACAGGCGTCTTTACCAACCAGAAGATTATACAGTCACTCAAGATTTTACTTATGGCCACTGTGATATCAACGCTAGTTAACTTGGTCTTGTGGCCGGTTTCTGCGAGGCTGGCACTACGAAAATCTATGCAAAGCGCGTCTACATCGCTCGGCGATATGTTGTCTATGATAGCGAGCGGGTTCCTTAGTGGCGCTGAAGAGGATTTCACTTCGAGTGCCTTTACGAAAGCTTCAGCCGGATACACTTCAACTTTGTCTCAAATGAACAAAAACGCTCGGGAATCGAAATATGAATATTATATCCTAGGCCAGGAGCAAATATATAGGCACGATAAGGCTGTAGTAAAGTCGATGGAAAACTTAGCCCAGTCGCTTGGTGGTCTGAGGAGTGCGGCTAATACCCAATTCGAGCTCTTGAAAGAAGTATCTTTCGGGCCACAATCCTCACATTCGGCGACCTCTCCATTTTTTCAAGGTACAAACCCTTTCTCGCCTACTTTTGGTAGGTCTTTATCGGCGACGTTGAAGAGCGGAAGCAATAGAGTTACTTCTCTTGGTCCCATTGATGAGGCACCTGACGAACGAAGCGACAGGGAGGAGGATGTAGCACCCGCACAAGAGGCGCCGCCTCTGTTGTCTGCATCTAGTTCATCGTTAAGGAGCCCTCCTGATATCTTCGAACTATTCATCGCGCGTCTCGGCCCGTCGATGAAATCCTTAGTCCACACAATGGCCGAAATGCTCAGAGAACCCCTATTCGGAGCTCCAGGGGCACCAATCAACATTAATGAACAGTTCAAGCAAAGCCTTGGTGATGCGATATCTCTATATAACCAGGCGAGAGGAAATGCGCTAGAAGAAATTTATAAGACGATCGAACTAGGTAGGACTAGATCTGAGTCTATCCAAGCTGATTTCGAGGAGGTTGCTGCAGCGTGCGGGCATTTCTCATTTAGTCTGCTTAGTTTTGCAGACGAGATGCAGATATACCTAGATACTGTTGACGACTTGCGAGATGTTAGCGAGCAGGGCAAGCGGACGTGGAAATGGATGATGTTTTGGAAGCACATTAGTTTCTCATCAAAGACAAAGAAAGGAGACCCAGAGCAATTGTCCCTAATTCAACCGGTCAAGAGGCTAAGGCAGTCTAAACTACCTCAGGGCATTCCTGAGACTATGAAGCGGCGTGGTACCTTCAGCTGGGATGCAGCACCGCAAGGTGAAGGTTTATGGGATCATTTTTTCGAACGACCTCTCGAACTCTGTTGAAATTCTTTAAGTTTCTTGCGAGGAATGATAGTAAGTCATAATTCATGTGCCCCCGATCCCCGGATGCTTCTTATTAACATGTTGATATAGTTCGTTTCGGCCTTAAAGTTGGTATTGGTGCTGCACTATACGCCATGTTCGCCTTTATTCCTCAAACGCGGCCAATATACGCGCGTTGGCGAGGCGAATGGGGTCTTCTGTCTTTCATGATGATTGTGTGCTCGATGACTGTGGGTGCATCCAACGCTACTGGCTGGTCTCGTTTCACAGGTACCATTATGGGTGCTGCCTTTTGTCTTGGTCAACTGGTGGATATCGGATGGTAACGGTATCGCGCTCGCCTTCTTAGGCTGGGCTGTCGCCTTTGGTGCGTTTTATATTATGATCGATCGCGGTAATCCGGCATTTGGTCGCTTCATATTGCTAAGCTACAACGTGTCCTCATTATACGCGTATTCGCTCACACAAGATGTCGATGACGATGACGACGACGAAGGTGGTATCCACCCAATTATCAGTTCCATCGCTTTCCACAGAGTTGTGGCCGTGTCTGTCGGCATTATCTGGGGTCTCATTATATGCCGCCTGATATGGCCCATGCCTGCCCGTCAAAAGTTCAAGGAGGGTCTAGCAGTTCTTTATCTACAAATGGGACTCGTCTGGAAGCGAGGCCCGCTAGCTGTCCTCCTCCGCAACGACACTGCAGCTGCGAGCTACATGAAGATAGGTGAGCAGGCTGCTATGCAGCGGTACGCTTCGCAGCTGCAGACGCTTCGTGTCGCGGCAAATAATGAGTACGAACTCCGCGGGCCATTCCCCTTCGAGGCGTACGGGCGCATTATGTCCTCGACGCAACGAGCGCTCGACGCGTTCCACGCTATGAGTTTGGTGACGCAGAAGCACGGCCGCCTTAGCGACGGCGAGAAAGCATTATTGTATTACACAGCAGAGGAGCGAGAGCAGCTGTGCGCGCGCATATGCCACGTGTTTCAGGTGCTCGCATCCAGCATCATGCTCGAATACCCTCTAACGGACGCCATTCCGGGTGTCATGGTTATCCGAGACAAGCTACTAGGCAAGATCTTCCGATTTAGGAAGGAGCATAACCATATCGAAGCCGCAGCGGAGGATGGCGGTAAAGCCTCGTCTACCACCGCGGAGAACGGCGACGGGGATGCAAATGCTAAAAGTGGTCTCAGGGTTAGGGTCCCGTCACTAGGTGACATCGTCGTAGAGGAACCGGACTATGCGCTCCTCTACGCCTACGCTCTAGTTACGGGCCAGCTGGCGAAGGAGCTAGAAGTTGTGGAGAAGGAAATCAAAGAACTATTCGGGCGGCTCGACGAAGATGCGCTGTTACTACAATAGCGAGTCGATTCGACCAACCTTTATTAAAAGAACTAAGTGCGCGAATTTCGAGTCGGCAGCTTGGCTCGGCTCGAATTCCTCTTACTAGGATTCAAGGGGTATAAATAGGTTACCTAACAGGTACATATATATACGTTATAAAGCATCAATATCAAATATTGAAGAGCTGGGGAAGTCCTCGGCTAACTTACACGCACACACACATCGTTTAGGAGTCTGTTTATTAGGGAAGGGAAAGGGAAAGGGGAAGGGGAATCAGAATGAGTATACGTTGAAAAAGCATGACGTTAGTTAGCTAGGTAGCTTTAATGTAGCAATATACATACATAGGAGCCTACCTTAGGTACCTAATGTAGGTTGTGTCGGGGTAAAATATTTATATTTCGAGTATATTTAAGTGTGTTGTTGCTGGTCTATGAATTAGTTGTGCCTTTCTTTATATATCTTAAGATTTTGCTCTGCTTATTCGGCTTTGGCTTTGGACTTGGGGCATTTCGTTCGAATAAATGAGAACCTTGCTGGTCATTTGGGTATAAGTCGTAGGATCACTCCTTTCTAGACCAACTAAAGAAGTATGCGGAGCAAGCTAAGCAGATACAAGAACCCAAGTAAGCCCAGTAGCTCAAGCAATTAACTTCGAATCATTCATATTGATACTGATATTGATACTATATATATACCGACTTCGCCATACCGCCCCTAACTCCGTGACTCTAGAACAAGAACATGTCTAGCTAAAACAAGATGCCGAAACCAAATCGTCTTCTTTCGTTCCTTTGCCCCTTTTCACGCCTGCCTCTCCCCGGCTAGTGGTACATACTACAAGGCCAACCGCAGGGGGGGGGGGGGGGGTTGGGTTACTCGTCATACCCAGCCTTCGCACCGATAACGCCCTCGCTAATCTGCCTCCTCCTGCGACCAATGACCTCGCGGACCCAGTCGCTCAAGGTGAAGCCCCAGTTGCACGCAACCAAGACGCCGGAGAGGATGTTGACGATCTTGATGGCGAAGGTGATGAGGCCGTCGCGGCGCTCCTCGACGTGCAGCAAGATGGGCTCGATGTCGTACTTGAAGAAGAGGCCGGGGACCATGCGCTCGTTGATCTCCTTGCTCTGCTCCGTGACGGCGTACTGGTTGGTGAAGATGGTGCGCTCGGCCGGCGCCGACCCGGACCCCCGCTGCACGCTGTAGATGGTGGGCACCACCGACATGAAGTACTGGAACTTGAAAAAGTGCGTCTCGGCGATGTTGATGGTCCGGTCGAGGGGGTTGACTAGGGACGGGTAGTACGGCCCGAAGGAGAGCTCTGAGATGACGTGGGAGAAGTTAAAGGCTAGGGAAGCGGGTTGGTTAGTTGTTCGCTCCGAGGGAAAAAGGGGGGTTTGAAGAAATCAGACGTACCACCATGGTCCAAATGTGTAGGCACCCCTGGGTCAGAGTAACCGTGGCCCCTCGCAGTAATGTGGAAATCACCTTGGACCTTATTCAAATCCAGACTTCCATAGATACGACAGCTATCAGCCTCAGCGCCCCATAACCTAGGCGTCTTCGCCCAACGAGCCTTCTTGCGTCCCATAGCAACGATATCATGGACATGCTCCTCACCAAACCCCTCCTCATGCCAACCAGCACCCGTAACAGCGCGGCCGTGGCTATCGCGACCTAATCGATGAACACCCTTGGCGTCGACCCACTGGCCCCAGTTCGTTACATCTTCCTGCAGGCGGGAAGCGGCGCGAATGAGATCGCCGGAAGCATCCTGGACGTTGACGTGCAGGTCCTTGCACTTCATCTTGAGCACGATATCGAGGTTGATCTGCATATTGTGACCGATACCCTTCTCGACCGCAAACGTATGCGTTTCCTCGCCGCGCCACCACCGCGCTACTTCCGACCATAGCAGCACGCACGACACGACGTACATGACGACGGTCCACTTGCCGCCGCCCGACGTGCGCGTTACATATTGGGGCTTGGCTTTCGCTATTAGAATTACAAGATTACTGGTTAGCTAGGGGCCTTGGACTATGTACTAAGGAGGGTCGGATAGGTGAAATAATAAAAACAGGCGCGCTTACGGAAAGCATCAAAAGCCTTGACGAAGCTACCAGGTTCGGGTTCGTCATCGTAGTGGTGGCTTTTCTCGTTATAGCCGTCCATGGTGAATAAGTATCCTCTCTATCCAGCGCTCGAGCACGCGATTCGGAACTTCTCCAGCGCACTGCTGCAGGCTCCTCGAGACTGTCTAGCTGGGGCGGCGCTAGCAAGGCATCTGCTTCAATTCGGGAGGTTTTGAGTGATCGTCTATAAGGACTGGTCGGATCGGGTTCGAAATTGGACCATAAAAAGTCGTGATAGTTCGGATTGAACGATGTAAAGGTAGAAAGGGTGAAAAGTGAGGTTGTAGCTATTAGAGGACAACTTGCACCAAAAGGAATTAACATTTTAGGGAACCGTCGCCTGTAACTAACCCCTGTTACTGGTCCTAAAAATAAATGGGTCCCGGTTTGTAGTGTATGTGAGTGGAGTGGGGGGGACCCTTCCAGTTCCTCGCGGCTGAATTTGGAGAAATGCAAGAGTGGGGTCAATCGACCAAATATGTCCTAATTAGATATTCACTGCATACGAAGCACTTACGTACTCAACTATCTTTTATGATAAGCTTCATAATCATAATATTAGAACTGAGAACTGCAAACAAGGAATACAATTATACAAACTCATAATACAAGCTAGACTGTACACAGACAATATTAGGAGATACTTCACCCATAACTTAGGAAAAAACACGAGTAAATTCAGCTACTGAAACTATCCCTACAGCTCCTTCGCGTGCCAATCTGTTCCTATTATCTAACGAGTGGACTGTAGTTGAGATGTGTAAAAGCCATGGAGAATCCATAGTCAGGAAGAGAGAAGCCATCGCTGAATCGAAAACTTCCGAAACAATTAACACCCGTGAGAGGAAATGGGGAACTGAATATCACACTGCAACCGAGTCCCTATCCTCCCTTAATTCCCTTCGCTAGCCGCACCGTATTCCCGGTACCAGAGTATTGTGACCAGAATGTTTATTACGTTTTTACTTCCTAGACGCAGACTTGTGCTGTTCTGAGAGATACTCCTCATCCGACGCATCGAGGATGTCATACTCCTCATCTGTCATAAATCCATCCTCAGACTCGGCCCATTCGTCATCCTCGCCGCAGTCTTCAAAGTCGTCATCCTGTGAGTCCTGCGAATCCTGTACTGACTGGGCGAGAGTGGCCGTTTCTGCCTCCAGTTCGCTCTCCGACTGAGCCTTCTCATGTATGCTAGCAGCCGGCGATTCGTGCTCTAATTTAGGGATAATCATCTGGCTTTCAGCTAGTTTAGAGGCTGGTGCCGGGCTGGTGATAACCTCACGTTCATCTTGCGACTCTACTGGGGCAACCTTGGCACGGGGTGCCTGGACAGTTACGTCGCACCACAGCTTGTGACCGAACTTGACGCCATCTGGGGTCGTCAATCGCCAATACGAGATCACCTTACCTTCCCGGTCTGGGGTCCGCATCAAGACAGTGAAAGGGAATTCCTGGCCTGGTTTAAGGGCGTTGTAGCAGACAGTTGACTCCGAGGCTGAGACCAGTTCGTGAATACCAGCAGGGTGTGCGGGGTCGACAGCACCCATGTAATCACCGCCAACGAACTTGACAGAGCAGCCGGCTGGCCACGGAACGGTACCTTCGTTTCGAACAATCCAGACCTGTTCAAAAGTGTGGTTCGGCGGTAGAACAGTTCCGTCGGCAATGGTGTCCCGCAGGAAGACAGCAATTAGCTCCTCTGAGGTTGGCTTCTTCTCGATCGAGGCGGCTACCTCAGGTTCTACTACTTCGCTCTTGATCTTGACTTCGTCCGTCTCCTCTGCCTTAGGTGATTGCTGCTCGGTAGGTTGCACGTCGACCACGGTCTGCACAGGCGTAGCAGCAATGCTCTCGTGTGCTGAAGCAGCCGCGGTCACACTATTAATAGAGATAGGCCGAACACGATCTCCCATCGTGGGGAGGCGCTGACCATCCTCGTGCTCACCGGTAGTGGTAACGCTGACGTGACGTACTGGAGTCTTAAACTTGATCAATGGGTGCGTCTTGTTGTGCGTGTTGGAGGGGCTAGCCTCGCAGTTGGCGCAGAAGTCGGTATCGTGGCAGACAGCACACTTATACCGTACACCGACAATGTATCTCGAACGAACACGAGATGCTGAGCATAGCGGTCCATCACAGCAGATACCGTAGTGTGTACCACGCATCATGGAGCGGAATGCGCGATCAGTCAAGGGCTCGTAGATTGTTACAAAACGGTGGTTGGGGTGAATGAACTCGGCATTTTTAACACACTCCGAGCAGTAGTCCCAATCAGGGCAGTCTAGGCACTTGTGTCGGACGCCTCGGACATATTTGTCACAGCCATCACAGATAGCATTGTGGGAGGCATTTCGGCCGGGAGACAAGAGCGACGATACATCATGATCGAAGACGGTGCCCTTGACAGCAGGAGCGAATCCATGTGCAGGGTGATGACCATGCTTATTCTTAGCAAAGCAACTCTTACATAGATCGTAATCGTCGCATGTGGTGCAGTGTGAAGGAAGTCCTCTCCGGGGAAATCCTGAACACAGCAGTTGCAGGTGCGGTCATTGTAAGTGGTGTCCCAAACTCTCGGTGAAGGTGCCCAGTTCGCATTCTCAGCGGGTCTAATAGGAAGGATCACGGGAGCCTTGCTTGTTTGGGAACGGGAAGTTTTGGGAGCAATGTGGGTAGTGCTGTAATTAACCTGTCCATCTTTGATATAACGCTTGATGAGCCAATGGCCTTCGTTGTAGCAGGTAATGCCCTGGTTGACACAATCCTGGCAGAGGTCGAAGTCACCGTCATCGCAGGTAGAACAGTGGAAATGAGCATCGGGAACGGCTCGGTCGCAGCTATTGCAGCAAACAGTGAATTGACGCTTAGGGACACCAAGGGTGATCAGCGTATCGCTTGTCTTCGTCTCTTCATCTTCGAATATAGGCGCAGTTATCACGCCGGTAGGGAATAGAACCTCCGCGGCTTCCGGAGCCTTGGGGGTAGGAGCCTCTTTCTTGCGGGGTTCCCAGGTCAGGTCAGTAGTGCGGGTCATCTTCGATGCATTCCGGGAGAAAGGACATCGAGGTACGTCCTCCTCGCTCGACTCTAGCGATATCAAAGGCTCGGCCGGGACTGGAAATGTGGAGCTCAGTAGGTCAACTACCTCCTTGCCCTCAGCATCCCGCTTTAAATGGATCCTGGGTCTGCCATGTGTCTGCCATAGCTTAACGAAGTCGGGTAGGTTCGAATGAATGTCGGAGACGGGAACAGTGTCTAAGATTCCAACAGAGGCCTCAGTAGAAACTGGGGCGGAAGACTCTAGCGGTGGCGACGGAATACGGGCAATGGGCTCAGCTACTTCTCGAGACTCTGTTTCAGGCTCGTCCTCAATAGTAACAGGCTTAGGGATCTTGTGTAATTCCGGTTCGGGTACAGGCACGGGTACGGACTCGACCTCGACCTCGGGTTGGGGTTGGGGCTGGGGCTGGGGCTCTGGCTTGGCTTGTGTGGTTACTCGCAACTTTAACTTTTGCTTGGCCTTAGCAGCTCGATAAAGTTGCTTGTAAGCAGGAACATTGGTCGGATGTAAGATGACGAAGGATCCAGCTGAATCGGAATACCGTTCATATATGGCAGGCGTACCAACAGGAATCTGTAGGAAAGAACGGAGCTGCGAAAGCGATATTAGTATAGGATCCCACGAAATGAATGATGGGAAGTAAAAAGGTTAGATGGAAAGAGTGAAGTTTGCGATACGTAGATGAAATAATGCTTACCTTGTCTTCGAGCGTGCTCAACACAAGCTCGCGAAGAGGCAACTTAAAACGACGAGTCGTACCATCAAAGTTAACCTTGAGAGTAATTAAGGTATCCGGAGTAGCTGTCGACGACGAAGCCATCTTGACCGGCGGACTAGTGGGGAGAACTTCTCGTTAGTATGGTTAGGGTTTATTAATTAGTTGAGAGTTGAGAGAGGGAAGGAAAAGAAGTGTCAGTTCCGCCAATGAATTGGAAAGATGGTACGTGCCCTGGTAAGGGCTTTGGAGAGGGTCGGGGTCGGGGGGTAGTGGTGCAAACGGAGGCACGTACATAAGGTAAGAAGATCAGATTAATAAGATGTCAGGTGGTCAGTTGCCACTTATCAGGGAAATGATTGTAGTACAGGGGCTCCTAGATTTAGGCGGTCAGATTTGACAGCCGTACGTATCGTGGCCTCAATCAAGGGCCAGGACGGAGATGTCAACGAATGGGGATGATATATGTTACAAGTGACATACGGTCGGCCAACGATATGGGTAAGATGAATACAGCTGTAAAAAGAGATGGAAATGATAAAAGAATCAAATATTTGATGATTGTGAGGGGATGACGGAATTAATGTGTCTAATGAGGGAAGTAAGGAACCTAAGGGAAGAAGTGGTCCGAGGCAGACACCGCCGATCTACCCAATGCACACAGCAGGAAGCGAAAAGCAGGAAGCGGGAAGCGGGAAGCGGGAATCAGGAGGGGAAAGGCTCAATGCTGTTTTGTGAATGCCGTAATAAATAAGGAACACAACTTACATGTACGGAAATCCAGGTGATGTTTACACCACCTGGTAAGAAGTACGGAAATGAAATTGGTACAACACCGCTTGCTAAACGTTGGCGATGCTGAGAGGGTTTGTAGGTGTGTTGTATGTGTTGTATGTGTTGGAAGAGGTAGATAAGTAGATGGATAAGTAGGTGTCTAAATGGACAAGAGTTGACGAGTTGAGGTCGTAAGAATAATGGGGACGAGAGTGCACTAATCGAAGCGGCAATTCGCAATGCAGGCAGATAAGTGGCCTCGCAAGCTAAATAAAGGCACACCTTTGGGTGTGGGGAAGAGAGAGAGAGTTAAATGGGTGGAGAATAGGCTTGAAGCTAAGCAACAGCTGTTGAACGGGCGGGCGAAACAAAGTTCGTGCTGCTTCGATGACGGATTACTGAGAAGTGGAGACCGTGGAAACCGGAGAAGTAAGGCTGTTGGTCAGTCAATGCGGCAATCGAGGTATTTTCCTACGGTCTAAGCGGGTTTTTATGACAGTAAATTCCATCAGAGAGCATGAATGTACATATGAATGTACGTGCCTAAGGTGCATGCGTAACCTAGGTACCTAGGTACATTCTGGTATCCACCTCATAGGCAACGGAGCTAAGGCACCGACTTACGCATAGGTAAGTTTACATAGTACATGTAGGCTAGATAGGTACCTAGGTACTTACATGCAGGCTGCCTGCCTACCTCTAGTCTGTATGTAATGCGCAATTCATTAGATATTTTAACCACGCGTGATGTTGATGATGTTTGATCATATTAGTGACCAAACTAACTCCCTACCTAACGTATTATTTATCAACACGGCCTCGGAGATAAACTACTTGACTCCATTAGTGCCTATTTTTCTAGGATATTTGTAAGCACTTTACAGGTTGTCTCACACAGTTATGTACCTGTAGATAGATACCGTAGACAAGAAGCTACCTAATATCATTCAATAGTTCACTTTTTAACGATAGCTGACAATACATACCTGACAATATCTACCTCTGTGACACCGTGCATTATACCTGGGTACCCTTACGAGTAGCCTCATTTATGACCACTCAGTGTGTACCGAGATAAAGGGGGGTGCAAGTTAACAGCGCCATCGGCCAGGGTCATACCACAAATGACGTAGCAAAGGCGTCGGTCGATTTCTTTATGATACCCGAGTTTTCTTCCGATATAGAAGCTAGATATAACTTCATTAGACCTCATCTGATTCATGTCTTCGGTATTGAATCAAGGAAATCTTACCGCGGAGTTAAGAGAAGAGAAAAAGTGAGACGCTACGTACTCGCGACCCCCATCGTATGTTATGCCCACCTTCGTAATTAGCATACCTAGATATCCCTTAACCAAGAGATATATATAGGTATATATAGAAGTAGGCCACAGCTTTATAATTTACAGGTTGATTATTCGTTCTTATATCCGAGTCTATTGGAAAAAGCAATTGGTCGCCCTACCATCTACTATACCTTTTAATGGAGCTAACCGTCTACCTAGAGATGAAAGATGCCGACAGTATCGGATACATATAACCGAGCATTGAACTGCTATAGCTATAATATAACCTAAGGAATATGTTATGGTGTATACGTTAAGTTCTAAAGAGTCGTACTGAAGTACTCGGTTATATCCCCGCTGTATTTGTAGAGAAAGTCATAAGTTATAACCGAATTACTACATAAATTGCTACATAGTTCCAAAGTTGCATTTACATTCGAATGCAGTAGAAGTTGCGGGTTGCCCCTTTCGATGCGAGAGCATTCTTGGCCTACATATGATCTGCTTATAGTGATGGCAAGGCTATTCTCGAATATACGAACTAATTCTTCGGCCTTTGGCTTGTGTTCCCCATTCTCCATATCCGAGGCCCTCATACATACCTTAGACCTTAGGTAGGCTCCGATCCGATTACTTATCAAATTTGTGAGACCTCACTGTTGTGTTACAGGCCCAGCAACCCCAATGTTCAGTCTGATCCTTAGGATGATTACCCCATACGTGCATTACCTATCTTTATCCCCATGTGGCGTCTAGAGGCAGTATTACCGGTGAGGGGCCGTCCACACCACACAGCCGATATGATGTAAGTTCCCAAGGAAAAAGTATGACTTCAAAGAATGAAGTTGTCCTCGGAGAACAGACTTACTATAGTTCAAACTTACTCTCTCAGTTAATAATGCTTTGGCTAATCATTATAATAGTACCTTACGTACTATCAATCCCCATTTTCCTGTTTCCTAGTGTTGATGTTAGATGGATGATATTGTTTTTTGGGGAGGTTATGAGGCTTCCTTTGTTTCTCAATAACCATTGCTTCTCTTCATTGCAGGTAGATAGATATTAGCTGGTCACAGATTAAGAATATGTTTCCAACCATCGCCATATTGCCTCAACGCAATCGTCTCAAAGTATTGAAGCTGAATTCAGATGGCGCACTTAATTTTGCCAAGCACTTACCAGTGCTTCCCGACGAAGTATCGGATGCCGTTTGGCCTTATAGACATGCCCAACGTTTATCCGTTATTAGACGTAGAGTAATCGAAGATATCAAATGATGTTATCTGAGGCCCAAAGCAAAACACTTAAGCTATAATAAGAGCTATAATAAGGCTCGCTATTCTGTAGGGGCTTAAATCCAACCATAGCACAGTATCTTCCCTACAACACCACTACGAGCGATTAGAAAGAAGTTGGCCAATAGAATTACTAACCGCGATATCCACTGCGATGTCATGGCTCTAGCTCTGTTGAATATCATCCCGTTGCTACGGTTGTCACCTCCAACCAAGCTAGGTCCAACCAGCAGTAACCACAACTGAAGCCCATATGTTCTGCATATGTACGACAGCTATAATTTAGGAACTCTTACGGGACTGGTGCTATAATTTGTCATTAGCTTTGTTTTCCGCAGGGTCGCCGGTGTATGTCGAGAAAAGGAATTACAACTAATGTCGCTCATAGCTCGACATGTATCATAATATACTCAGGATACAAGTTTAGAATCGACAGTATATAATGCGATATGACCCAGAAGGAAATATAGAAGGATTGAGCACCGGCAATGTGATACCGATAAGAGAGTCCGCAGTCTCGTCTATAAGGTAAGACGAGTTCTCAGTTACCTATCGGTTATCTCTGCCCACCTATATGTACCGATCAGATATGTAGCTGTAGGGCCGCGGTTGCGATGCGCTTGAATGAGTACTGTTACAGGTTATAGTCTGCATACTCCCAAGGCCGGCATTGGATCGGCAGTAAGAGCAAGATCGGCAAAGGCGAATTGTAGATTCGCCCAACGGTTTCATAACGCTTGATGTGCGTTGCAAGGCTGCTCATTGGCTATAGTTGTAATAACGAAAACTTGACGAATGTGGAAGTTAAACAAAGGTCCTGACCAGTTCGCTTGCACCCGAGAGGTATGTATGTTAGAGAATCTGCCTTAGAAAATCGTACGTAAAGATGGACGCCCTGCACCACAAAAGTCGGCTCGTAAAAGCCGGGTTTAAATAGACCTTCGCACGAGAACCGTCTAGCGAAGTATGACGGCGGATTGGCGATACCGGAGGCCGTAAAGGGGAATAACAGACAGGAGTCTAGGTAGACATGCTATACTGAGCTTACTAATAAGGATTCCCTCTACTGGGGCAAGCGAATAAGGGATAACGCCGTGACATATTTTGAGATGTTACTCTCCTGTGTAAAATCTCGAGGGACTTCATACGAGCTAGACAAGACCAAGCAACTTGCGAGGCCAGTTGCGAGGCCATAGCGGAGTTTTGAAGAACCCATCGTCAAAAACGGACAAGGATCATACAGGCGATGATTCATGCCGTCGATACGTGTAAAGACTGGTTGGTGAAAGTGGTGGGAGGAGCCTGGACTGTGCTGTACATTACAGTTGTACTCGGATGATTTGGACGTGATTCTGCATGCGGAGGCGCCCCGGCCATTGACTGCGTATGAGTGGATGATATACTCAAGGGAAGTACCGCTTTATGTTGGGCGATATGTTTTGTTTACGGAATAGGGCCTCGAAGACCAATTCTCGTCCAGCGTGCGAGGGGAACACCCAGTACTGTACGTACATACGACGAATGTACGTATGCAATGGAAAATACCTAGCTAGAGGCATTCCCTAAAGTACGGTACATTAGACGAATTGGTGATGGGATGCAAAGGGACATATGTTATAATTAACTGACATGTCCGTATATTGTTTATAAATAAAACGAATTAGCTAGGTAGTTGGAAGTAATCACAGAGAACTAGCAAACAAGAGAAGAAAAAAAAAGGAATAAGAAACTATTTGCTTACCTAAGTCTTCTTACATAGGTATTATTTTCTTATTATTTAACGAGTAGACATTGGCTCCGTAGAAAAAAAAAAGGATCGACAAGAGTTTTCGAGAAACAAACCTCATTGATAAGGTACTCGGGTTGTTTGTACCGACGCCTTTTACCAAGCATGCTAAGACCCAAATGCACCTCAGCTCATTGGCCCCAATTAGAAGAATAACAGGGGGCAGGTACAGTGAGTACCAGGTGGTGGAGGATGAATTAGGTACTTAGGTACCTCTAATGCTAGAAGGCACCTTCAATTTTCAGACTTCTGATCTGGACTTGGTTCGACTGGGTTTGTCTCCGCTCTGCACTTTCTACTTTCTGACTGCTACGCTACGCTACCTCGTCTCCACTAATACCGATTGTACTGTATTTAGTGATGTATTTTGGTATTTTCAGTTATTCTAGGCGTTGTATCGTCGTTGTATTGTACCTGTCTCTCCACTACAACTCCACTACCCTCAACCTTACACCAAGGCAAAGCAGGCCTACCTGAACCTGAATCCTGACCTGATCTCAGAACTTCTAAATATTAATCCCTTTTGGCTTGGCTTCTATCCCATCCAACAAAAAAGCCCTCCTTGATACTACATCACCTAGAAAAAAAAAGATAAACACGATAAAACCCCCTCCGCAGTGCTTGTGAACACCTCTCACAAGCCTCGAGGCTTTTCTATAAAAAGTTGTTCTTGTTTTTTTAATTTTCTTCCTTACCGTCTTCTTTTTCTCTGGCCTGCCGTCTCCGAACCTGGCTCGACAAGAGACAATTTCCATCGTTTTTAGGGGAAAAAAAGGATCCTGGGAAAATAGGCATACTGGCTTCTTAATTGATTTTCTTCACTAACTTTCCTTTCTTTTCTGCACCGCAGGCGGTTATTTCGCCTTTAGGTTTTTATTTATCGAGGAAGCCCGTCGTCCGATATTCCATCCGCCAATCCGAACATCGCATGAGATCCATAACCATCACGACGCCTACGTCGTGCCCAAGCACCATTTTTAGCTCTACCAGGACGCTCCCCGCCATCCTTCCCCGGCTCTGAGGTCTATCATCCACTCTTTATCGACGCTAGCGCAGCTTAAGGAATATATTATTTTCAACATGGTAGCTGCTATCCGCCGAAGAAAGATGATCGGCCATCGCCGACGGGTGGAAGACGAAGGCGAGGATGAGGGTGGTCTTGAACAGCTCGACATTGACGATGACTCCTTGACAGATGGGTCTATGGCTTCCGAGGATCCCGATCCGGCCGACGACAGTGATACTAGTAATGTCGATGAGGCTTCACCGACGACGCCTGCTGCTCCGAAGTTGACCAGTCAAGCGGCCAATGGCAACGGTAATGTGAAGAGGACGCACACCAAGTCTTCCGGCGGCCACCCAACGAAGGGCTCCAGAAAGACCGGCCCAAACGCTGTATCAGACACTGAATTCATGATGAGCAACCTAAACATTTCGGACGAAGCTGCTCCGGTGCAGGTGCTGAATTTTGAAGAATCTATGGAATCTCAATCCAAGTCCTCGGCCCCTATAGTGGTTAGCTCGAATTCTGCTGTTGCGAATCCGGATTCCTCTCAAGACCCAACTACTGATAAGCGACGAAAGGAGCATGATGAGTATAGGCGCAAACGAGACGAGGATCCGTGGTTCGTTCCCAACCGAGGCGCCTTCTTTATGCATGACCACAGACATGCCGGCCCTTCTGCCAACGGATTTCGCCCTTTCGGTAGGGGTCCTCGGGGGAGAGGTCGCGGTGGTATGGTCCTTTTTTGCGCCAATAAAGTATGTTACTACTAGCCAGCAGCTTTATATTGTCTCGTTAGCTAACACGTATAGTCATCAAATCCATGGTCCGGCAGATCCAACGACAAATGGACCTTGGGCACACGATATGCACGAGGCAGTCGCACAGCCTATACATGCCCGACAACCGCGGCCCTCGTTTACTGACGATGGTCCACCGAACGGCGATGGCTATATTCCCACTTGCTCTGCCAGCACTACACCAATCAACCGGACTATGGCTACAGATAAGCATGTTGGCAATGTGCAGATCAGAGTCTACTTCCCAGGAATAAAGGAGCCCGTCATCTTCCCCGGTATACAAGTACGACAGTATACAAAATTACCAGACCACCGACCACCACTAAGACGCGACAAGCCTGTCCGTATCTCCCTACCTGATTTCCCTCCCCGATATATCTTTCCAGCCACCGACAGGTCTTTCATCTTTATACCCCGAGCGATGCGTCCGAACCAACGACTGCGGGGCAAGCCAAGGTCTGGTCTTGGATCTATTGGCGGGTTTTCTAGGAGGACGAGCGTGTTTGGGGGGAGTGTGTACGCTGGCAGTGCGTATACTCCGAGCATCGCTCTTAGCCGACGATCTTCGATTGCCCCTGATTTGGGGAGAGATTATCTGGTATCCCCGACCGGTTCTACTATGTCGCGACCGCCATTACCCTATGACGCTGCTCGGCCTGTTGTCAGGCTCCCTCCACAAGGTCGACCTGAACAACACAGCTTCCCGCTGTTGATGGTACACCAGCAGAAGGGGTTGCTGGAGTTGGTCAACCTGCTATGAGCGATGGTTTAATGCAACAAACGCAACCCCAAAGGCCGGTGTTCCAGGAGAATAGACCTGTACCCTATTATGCACCAGCCTCGGCCGCAGAAGACTGTCTCGGTAGCCGGCATCGAGTCACCAGAAATGCAGCACAATCCGTCCCAACCATATCAGCAGGCCTTCCACCAACAAGTTCCTGTTCAGTGTCGACTAGCCTGGGCCAAGAATCTCATGCCCGACATCCCTCGTACCAGTCTCAACATTCGACCGGCACACCGCTCTCCCAAATTCCTGAACGCGCCATTCATGCTGCTCCTTTCCAGCCAAACCAGTTCGCCCAGCAGAACTACTACCAGCCATACCAGATGATGCAGCCTCAACAAGGCTATTACTACCCCCCAGCTACTTATCCAGGTGCATTAGCTCAATCCGCCGCCACCGCACATTCGTTCCGGGAGCGCAACAACCTCAATCTCAGGGTGAACCCGCTACAAATCAGCCAACTGGGCAGAGTACACCAAACTCCAATTTGGTTGCTCAGGAAGTCAATGGCATGGTCTACTACTATGATGCATCTCAGTTACCCCCTATGGCTACATACAACCCCTACCCAACGCCCCAGGGTTATCCGATGCCTGGTGGAGTTGTAGGCATGAACGGTATGGTTACCCCGAGCCCAGATGGCTACTACTACCCCCCGTCGGGACCCGGTGTTGTCTACTACCAGCAGTGAGCTGTTTCTGCGTCGTCTCGATAACATTGCTTCTATCATATAGCTGTGGAATACGGGAATACTTGGTCGTGCGGATTTGCACGTCAACGGCATTGGTTAGCTTCGGCGTAGGTCGCTTAGGAGGCCTTAGTCTAGCTAATTCGTCTTATGGCTGTTCCTATTTCACTTCCCCTTGGATCACCACGGCAATATACAAGACTCCATCAACCACCCTTCTATCTCAGCGGTACTATAGTGATTCCACAAGAGCTTAGTCTTCTTAAACCTACCCTAGAATTGGGTTTGTAAGCCGGTGGTCGAATTTCTCTCCTCGCCCGTCCCAACCTAACTGACTACCTAAACTACCTAACTTACCTATCCATCCGCCCCCGACTTTTTCTTCTCTTTCGGCTCTTATTGTGTTTTTCCAACAAACTTCTGGGAAAGGGGCCCCATACCGCATAGGCGTTCGGTGGAGTTTTCGTGCTTTGCTTGCGTTTGCCGTTTGAACATTTGCTCTTTTTGCTACTGCTACTGCTACTGCTGCTGCTGCTGCTGCTGCTGCTGCTGCTGCTGCTTGTTATTTTGGTTTTGGCTACTCCTTTTTCTTCTTCTATCGCATGAACGAAAGCGAGTTGAGCTGAGCTGAGCTGTTGTTGATTGGGCCTTGGGAAGATCAACCATATGCTCGTTCGTCGCTTGTGTGGGAAATTCTTTCTCCATAGGTACGAGGGAGCAGAAGGAGAGGAGAGGAGGGGAGGAACAACTGGCGGTAGTAGTTAGGGGGAGCCAAGGCGGATCACGATCGCGTTGTCGATGCTTAGTTCACTACACGATGCGATTACGGGGAAGGGAGGCGAAAGACGTGACTAGGTAGCGCAATCGGTTGCGGACGTAGGAAACCTAAATTATTCAACCCCTTCTGCTGCTTGAGTTGTCTCTTGGATGTAATGTGATCGCTTGAATCGTTGATTTCTATAATGTGATGGATGGAAATGGATGTCTGCTCTGGGGGATAAGGTGGTGGTGTTGAGTTGGAACTATGATGACTATCAAAAGTTATGTACCTAATCTACTTGATCCGTCCTAGCTATAGTTATAGTAGATGGTCGTATAATAATTGGTCTAGAGGTCTTGGAAAATCAATGTCAAGTTTACCAAAAATCAGTAGTATATTAAGAATAGGGGTAAGAATGATACGATTCCATTCTCTAGGTGTGAACTATCTATAGTCTACCAGCGTTGGACTCGCAAGCCACCGTCTACAACGAGCTACAACAAAATAAGTTAAAGGAAGAAAAGACAGTAGAAATTTAGTCTCTCTTCTATGCCTTTATCAGCCTACAATCCATCCATCTAGCCTAAGACCTAACCCCTTTTCAGTATACCGGTGTTCCTATCCTCGGCGGCAGAAATACTGGTGTCTACTGGGGCTCGCTTTCTGGCTGGATTTCATCTTTTGAGAGGAGATCGATGCTGGTAACCCATTTCTTTTCACCGCCATCGTCGTCATCGCTATCAGGTGGCGGTTCGAGGTTCTGTACTTCTTCGATCTTGGGGACTAGACCAAGACGCCGATTTCCTTGGTCCCAGACCTATTGGTAATAAGTCAATACTTTTTGGCCGGAGGCTGTAGGAGTAGATGGGAAAGAGAAAGGGCGGATTAAAAAGGGGGAGAGAAAGATAAAAGGACTATGCTTACAGCATAGACACTCTTCAAGAATGTATCGCCGAGGATATCAAAGGGCATCATGCCACGGCTTTGAATACCCCCGTACCAGTACTTCTTGTCGTCAGTTAGAGCGAAAGCCAAGTCCTCTTTCTGAATTAAATATTCCTTATCGCCAACGGCCACCTTGACCTCGGGTATGTCGTCCGCCTTGACGTCGATCGGGAAGATGTAGCCTTGGTTGAGCCAATCGTAGGTCGCACCGGGGATCTGATCGTAGATCTTCTTAGCGACTTCATCTGATACTAGTGCCAGCGTGGTGCCGGTATCAGCGATGGCAGTGTTACCGCTGAGGTCGACGCTCTCGCCGTTGATAGTGTAGGATTCAGATGAGACAGACCAGAACCCTTCAGAATTGTCGACTTCCGTCCAGTGGATATCGTGGCCGGTCTTTTTGACGAGGTCTTCGTCGATGAATCCAAATGTGTAAAACGAGTCGGGGTCTTTATCACGTGAACTATAGAAAGCAGTTGTGAAGAGCTTAGACTCCTTAGGGATGTCATCCTGCTTGATCATGTTCTCGACGGGAGTGGCTTGGGGGTCAGCCTCGCCGGAGTCTGTGACTGTGTTGATCTTGCTCCAGGCGAGACCAAGGAGACCGTCGCTGGTGCCCTGGGAGAACTGTTTGGATAGCTTGGTGGCACACTCGATCGTCTGATTCTTGACGGCCAGGCCACCAATGACAAGTGTGTCGCTGCCGCAGTCACCGGATGCTGTTGAGCCATCTCCGTACTGGATCTTCCAACTCTTTCCAGGGAGTTTCTTGAAGGACTCGGACTTCTTGGGGTCGAAGGCGTTGTGTTTAGTCAAGTCAGACTTGTGTTGAAGAGTCGAACGAACCTAACGCAAGAGTTAGACTTAAAGAGACTTGAAATTCAAAAAGGTTCAGCGAACCCAAGTATCAGCAGAGCCGGTATCGAAGTCAAGTAACAGTTTCTGGGGTGGGGTGCCGATTTTACCTCGCAGATATACATGGAGTCGTTTTGTTATCCTCTGCAGTGACTTCTGTAGTCTGATCGCGTCTTCAGGTTTACCTTTCTTGACTAGGGTCCTCTGTGTGTGTACGGTACCACCAAGAACCCCCTTTAGTTCTTCGGGGAGAAGGCCATGCTGTCTAACTTTGTCGATATGAAAATAGGGGCCTGGTAAAGTAGGTTGAAACCCAAAACGGTTCAACGCGTGGACGTAGGACTTGGTACCGTGACGCTTGTAATTCTGGTTGTGGATAACTTTGGTCTTAGAGAGGCCAAGATCCTTCTTGACCTTGTTCTGAGCAGCGTAAAGGGCATCCATCGTGGCTTTCAGTTGATATGATCGAGTGCTGTTAAGTACTGTTGACATATAGTTTTCTACACTGGATTGAATTACTAGGTATATACTGATTGGAATATAGGTGATGATTAGGTATTTTGCGATATGTATATGTCAAATGAGGAAAACGGAAGATGATAGAAAATAACAGGGTTAGGTGATGAGGTCGTATGTCCATCTTAAATAATCGACTGCTGTCAACTTCGCTCTTGCATCTATATCAAGAGGAAGCAACGGTGAAACATAGAATTTAGACTACGTGATACAGTTTATTTCGGTTTCATAATGTCCAGAGCACCTGCTAGATGATATATAACGTGGTAAGGAGTATTATTGATTGGAGTAATTCCCTAAGGTGAACTCTTTCCATGGGAACTACCTTGCCGTAGCTTTAGCCTTCTAAATAGGATTATACGTTTACATGAATCATTTAAATAAGAGGATTGCTACCGGTGTCTTATTACCTCTATAACTGGTACTTCGTTCTATATTTTATTTAAGTTAGAGCTCGTCTATTTGCTGAATATGCGAAACTTTGTACCAGGTTGTAAGTGTCAAAGTTATATTAAACACTATTGAGGCTCAGCTGCACAGGGCTTATAATTTATTGTAGCTTCACTATTCCAAAAATGAACCCTCGAAGACCATTACTTATCCAGCATTCTTCCCCGTCGACCAGCGAATCTGCAGGAACGACTTGTTCGACAACAAGATTCCTGTTCCAATTAGCATCAGCTACTTAAGATTTAGACCAATACCAAGAATAGGTGAATCCAGATTTACCTCTCTAAAGCCCATCTTCTTGTTGTACCGTTATTTCCACCGCTCCCTTCAGAAGCGTGATATTGTATGGGAATAGGGGGAGTGACCCATTTTCCATCTCTCCAGAAATAGGGGGTACTAATACTACCCTCCATAATATGCCCTTCATCGTTGACAAGGAGCACTTCTTTTTTATCGCCTAGATTTATTTGAGCCCGTCTCCTTGCATCGTTGTACATGTCTCTAAAAGTGGTTTTGTAATGAGTAAACTCGGATTTTGAAGTCTTCTGATCATCAAGGAAGATGCCATATATAGGATCCTTGATTGGAACCTTGCCATCTCCTTCGGTTGAATCCTCGCGATCTAGGCTCGGTAGATATTCTGGATATAGATTATTTAGATGTGTCTCTGGAAGAGGAGAAGTTTGATAATCTAGAGTTCCATCCTGGGCTAGGCTAAGCATTATTCGATGCGGGCCGTTGCTAAATCCGTTGGTAATGCTCTGAAGGAACCTTTGCAGATTTCCTAAGCCCTCCTCACCAGAAACGACGGCGACTGCGGCTGACCATTGCCAGTAGACGGCAGCCCTTAGCATACGGTCTCGGTGTAAGTCAAGCATATAGAAGGGGGAAGAATTCTGATTCCATCCTGTATTGACATATCCTAATTCTGGGACTTTCAAGAGAGCAGGATCATATCGTATAGATGTGAAGATATGAAAAGCGTCCATTGTATGTATACGGTTTGACGGTTTGTTAGTTTGTTAGTCTCGTTTGGCGATCTTCAAGCTTTGAATGAAGCTATCAAATATTTACATATGTATAATGTAAGTGCTAAATATTAGATACATAAATGTACTACATATATGTACATGTAGGTCCGCGTTGGCTTATGCGAGAAGCTTAGTGGATGTTAATACTGTATATACTTACCGAGTACATGGCACTAATAAGATATATCTCCCGGGATAACGAATGCGGTGGGTACACGTATGTACATACATACGTACATGTACGTAGTGGGCGTAGTGGGCGTTTAGACACGAGGCTGCTGGGTTGAGCAGGTACATGTAAGTAGCGCGTACATACGTCAGGTACTCCACAGATGTACCTAACATAAGACATTGATTGAAGTGGCTTGGGATAAGTACTTTGTACCTACCTCCTATGTAAGGTAGGAAGGTAGGAAGGATAGGAGGGGTGGGCTGTCGCTATCTACTACATATGGAGCTCTCCGATTGATGATATTGATGACGAAGTGATTGTGGGCCAACCAGGGTCGAAGCTTTCAGAGCACAGCGCATATTAAATTGGGTCATACACTACTAAAAGATACTATGTACTTGTTGTAAAGTACCTAGTTAAACTTTTTTTTTGCGCTTGCAAAGTTTTTTTTTGATCGGTAATAATAATAAAATAAAATAACAACTTTAACAACTTATTGAATTTTGATTAAAGCTTCTTTACACAGCTATCCGCAACCAAAATACAATAAAAAATCGTCATCACTATTTATCATTCTTGACCCTGTGTCTTGCTGTGTCTTGTGACTCGACCGATTTTGCAACCTCGACTTATCAAGTCACCTTTTTTTTTTTTCTTGTCACCCTGGTTGCCGCACTTTGTTCCCCACCTCGAAATCAAAATCGACGACATCCGTCCGATTCCACCGTAATGTCTCGTGCTTCCGCAGCTCCGCCACCGATGCCTCCCATAGCCCAACCTATTGCTATCCCCGTAGAGCCCTCCCTTTGGGACCGCTTTACCAATTGGGCATCCGAGAACAAAGCGCTCGTCTATACCATTGCTGGTGTAGCTGTTGTCGTCACTAGCGCTGTGTAGTTTACTATCTTAATGGTGATGCTGTAAGTTATTTTCTTCTTTGAAATCTTTTTTTTCCTTCACTATGATAGCTAGCTCATATTCCTACCTAGCAAAAACCGAGGTCTGCTTCGCAAAGTAAACCTAGCAAGAAGGAGAGGCGGAAACGAAAGGAGGCAGAGCGCCAGGCCGAAGCATCTAAAACTGTCCCGGCAGGTGAACAAGCGAAGACCCCGACAGTAGAAGCCGCCGATGAATTACCCGAGATCAACGAGACCACTGTCGATACCTTCACCGATGAGCAGCGTCGCGACTATGCCCTGCAGTTAAAGAACGCTGGAAACAAAGCTTATGGCAGTAAAGACTATGACAGAGCTATTGATCTCTATTCCAAGGCTATCCTCTGCAAACCAGACTCTATCTTTTACTCTAATAGGGCCGCTTGCTACAACGCCCAATCCGTGTGGGACAAGGTCGTCGAAGATACGACCGCCGCTATCAGCCTCGACCCTACATATGTAAAAGCTCTAAACCGAAGAGCTAATGCTTATGAGCACCTATCTCAGTTCAGCGAATCGCTCCTCGATTACACCGCCAGCTGCATCATCGACGAGTTCAAAACCGAATCCAGTACCAATGCTGTCGAACGATTGCTTAAGAAAGTTGCTGAGCAAAAGGCTGAGGAAATCATGAAGTCCAAGGATCCCAACAAGCTACCTAGCCCCACCTTCGTCTCCAACTATATTCAAAGCTTCCGAGCGAAGCCGCGTCCCGAGGGTTTGGAGGACGACGTGGAGGTACCGGAATCTACTGGAAAAGGGCAGCTACAAATCGGGTTGAAAGCTATGGAGAAGAAAACCCACGAAGGTTATGAAGAAGCAGCAAATGCGTTTGAAAAGGCTCTGGAACTTGGTGACTTGGATAAGCACGAGGCGCTTGCCTACAACCTACGGGGTACGTTCAGAAATCTACGTGGGGCTCAAGAGGAAGCTTTGCAGGATATGGACAAGAGTATTGAGCTCGATCCGTCGTACACCCAAAGCTATGTCAAGCGTGCAAGCATGCACCTGGAAATGGGTAAGTAGCCGATGCTACGTATCACGGAAAGTGACTTAAAAACTGATCTGGTTGCAGGTGACCGAGCCAGTGCTGCCGCGGACTTAGAGCAGGCTTTGAGTCAAAACGATAGCGATCCGGACATCTATTATCACCGCGCGCAGTTGCACTTTATCCATGGCGAATTTCAAGATGCTGCTAAGGATTACCAAAAGTCAATCGATCTTGACTCTTCCTTCATATTCTCACATATTCAGCTTGGTGTAACGCAATATAAGATGGGCTCTGTGGCATCCTCTATGGCGACGTTCCGTCGGTGTGTTAAGAACTTCGACAAGGTACCCGATGTGTACAACTACTACGGAGAGCTTCTCCTCGACCAGAGCAAGTATGACGAAGCTATCCAGAAATTCGACACCGCCATGGAGATGGAAAAGCAGACGAAGCCTTTGGCGATGAACGTATTGCCCTTATTAACAAGGCACTGGCTCTCTTCCAACAAAAGGCCGAATTTACGGAAGCAGAAAAGTTATGCGAGAAGGCGCTGATCAGTAAGCGCACTTTAAAAGATCAGATAAAAACCAGATGCTAATTAGTTATAGTTGATCCCGAATGCGATATTGCCGTGGCTACAATGGCGCAACTTCTCCTTCAACAGGGCAAGATCACGGAGGCACTTAGGTACTTTGAGCGTGCAGCTGAGCTTGCTAGGACACCTGGGGAGATTGTTAATGCGCTTTCATACGCCGAAGCTACGCGGACACAGATTCAAGTTCAAGAAAAGTATCCTCAATTAGCTGCTAAACTCCAAGGAATGGGCACGGGTGCTGCTAGTATGGGGGCCGGCGCATTTGCGGGCGCCCGCTAGATGATAGCATTGGGCAGTTAATATACGCATCCTTTTACACCAAAGGGTATCACGGAGCGACTCTACTCACCCCGGATTTATTAGGAAATGTTTTGGAAGTTGGGCAAATCATATTTCGGCTTCATACGGAAACCACTACTAAAAGCGCCTGGAGGTCTGCATACGTTTACTCCGAGACCTCGAGAACCTAAAAGGTCCGAACGACGAATCGTTAGTAATTTGCCGCCGTCGTCCTGCTCACTGTACCCAGTATTGTACATAATTAATACCTCCCTCTCCTTATTGTCAAAAAAAAGGGCCCGGCCATGCATGTCATATGAGTTGAAGCGGCCGGGCTTTGTCGCCGCACCCGCACGCATGCACGCACGCACGGTATTGGTCAGTTGTTCTATAAAAAAGGGGGCTAGCGATTGTGGATCGTCGCCCCTTATAGGGGAGAGAGACCTGCGACTACTAGGGGAAACGGAATCAGGTTTCAGTGACGGTTTAATGAGAGTTCATTGGTGTTACGACTTTCTGGGATGATAAGTATATCAGGCGAACCAAAATATATAACCCATTCACTAAAATATCTTTTCACGTACCCGTTGCTAGTATATTGTGTATATATGTGTGTGTATTGCGTACTAACGAAACTCCTAATTAGGGGAAATAGGGGTAATCTTAAAACTAACAAATTTCTAAAACGCGAGGGTGTATACTAAATTACCAAAGACTACGAAATCAAGCGCGCGCCACTAGAATCGAGCCGGAGAAGACGGTAAGAACCCATGGATCGCCACCCTTCTTTCGCTCCCTAGTTCCCATGTGGTCCTTCAAGCCCCTAGACCTTAGCAATCCCCTCAGACCCAACACCATTACTAGAGCGCGAATCCAGATCCGACGACTCATCGCTAGACGCAGCGGACGAGGGGCCAGTAGCAGAGGACTCGTCAGCGTATTCGTCAACAGAAGGCTCGGTATCAGACGCGGATACAGACTCGGCCTCAGCAGCAACGACAACCTTGTCTTTCTCGCTGTCCTTGTTGATCCGGGTGATAACGTCAGCAAGCACGTCGCCCAGCTGCTCGACGTTGTCGGCGTCGCGCGGCACGAGATGGCCCAGCCCGTGGTCGTACAGCTGCGCCGTGTCCTGGTCGCACGCGTTGTACAGCGCGACGGACGAGTATACTAGCGGGTCGTTGGACCCGAACACGTGGAACGTCGGGATCGAGATGGACGTCCCGTGCTCGTCTGCCAGGCGGGCTGCGAAGCCGTCGCCTTCGGCGACTAGGGGGGGCGTGCCGGCGAAGAATATGGCGAACTGTGAGGGGGGATTTTGTTAGGTTAGGCTAGGAAGGGTAGGGAAAGGGAAGAGAAGGGAGTAGAATAAAGGAAAGGAAAAGAAATAAACCCACCTTAATACGCCTAGCCACCCCCCTCTCCTCCCACCGCCTATTCTCCTCGGCACAAATCGACGCCGCCATCATCGCGCCCTCCGAGTACCCAATCAGCCCGTCAATCTCGCCATCCGCCTCGATAGCTTCGAACAGCGCGTCCAGGGCCTCGCGAAAGGCGCGCCAGTCGTAGGCAACGGGGCGCGGCGGCTTGAACAGTCGAAGCGTGGCTTCGGGGCTCAGGCCACGCGGGATATGGCGGACGCGGCGCACGACTTCGAACGCGTCGCCTGCACCGGCCGCCGCCGGTCCGAAGAACCGGTATAGCGGACGCGACCCGAAGTAGTTCTCCCAGCCCAGCGGCGGCTCTACCTCGTGCGCGCCCTGCGTGAAGGTGAAGGTCGCTAGGCCCCGGTCCTCCATGTGCTTGGCGAAGGGCCCGAGTTGGACGCTGAAGTTCTGCACGGTGTTATTGTTAGTACGCCGACGAGACGACGGCTGTTTAGATAGATACCTGAGGTACCTAACGTAGGTAGGTTAGATGTTTACGTACCTTGGCGCTGCCGTATGCGCCGGGCAAGCAGAGGAATTTCATAATGACGAAGAGTGTAAGAGGGAGGATTCGTATGTTTGTTTTGTTTTTTCTCTTCACCCGAGCTTCTTTTCAGCCCAATTCGTCCAACGAGATTTACCAAAGTACCGCAGACGATGTGTTCAGCTGGAAGAGACGCGTGTCTTAGCTGTTCTTCTATTTCTATCAGGCTATCGATGGGGTAAGCGAGCTACGCCTTTCGTAGGTCCGGATGGCGTACGACTGTTGATGATATATACCTCACGGCTTGAGTGAGCATCGTATCCGGAAACATTCTTAAGACTGCCGTTGAACGACCACTTGTTAAGACTGTTTTGCCCCCCGTGGGGACCACCCGTAAACTCACATTAAGTGACGATAACCATGTGGGTGTCTTGTTGGTAGCGTCTATGGTGGCCGTCTATAATAACCTATGCTTGCACCCTTGTTGGCCTACACCCTTCGAGAGAGATTGATGTATGTCAAGGTGCAGGATATGTGGTGGATATATTGCACCAATTGGGAGATAAGTTTCGCGAACATTCTCCTCATGTGCCAGTCATGCGAAGATACGCCTATCCGTACGGCCGTCAAACGTCAAGCTGTTGCTGAGAAATAATGTTGTAGTTTGAAACAAGGGCCACTAGCTTATGATCGACAGGCTACTTCGTACGGGCTGGAGGTTGCGACGATCTATCCACGGACTTCCGACACTCATCCAGAGTTTTCTGAAGCACGTTTTCCTATTCCTGCGTAGCCGAGACTAAGTTTTTGACGTGCCGCACTGACAGAACTTGAACTCTATGAAATTCTGTGATAATAATATACTGTGACGTTTATAGTGGTTAACTATTTAAGATATTCCGTTACATAGAGTTCAGTCACATAATAGGGGCATTCCCGAGACACAACGGCTAACTTACCGTGAAAGGAGCCAAGATAGCTTGAGAGAACCATGTAATGAAGGCATCCACTACCATCAATTCCAGTAGATAATGAGCAAAAGCTGGTTTATCATAAAATAAGTTATTCGTTAAGTCGAGTAGGGAGGGTATTGTATCAAGTCGAAGCCAAAAAAGGCTCAGTTAAAGCTTCAGGGCATCGGACCTGATTCTGATATACGAGGCCGTTCGTCCCAAATGGGAAAATTGCCATCAGCTGGAGTACCGACTTCATTGTCCGTTCGACTGCTGAGTTCCTAGAAGCGTTTAGAAGAATACGCTATGTAAACTCAACCCAATTAATGGGCAGGAGATGCTTTCAGAATATCCGAATTGTGCCTGGGTCGCAATCAAAATGAGATTACTCGCTTGTTGAAATACATAACTTCTGGCGCTTTCGACTCGAACCATTCCAAATCTCTTGGTCTTCTCTAGCTAATATTCCTTGGCATCACTCTACCTTCTTTCTCACGTACCAACATGGAGTCAGAGGAGTTAATGCCCATTGCCATAGTCGGCATGTCATGCCGTCTACCTGGTGATGTATCTTCGCCTGGCGACTTCTGGAAGCTGCTTACCAAGGGGCGCAGCGCGTGGTCTAAGATACCTCGAGATCGATTCAACCAGGAGGCTTATAATCATCCTAATCCAGAGAAGAAGGGTACTATCAACTCACAAGGGGGTTATTTCTTATCCCAGAACCTCGAGATGTTCGACCCAGGCTTCTTTGATATGACGCGCAAGGAAGCTGAGACAATGGGTATTCATCATCTCCCAAGTTGACCGCGTTGAAAAGCTGACCGTATGTAAGATCCCACACAGCGTCTCCTCCTCGAATGTTCGTACGAGGCCCTCGAGAATGCTGGCATTCCTAAGGAGTCTATCTCGGGTCGGAAAGTTGGTGTCTTCATTGGTGGCCCCGACAATGAACATAGAATGGGAAACCTCAGAGATTTAGATGATTCGCCAATGTTCGATCCCACCGGTAGCCAAGGGGCATTTCTTGCCGGGCGAATATCATACTTCTTCAACTTATGCGGGCCTACATTTACCGTTGACACAGCTTGCTCATCCAGTATGCATGCGCTACACATGGCTGTTCAAAGCATACGATTGGGGGAGTCGGAACAAGCTATAGTTGGGGCTTCTCATCTGATCACACAACCCGACGTCTGGGTATCCATGGCAAAATTAAGGTGAGCCCGACGATCTTCTCGATTTTTGAACAACCAGTTAACTTAAATAAATGTAGACTATTTGCGGACTCGGGGAAAACTTATGCGTTTGACCATCGCGCCAAGTCTGGATACGCAAGAGGTGAAGGAGCAGGGTGCCTCATCCTCAAGCCCCTACATAAAGCTCTAGAGGATAGAGACTATGTAAGGGCCGTTATCTCCCATACGGGAATCAGCCACAACGGTCGAACCGTCGGTATGTATGCCTGCCTTAACTATCTTACTATCAGAAGACTTACGTAGAATTTGTGAAGGCATTGTAGCACCCAGCTCGGAAGAGCAGGAATCGTTACTACGTAATGTTCTCTTACAAGCCAAAATCGATGCCAGGGACGTCGGGTTCTTCGAGGCTCATGGAACAGGTACCAAGGTCGGTGACCCTATTGAAGCCAGAGGTATTTATAAAGCACTTGGTCAAAGGCTAGATAGTAGTGAACCATTAACTATCGGATCGGTTAAATCCAATATTGGTCATCTCGAAAATGCTAGTGGTGTTATATCGGTCATGAAGGCCGCGCTCATGCTAGAAAAGGGTTTCATCGTACCAAACGCCGACTTTGAGAAGGAAAACCCAGCAATCCCATTATCAGAATGGAACTTGAAAGTTAGTTTCCTCATTAAATACTCTTCGAAGCCATCTTAGAATTTGGGCAAACTGAGATAGTACTGACCTCTATATTCAGCTTCCACAAAGACAGCAGCCATTCCCTCGAAATAAGAAGTATATCTGTGTCAACAACTTCGGTTATAGCGGGTCGAACGGACATGCAGTTCTTAAAGCCTTACCGGCAGAAAGCGAAATCGAATTCCTGGATCCCGAGAAATTTGAAGGTCATATTAAGATGAAGCGTTTATTCATATTGAGCGCCAATGATGAGGCGGCCGCGAGAAAAAGTATGGAACAGCTGGGAATTTTCCTCGAGCAACATGCCGAGCTTTATCAAAGCACCATGCCTCGTAATTTGGCATGTGAGTTTTAATACTAACCAATACCCAAGGAAATAGACGTGCTAACCTGCCATTAGACACATTATGCCAGAGGCGTTCACAACTCCCATGGCGCATAGCTTTAGTAGCCGATATGTGCAGCAAATTAGCAATAGCTCTCAATAGCCCTGAAGTAATACCAAAGCGCGCGCCTACCAAGTCGCCAAAACTAGCCTTCATATTTACGGGGCAAGGGGCGCAATGGTTTGCTATGGGTAGAGAGCTACTGGAGTCTCATTCTGTGTTCGCGTCCGCTATCCAACGAGCAGACGAGCATCTTCTGTCTATTGGTGCTGATTTCTCGCTGATGGAGGAGCTGACCCAAAATGAAGATAATTCTTGTGTAGGTATGGCTCATATCAGTCAACCGATTTGCAGTGCTATCCAGATCGGATTGGTAGACCTCCTGGCATCATGGGGGATTAAGCCGTCTGCAGTTACGGGTCATTCAAGCGGAGAGATTGGTGCGGCGTATGCAGCTGGGGCTCTAACACTTGAGGCGGCAATGTCGGCAGCGTATTATCGTGGTCAAGCTATCATTGCTCTAAAGGAAAACTTTCCAGATGTGAAAGGCTCAATGATGGCGGTGGGTATGGGCGCAAACGAGCTACAGCCCCTTTTTAAACAGCTACGGCATCCGCTTCAGGCGGTGGCAGCTTGCGAAAATTCTCCCATCTCGACAACCGTCTCAGGCGACGCCGAGGCTATCGATCAACTTTCTAATATTATGACAGAAAAGCAAATCTTCAATCGCAAGCTCTTCATTGATGTTGCTTACCACAGTCCGCATATGAAATTGATAGCCGAGATATACCACAATATGATCGCAGACGTTGAGCTGAGTAAAACGAATAGAGACGTAGAGTTCTTCTCTTCTCTCCGTTCGCGCAAGGTTAACATGGACGAGCTTGGTCCGCAGTACTGGGTAGAGAATTTGACCAACCCAGTGCGCTTTAACTGCATTGCAGTATACTCTGCGAGGAGAGCGAGCCGGACGTTCTCATCGAGATTGGTCCGCATGCAGCGCTGAAAGGTCCGATTTTGCAGACTTTAAAGACGATGCAGCTGCCGGCTTCTAAGACCCCACCGTATATCCCGACTCTTATACGAGGTCGTGATGCTACTGAGACTACCCTAGAGCTCGCTGGCCAGCTTTTCGTGCGCGGTTATGAAGGTATCGATTTCTTCAATATCAACCATAACCGCTCCGAGATCGAGAAGCCTGATATTATCTCCTTCCTCTATACATATCCGTGGTCACACCAGCGCTGCTGGTATGAGAGTCGAATCACGCGACAACATCGACTTAAACCGTTTGCACGGCATGATCTGATTGGGGACGCTAGCTGACTGGAGCAGCGACTTAGAGCCAACATGGCGCAATTTCATAAGGTTAGAGGAGCTGCCATGGCTACGTGAGTACCAAATCCGGGACCGTCCTGTATTTCCCGTTTCAGCTTTCATCTCTATGGTTATAGAGGCAGCCAGTCAGCGAGCAGTACTCAAGGGTTTCGAAGCAGGTAGTTTCGATTTACGTGATATATCCATCCCAGAGCAACTATTTCTAGCGGATGACGAGCCGGTTGAACTCGTATTAGTCTTTAGGCCACACAGAATGTCTAAACTCGACTGGGACGAATTTCGTATTTCCAGTTTTAACCCAAAACGAGGATGGCTAGAACATTGTCATGGTCTCGTTGAAGCAAAACCTCTGCAAACCCATATCGAAGTGGCTGCTTGTTCCAATTCGTATTTCAATGTTCAACAGGAAAATAATCAGTTGTCAATACCCGCAGCGGGTTTCTATTTTAACTTGAGTGCCGGAGGTATCAGCTATCCGCATACTTTTTGGAACTTATTGAGTGTTAACATGGACAAGTCCGGAGTTAGCGCTCAAGGTGCCCTCCAGGACTCAAAACTCATCATGCCTTTAGCGTACGAATCTTCGTATTTGACCCATCCGGCTACGATAGAACCCCTTTTCCAGATATCGCAAGCCGAGTTGGGATTTGATGGAATGGCAAGTCCGCAACTTCCATCTGCCATCAAACAGGTGCGTATCGATATCAGCGATGATTGGGAGAGGATACCCAGATCCAAGTTCATCGTTCAGTCAACGAGAAACGGAGAATCCGGGCCACTATTAGCCGAACTGTTTGCGCCAGCGAATAGTGAGTTTCCTTCCATCTCTATACTGGGATTGGAGCTCACTCCGCTGGAGGCTATAATATGCAAACCACCCAATCCTAGAGAGCTGTGTTACAAGATCCAATGGGAGCAGACCGAGGAACGTCATGCTAATGTGTGAGCCATGCGCACCTTCGATCCCACGGAGGGCGTGTGACGGTTGTGACGGAGCGTACCCAAGACGATACACTTGTGGCTTCACTATGCGATGTTATCAAGTTACACTCCGGGATTGTCCCGAACATTTCAAGCCTGCTTCATGTTAGGGACTTTAGTGGCTTCTTCGTAGTGCTCTCGGAACTTGATCGTCCTGTCCTAGCCTCAGTAAACAAGACCGAATTCGAGCAAGTCCAATCCCTTTTAATACGAGCAGGTGGCATATTATGGGTGACTTGTGGCGCATCAAAAGTGCCTACGAACCCAAGCACGAATATGGCATTAGGTCTACTCCGTACAGCACGTTCCGAACTTGGCAAAATTGCCGTCACTTTAGACCTCGACTCAGACAGTACCCTAGATATGGAGGGTCAGGCTGAACTAATTGAAGATGCTTTTAGGAGAACCGTCCTTGCAGATAGTCCTGAGGCTGAGGTTGAATTCGCGGAGCAAGGCGGAGACTTAGTCGTGCCGCGTTTTATTGTCGATGACGATATGAACTTACGAGTTCACCGCGAGCTGGGAAATTCCGAGCCGTATTTACAAGAATTTCGTCAACCTGGACGCTGGTTACGAGTAGCTACACACACCGAGGGTTCCTTCGATAGCCTACACTTTGAAGACGCCCTAAGTAGCGAGGTGTTGGATGACGATCAAGTCGAAGTTGAAGTTAAAGCCAGCGGGCTTAGCCAGGATGATGTTATCGTGCACACTGATATAAATGGGTCTGCAAGGCCTGCAAGATCATGTAGCGGCGTTGTCGTTCGTGTTGGGCGCGATGTTATCGACATCAGTATTGGAGACCTGGTCTGCGTCCTAAGTAATGGCCGGATGGGAACGCACGTCTGCGTAGCAGCAAGTAGTGTCGTTAGGATTCCTCAGGGCATGAGTTTTGAGGACGCGGCAATAATCCCATCTGCCTTCGGTGCGGCATTTTACGGACTCTCCCAAGTCGCACGCGTTCGAAAATCAGACCGGGTTCTTATCCAAATAAGCGGCTCCGAGGGGCTTGCTGCAATACAAGTTGCGCATTACCTTGGTGCTGACGTGTTTGTTGCGGTCCATGGTAGTGAACGAAGAGATTTTATTGCAAAGTCCTTTGGCATCAGACTGGAGAAAATTTTCGATACAGCCAGCCTCTATTTCGATCGTGAAATACGAAATGCTTCCAGTGGGATTGGTATGGATGTCGTCTTCACTAGTTCGTCCAGTTTCCCAGCGGTGACTCAAAATCTGAGCAGGATATGGGAAAATTCTGCACAGTTTGGACGTATTATCCATATACAGGGGACACTTCATACTCGTGTTGGCAATTGGAATACCAGAGCCGACCTTGCTGAGAATGTGAGCTTCACGTCAATCAATCTAGTGGAACTAACAGTTACACGTCCGCGTCTCATGAGAGACATCCTTAGAGACGTGCTAGAATGCTTTTCCAGAGGTATCTTTAAGCCACTAAAGAAAATGGTTACGTTGCGAATCACAGAGTTGGGTCGGGGCTTGCGAATGATTCAACAAGGCACCTTACATCCTATTATCATTTCTGTTCAGAATAATGAGAAGGTAATGGTAAGTTATCATATCCATCACGGCTCATTACCTAGCGGGCTACTGACGCTTCCGTCAGGCAATGCACTATGCTTCAAGGCGTTTCTTGAATCCCGATGGGACTCACGTCATAGTTGGCGGTACTGGTGGTTTAGGGCGAAGTACGGCTAGATGGATGGTAGAACACGGTGCTCGAAACATCCTATTGCTATCGAGGAGCGGAGGGAATGTTGGTGAGCTGCGACAACTTATTGATGATACTCAAGACAAGGCTAGTATCGTCGTGAAGACATGTGACATTGCTAGCGAGGACAATGTCTACCAGATTGTAAAGGAATGCACTGAGACACTCCCGCCAATATGCGGTGTGATCCATGCTGCCATGATGCTCCACGTAAGTTTTGTCTTATTTGATGGCGGATTCTCAGTTGAGCCCACATTAAGAAAAGGATGTCTAATCGTTGTATTAGGACGGGTTGATCGAAGACATGACCCACGACTCGTACGTGTCGGCGATTCGTGCCAAAGTTAAGGGGACTTGGAATATCCACAACGCACTCGAGTCTACTAACACACGTTTGGACTATTTCGTCCTCTTGTCAAGTGCTGCAGGCATTGTCGGTAGTCGTGGTCAAGCTGCATATGCTGCTGCAAACACATTTCTGGATGGGTTTGCCTCATGCAGGGTAGCACAAGGTCTGCCAGGAGTATCCCTTGACCTTACAGCTGTAACCGACGCTGGCTACATTTCCGAAAACTCAGCGCGAGAGGAAGAGATTATCAAGAACTTTGGTGGACAGTCCATTTCCGAAGCTGAAGTATTAGGGCTTCTGGCGGTCGCTACGTCCGGTAAATGCGGCACGCAGTGCCTGACAGGCTTGAAGCTTGTTCCAAGTAATACAAATGCTTTACCTTACTATGCAGAAGACCCACGATTCGCACACCTTAAAGCGGCAGCAGTAGCGGAGATACGAGCTGCGGGTAGCGATTCTAGACAGGTCGTCTCGTACAGGAACGCATTCCGCGCTGCAGCCAACAATGAGGAGGCCCGCCAAATTGCCGTACAGGGGGTGCTGCAGAAATTATCGGAGGTACTGTCCGTGGCACACGACGATGTGGATGCTCTGCGGAGTATGGCATCGTATGGTCTAGATTCTCTGACTGCTATTGAAGTGCGCAATTGGATTACCAGGGAACTTGGCGCAACCTTGGAAATTCTAGAGTTGCTGACGAGTGCAAACGTGACGGATTTAGCGAACCTGATTGTTTCGCGGACTAGAACATAAATACTTGTTTTTGTTGGGTATGTGGCATTGCTCTTATCATGATACGGTAGAATATATAATGAAAGAATCTATTCATTTAAATATAATAACCAGAGACGAATTTATGGACTGCAACTAACCGCACGATATAGACTTTTCGCTTACATAATTCTGAACTATACACATGGAACCCCTTTAATATAGCAAGTACCTAACCCAGGTACTTAGGTATTTGGCCCCTTGTATAAGGGAAGTCCTTTAGAATATAGTGATATGAGACAGTATTGTGAGAATTCTTAGGTACCTAGATACCTATGATACTATATTTTCAATTGTTGCCCGTGTGAAGATATCTGCGATTTACATATTGAACGTCTAATATCTTAAGCTTGTAGACCGATCTACTTTTTACTACGGCCAACTTCATAACGTTACCCAAAGTCTAGCTATCATCATGGAACTATTTTCCGTGACTCCTGCCCATTTTTCACGACCACAGAAACAAATTTGATATATGCGAATTATTCAAGTTATATATTTTGAAAAACGCCCATATAGAGAATACCACATAACTCATTAATCTCAAACCAGGCATACTAATAAAGGCGAACGCATCATATTTCGGTAATCAAATACCTTAGTAGTACTCCCCAAACTATATATTAGAAGAGATCTTCCAAGAGGGTTGATTAGAGGTTGGCAATAGCGAGACTTAGAATTCCTAAGTGGCTCTGTCGCTTGATTAGATGGAATAGAAACGTGTTCATTCATATTGCATCAAGTTATGCCGTTTGGTAATTTGGTAGTTGGGAGGGAGCCTCGTTGGTCTTTATACTGCCGTTGTTATTGGTGTGAGTAGTATCAACACTCAATCGGCTCATTTGGCTGGCCATACTTAAGCCGGTGCCCTTCCTCGTCCTTAAGGCCCTATCCCATCTTTTCTTATCTTTGATAGGAGCACCAGTACCATCTAAACCGAGTACTTCCATTAGCTCGGGAATCTCGGCGTGATCTCGAGTCGTCCGCATTCGATGGCACCATGTGACGCGCTTTTCCTCTACCTTGGGGTCTTCATGATCGTCTAATTTCTCGTTTTCGTCTGAAAGCATCAGCTGCTTATCTTCTTCGCTACGCGGCGTCGTAACAGGAGTGTCTAATGTTAAGGTTGCGGGTTCGAAAAGGAACTCTCCGCCAACTTGTTTCTGGTCACCCATCTTCGTCACTAAGCCTGATTTCACTTGCTTCAACCCCTGGACTACACCAGAAACGACAGTATGTGCCAGCGTTTTCCCTTGCATGTAGGCTGGTCGCGAGCCCATTGCTAAGGTGCGCACCATCCCAAGTTCGGTATACAGACGACGGGTTGGATCAGCATAAACCGGGAAAGGACAGGCGGTCTCTTGGATATACGAGTTGATTAGATGTGGTGAGCCGCATCCTATTACGGCGATGAAGGTGCTGACTGGTAACTGCAAAAGGGCCTCGGGAGTAACCGAGGCCGAAAGCGTGCGTAAATATTCCTGACAGTTCTGTGACATGTCGGTCAGCATAGAACGTTTTAGCCCGTGCCGGACCATTAGCAACGTACACCACAGAAGAAATGTCGAATAAATATTATTAGCACTCGGCGGGCAGAATTGCGGCCGGCATAGAGACTCTTGAAACTATGCGACTTCCCATCACTATCGAGAACATTGTATGTCTCTATTTTGCGCAGCGTCTCAATTGTTGGCAATTCGTTCGTAGTTTGGACTTCACCCTGAAATTCTTCGACGTTCATTGAAACCCTAGGCTGTGTTATCGAGTCGTTATCCTTGGTAGTTGCGATAGATGTATCTGCCATCAAGATAGGCTTGGCGCTCTGGGTTAAGGTTGTCTTGTGTGCCGTATCTGATTTATTCGATGCGTCCGGGGTAGAAACCACCGTCGCGGTTGGCTCGCCTTTAGCAACGGAGAGTGGCCGTGGCATCTTTTCACTTGTCATAGTAGATCGATTCTAGGATAGCGGCTCGTACCGAGAAATTTATTAGATTATAGTTGCTTGCTCTGAGTTTATTATGCTTGAGGACTTGTATGACATGAATTACGAGGGTTGGGTCTCGATCAAAATCGGCCTATGCAGGAACTATGCAGGGGTAGTTGATGTGGCTTATTGTTGCAATGATGATAAGTGTTGAATATATTCCTTTTTTGATACTGATTTTTCTGTGCCCAGCCTAAAGAAATAATAAAGGTAAAAGAAGTTGATGATTGTGTCCTGTGAAAGAAGGCGGAGTTGATGCTGAAACTCAGGAAGGCGCAGTTTACGTCGTGGGTCATAACTGGATATATCAATGACGGGTACCCAGAATGAGCTTGTGTGGTACCTTATGCAGGTAGGTATTTGCTAGCTTTATGTAAGTATCTACACAGGTATATGCCTGAACGCCCAACCCGCAGTAGAATCATGCACCTAAGCTTTAGGTACATTGGGTAGTACATGCGTACATTCAATTGAATATATGTATTGACATGTACACTATGTAACAAGGATACTTCCATAGAAGTAAAGTCTACAACTGTCTGTCTACCTTAAATATCTACCTATAAAAATGTCGATCTTTTATTGGGTTTTATACCTACCTTAGGTACATATTGCAAGTTACACATTCCTATATGGCTCTCAAATGGATTGGCTCTTAAAGAATATCAACTGTCCCCCGCAATAAATTAGGTAGATACATGCATGCTATTGATTTTAGCTACTTAATACGTTGATATATTAGCATAAGACTTAATTTCTGACTTGAACACTTACTACTATATAGGCCAACCTTATGAGTTCCAAGTATATTAATATTCACAATATCGCTTTGCATAATTTCAAAGAGCATCCCAGCCACGTGGTTAGAGTTTCAGCGAAGGTTACATCCGGTCTTCTAGTGGTCTTTGCAACCCGATCGTGTACCCCCTAAATTAGACATGTACTATAATCTCTTGGCCAAGGTTGGGGGGGGGGGTATATTCAGCATTCTATAGGTAGTTGTCTAAGCACATGATATTGTGTATTCAGTCATGGAATTTACTTGGGTACGCATTATTCGGATAAATACGCACGATATATAAAAGAAAGGAAGCTTAGGTAAACGAATGTGTATTGTATTAACGGGTAGCATTTACTCAATTTATCAATCAAATGCAGCAAGCTTTAAAGACTTATCGAATGCCGAAACTGACGCAGTCGCAGCAGGGCCCTATTGAACGGAGTAGTTCTCACGCTCGAAGGAACAGACTGAATCTGAGGTGATTCCTAGTTGTGGAGCATTATTAACACCACTTGCTCTCGCTGGGGGGTGGCCGTCCTAGTTTTCAGCATCGAAGCTTGCAGTGGTTACTGGTGATTACCATGGCTAATTTGCCGTGCGACTGCTATATCCTCCTCCGCTTTCTTCTCCGCCATCGGACCAAAAACCGTGAACTCAAAGGCTCATATCGCAGTGTCCATAAATGGACTCTTGATAGGATCGCCCGTTGGCGGTAGCTTAAGCTTAATCGCTCCTGTCAGATCAGCTGCGAGTGGCAACTCTAGAAGGGCAGGGGGGCTCCAAGGTTTGCAGATTGTCATGTGCTAGGGCACAAGCTGTCTCGGCGTAGAACTCATTGTTGGAATGACTGCTGGTTAAGCGTCTAGAGCTGTACGGCATCAGGACTCTTTGCTTGTTAGGCATACCTGCTCTCGTCTAAACGATGGTATTGTTATCCACTTGTCATAGGCAAATCACTCAAATCCACCGCCAATTTGACTAGCAAAGGCGGTGCTGACTGACTTCTCGTCGTCATCATATCGGCGACGGAAGCCATTCGAATAAGCAGGAAAACCGGAGCCCTCTGTAACATGTTGCTTCAGCCGATCGCTCTGGGTGTAGGATGTAGGTCGAGAACGAAGTGCATCAGGAAGCCCGGCGCCAAGACTGGCGCCACCCTGTCCTACACCCTTGCTACCAATAACGCTAGCAGTGCCATCAGTATATTCCGAAGTCGCGACGCTTTCACCAGCAATGCTCTCTGTCCCTCGGCCCCTGCTCTTACTTCCTACGCGACCACCTGGTGTCGCATTAAATCCTGGGAGACCAGGCCATTGTTCAGAATTGAAGTTGGAAAACATCGTTGGAAAAGCAGTATTACCAATTCCGGCACCACCAAGGGCTGAACTGTGAAGGCTAGAAGTATCATCAGGAATATAAGAAAGCATCGAACTCGACTCAAAGTCTTGGTTGGCGTTATGGCCATTGTATCCAGCCGAGCGACCGTTGGAAAATCCGCTAGAAACGTGTGCAACTTGCTGAGGACGGGGGCGATAAGTGTTCTTCGGCCGGCTAAACTGGAGCAAAGATGTCTGCAAATTAGTTAGAGGACCCTCGACGAGACATTTACGTTCCTTAAAGTGCACCAGAAGGTGGTGCCAAAGTTCGTGTTTGGACAAGACTTTCGGATTGCCGATAATAACGAGTCCATACTTCGCACGGGTCAGGGCGACGTTCATTCGGCGGGGATCAGAAAGGAAACCAATGCCTTGGTTGTCATTGGATCGTACACAGGATAGGACGATGAAGTCCTTTTCACGGCCCTGGAAAGCATCGACCGAGGCAACCTCGACCTCCTTGTAGGACTCCTTCTTGAAAGTACCCGTATTCTGCATCGTAGTAACAATATAGCTACGCTGACCTTCGTACGGGGTAATAACACCAATATCAGAAGGTCGTACGCCAGCTTTGAAGAATCGCGTCACGATCTTTTCCACATTGGAAGCTTCGGTTCGATTGAGGTACGAAGTTCCAGACGCAGAGATCTCTTCATTGCCCAGGTTAGACCAAAACATCATAGGCATTTCAGCAACCGGCCAAGGAAAGTCGACATCCTTGCGGATCCGATTGGGAGCAGAAACACCGTTCTGGAGAGAGCCCTCATAAAACATGTTCGATGGGAATTCGGAAAGACAAGGATGCATTCGGTACTGGATATTAAGCCGAATAGGTGTGAAACCAAGTCGGACGAGACGTTCAAAGAGCGATTGGTTTAGACCAGCCTTGGCGGCTTTCTTGTTCATGATCACCGGCCCAAGCTGCTTGTGGTCACCGACGAGCACGACCTGCTTGCAACCGAGAACAAGAGGAATCATACACTCGGGTTCGGCGGATTGTGTAGATTCATCAATAAGGACATTGCGAAATTTCATCTTAGCCAAGCGCGGGTCCCCTGCTCCAACACATGTGCAACAGACTACGTCCGCATTGTTAAGAATCTCGCGCTCAGCAGCACGGGTCAACTGCTTGAATTTCTTCTCATCCTGGCTTGAAAGTTCGCCGAGTTCGTTTTTGAGCTGGGAGAGTTTCATCAGATCGGGATTAGTGTCAAGCATGCGCACTTGTTCGTGTAGCGCAAGAAAGCTAACAGAAGACTCAACGTCTTCACGAGACTTTGCTGTAAGGCGCACAACCTTCAACCCCGTGAGATTGATTCGTTCACAGAGCTGGTCCACGGCCACGTTGGATGGTGCGCATACGAGAACTTGGCCATTGTTCATCTTCGCTAAGTGATAAATAATGGTTGCCGATGTGACCGTCTTGCCAGTTCCAGGGGGCCCTTGGATGAGACTGAGGGGGGTAAGTAGGACGTTCTTGATAGCACTAATCTGGCTGCTGTTGAGCTCTGGAAGACCCGGCACGCTGAACTTCTTAGGTAGGTTAGTCTTCATGGGAGCGACGGCAACCTCGTGGCCGAGTAGTTTGTGAAAGATATATCCAGAAACACTCATCTCATCCACAGCAAAGGTCTTCATAGCAGCCTGCATGCGATCATAAGATGTTGCTTTCCAAACATAATCAGCCGAAAAGTTATGAGTGCATTCAGTAGGCACAGACTTTTCATTTCCCGTCTTACGCAGCTCCAGAGTAACTTCGTCAGATTGGTTGTTCGGGATCTTAACCACATATCCCACACCCTCCCAGGGAGGTCGAAGCTCGCCCTTATACTTGAGTCGCATCTCGTCACCTACTGCTAGCTTTACGTCGCCAGATTCTAACTTCGGGAACGTGAAGCTGGCAAGATGCTTGTTGTTAAGTCCCAGGTCCCATCGAACCACCAGGCCATCCTCGGATTGCGCCTCCTTCAACTTCTTGTCGTAGTCGGATTCCATCTTCACGAGGGGACCAAAGATATTTTGATACTGATACGGATCTTCGTACTTGAGAAGAACTGGAAGCGGATCGTCATCAATACTAGCTGCCTTTTCCAAGTCAGCTATAGTAGCACTAGCATTTTCTTTCCACATCTCTTCCAGCTTGGCAATCATGGGAGGTGTAAGATGTCGAGCACGGAGCTGCTCATTATCGCTAGGCGGCGACACAAGCCACGGGAGAAAACTACGGTCCTCAATCAAAGGCTGCCATCTGGAAGTATCCCAGCTCATGTCCTTCGAGGAGGGCGTGGCGGCACATGGCTGACGGCAAAGCAGGACGACGACAGTATCTGATTTCGCAGGGATAAATCCAAGGAGGAAAACGTTCTTCGTGCCACAATTATAGCATTCGAGGGTCGTGTCGCCAAGCGTGGACTGAGGATGAAGTTGTACTTCTTTGTGTCGAGCTCGAACTAAGTGGTTGACAATATGCGAAGAGCTTGCATTTCCTCGAGCGCTACAAAACCACTTATTACAGGCGAGGCACTTCACTACCGAGCCAGGAGAATGGATACCGCAATACCTGCAACCAACACATTAACAATCCAATGAACTTTTCGCTCAATCGTCTTAGAGGAACCTACGCGCAAGCATGTGGGGGTAGTTTCTTGTCTTCTTCAGGGACCTTAAGGTTCAGAGCCTTCATAGCTCCAACAGGAACGCTAGCTACGCTCTCGTTATCATCGTCGTCAAAAGCCTCGGTTTCGTTATCGTCGTCGTCATTTCTTCGCCTTGCGGTACCTAGTCCGCCACGGCCGCTGTACTTTCCATAGAGAAGGCTCTCATCGGGATCAAGAGTAGAGAGATCATCGTCACCAGCGTTGATGGCGGCAGCAGAGTCGGATACAAGGTGGTTACCTAGGTGGGTAAAAGCACCTTCCATTGTAGCGCCGTCGGCCGGCTAGGGCAACTGGATTTCGGTACGACTATTTCTTTGTATCTAACGTTTGTTAATACATATCATGTCTCAAGACAACCTGATATAATTTCCTAGCATATGGTGAAGTAATACACGGCGGATGGCAGATAAATGTGAACAAAAGAAGAGTGGATAGAAACTCGGCGAACGAGTTTTGTGGAAGGCGGACGGATAGAAGAGGGAGTGTAAAAGAGTCAACGAAAGTCAAAGGCTAGTTACCAACAATACCTTTATAGAATATAAAGTGATACCTAGATCACGGATAGGATGTCCCCTTTTCGCTGCCCTATTTGGCGCAGGAGGATAGTCGACACGTTGGGTTGTAAGGAGAAAATGACAAGGAAGTCATCACATTGTGGAATTCTGAGGTTTTGGAATTCTCAGATTGCGATAACTTTCGCGCTTGCATCTTTGACTGTGGCGGGCGGAAATCTATGTACCTTTGGTACCTCTTAGGCGGGATGGTGGGTCTCAAATACCTAGGCCAATGACCAAACTTTCCTAAGCCCCAAAGTACTTTAGGTACCTAGGTACCTTCCAAGCGTACCTAAAGTCTATCGGACGGGGGGTCTGATAAGCTCCGATATGAAAAATTCCAATTGATGCAGGCCAAAAGTTCATGACTTTTACAGTTGCTTATCCTAATTCTTGAGCCTCCAAGTTTAACATTACATATTATAACAATTGCGCATTCTTTCTTGCTTTATATTACTACATAATCACTGGTATAAAATCTGCGCAGCACTATTCTACGTTGCCACCAACAAAAATCATGATTGTATGTTCATCTCAAAAATGAATAGTTTACCTATAAAACCTACTAACAGAATCCCAATCTACAGCGCAAACAAGCTCGGCAACGGCGCGATTACCTCTACAGAAGAGCCCTTCTCCTCCGTGATTCTGAGATAAGTGAGAAGAGAGCAAAACTTAGAGCATCCTTAGCGACCGGCAGACCCCTAGATCCCTCTATCGCAAACGACAAGGAGCTGAGAAAAGACTATCAGTTTGACGAATCCAGGCCAGACAGGAGCACGAATGAGGAGTTGGATCTCGATGATGAGTACTCCCAACTATCCGGGATAGTTGATCCTCGGGTCCTTGTTACTACCTCGAGGGACCCATCCGCCCGACTATCAGCATTTGCTAAAGAAATCCGCTTGCTTATCCCTACTGCCATAAGACTGAATCGTGGCAACTTGATCCTACCGGACCTCGTTCGATCGGCCCAGAGTAGTGGTCTCAGCGACTTAATCCTTCTCCATGAGCATCGTGGTGTCCCTACGGCGTTAACGATGTCCCATTTCCCTCATGGACCGACCATATCATTCTCTTTACATAATGTTGTGTTACGCCACGATATTCCCAACAGTATTCGAGGGACTGTTAGCGAATCGTACCCTCACTTAATATTTGATGGTAAGCTTCATTCATGTTCACATTTTCCAACTGCGACTGACCTCAAACTATAGGTTTCACTTCTCGTCTTGGTGCAAGGGTTGTCAAAATCCTAAAGCATATATTCCCCCCGTGAGCCTCTAACGAGCAATTCTAAGCTCGGAAGTCGAGTAGTTACATTCAAGAACATTGAAGACGCGATAGAAGTACGGCATCACGTTTTCGTCAGAACTGGATATGATAGTGTGGAATTATCTGAAGTCGGTCCTCGAATGACGATGAAGGTATTCGAGATTCGGAGCGGTACTTTAGAGAACAAAGATGGCGATGTCGAGTGGCATTTAAATCAATACACAAGAACCAGCCGCAAGAAAGACTATCTTTGAGGCTGATTTCACCAACTTTAAAATCGCAATGTACGGGGTTATGGCTCCGTAGGTTTCGTACATACCTCAGAGGAATACATGGCGCCATGAGGAACCATGTGTCTCTGCTCGGATCCAAGCAAATCTCCATACGAGTACATAAATGTCATCCAAAGCTTCATTAACAAACCATCCGCCCAGCAGACATATGTACTCGAAGATAAGCATGAAATGTTGATGCATCTGGTGGATTGCAGAGTTTTGATATTGGTTTTTCGGCAGTGTCCTTCTGTTTCTATTTACCTAAACTCGAGCCAACATAGTGCCTTTTATAAGGACTACAATGGTCTTCCATGGTATTCAGAACAATTAACCTTGAAAGGCCACGTTACAGATTAGAAATAATGTCTACGACAGCCTCGTATGATCCATACTGCTGGAAGAAATCGAAAGACATGTGACGAATTTGAGCTCGTAGTATATAGCTATGAGCAAGAGAATAAATAGGAAGTCAAGTCTCAGAGGAAGTTATTTCGGCAGCATATAAGTAGACTAAGAACAAATATACGTCTACTAAAGATACTTTAAATCTATCATATTCGAGTGATTGGTCTTGTATTATGGTAGAAGACAAGCGTCTGTATCTAAACTACTAGGTAGTACTTTTCAACTCTTTTCGTACGACTTGATACAAAGGGCTACTAATATCTAACCTCTATTCTAGTAACAGCCGTTTAAAAGGCAAGATGTAGGCATTATACAAGCGACATTGTAAGATCATTTGATTAGGAGTTAGATTTAAGCTTAAACTACCTAGGTAGTTATTATCTGCTGAAGGAATATATATGTAGATGCAGAAGATATTCGCAATGGATAAGGCTGGGTTACATGCGTGTTAGACTAACAATTTAAGGACTAGGAATTAACAAGCTATGACGAAATAGGAAATTAAGAATTCATAGCCTTGAACGCTGACGTGACCTAGCAGGGCTGTGCTATTTTAGGGTTGTACATGTACATAGAAATATAAGTATCTATGTACACAAGATGCATGGTATGACGTTCTTGCCACCGGTTTCTTATGTACTTTCCTATCTTATATAGAGCTTATTGCCGCAGTGTTTGCTTCAAAGTTGCAGTAATGCGTTTGTAAAACTGATTAAAATATACATCCATGTGAGAAGAATTCTTCGAGCCTAGGTACTTTAGATACATGCAAAATGTACCTTATCCTCTAGGCTCCCACTAAAAATCTTAGCTTGGCAAACGTCGATTTTCGTTCCAAGCCACCCATGCCATGGACCATCACAATCACAGCTCAACATACAATTCGGGAGTTACTACATAGACATTCAGAGTCAGACAGTTATGATTGGCTTGAAAGACCGATTTGCAGATTAATACTTGAATAGAAAACAAAAACAGCTTCGAGTTCAAACTTAACCGTCTTCCCCGTTGATTTCTCTCAAGTTTCGGTTGTGCTTTGTTAATTTTTTTTTCCCCTTCCATCTGAATTACTGTATTATATTATCTCGTCTCCGCCGACACACTAGACAAACCAAACAAACCCGACTCGGAGACGGTGATTGGAGCGGAAAGACCCTGGAAAGAAAAGAAGAAAAAAACTACTCAGACGTCACCTACGGTCAGCAGGGAACATCCGCCGTCCCCCCAGCCCCGTCCTCCCGTATGCAGCAGCGGAAGAAGTAGCTGTAAATTGATTCAATCTCAAATCATTCATCAATTAAACTTGACTCTTGTCCTCTCCAACTCCCCAATTTCCGCTTCTCATTCCCACGGTCGCATCACGTCACACCATATCATCATCATCACATCCGACCATTCCACTACTTACTGTCCGTCCACCTTACTCTTAAGGTCCTAAAATACTGGACTTTTTGGATGTCATAAAGGCGACGGCCTAGCAGTCAACATGTCTTACGGTCAATATCAAAACAACCCATACCAGGATGGTTCCCTAGCTGAACAAGGTTACCAGGTAAGGCAGTTCCGTAGCCATTACGGCTGACTCGGCGTATGGCGATAGCTACCTATCTAACAAACATTTAGGAGCACGAGCTACAGAACTATCCAGAACAGCAACAAGTCTCAGACACTCTCCCACAACAGGAGTTCCTCAACCGGATTCAATTCCTCCGCAATGAAATCCGTACCCTTACGAGCAATGTTCAAACAATTGCGTCCCTTCACCAGCGCGCGCTGGCCGAAGGCGACGGCGGTGCAGCATCGCAACAACTTGAACGCGTTGTCGCCGATACGCAGACCTTGAACATCGGTATTCGAGATCAACTAAAATTCTTAGCCAGCGATGCAGTCAAATCTCCGCTTGATAGCACCCACCCGCGATATGAAGGATCGGCAGGTCGCTACCATCAAAGCTGAGTTTGAGCGTGAATTGAGCAATTACCGGCAAGAAGAGAACGTTTACAGTCAACGGTACCGCGAACAGATTTCTCGTCAGTACCGCATTGTCAATCCCGAGGCTACCGAGGAAGAAGTTCGCAATGCGGCCGATGCCGATTGGGGCAATGAAGGTGTTTTCCAGACAGCGGTATGTTTTTTTTTCACTCTTGCGCCCTTTATCACCAAAAGAACCCGAGTAATCCTCAAAGATGAATAATGCTGACACAAGATACAGCTCCGCACCAACCGTGCCGGTCAAGCGTCGTCAGTTCTCGGCGCAGTGCGCGCACGCCACAATGAGCTCCAGCGCATTGAGCGGACCCTCATCGAACTCGCAAATATGTTCCAAGATCTTGCCATATTAGTGGAGCAGCAGGATAATGCGGTAAACGAAGCAGTCAACAACGCCGAGAACACGAATAAATACATCGACGAAGGCAATACTCATGTGGAGAAAGGAATCGTCCACGCCCGAAACCGCAGAAAGCTAAAGTGGTGGTGTCTCGTCGTCGTAATTCTCATCATCGCCATCGCCCTTGGTGTCGGTCTAGGCGTGGCCGCTAACGCTGGACTGCTCGGCGGCAATAAAAACAACAATAATAACAACGGCAACTAAATTGCCATCTCGGGGGTTTACTTCAGAGTGGATGAACGATAACGAAACGTCTTTTTTTCAAAACTCCGCGAGACGAGATGACCGGGGTAAAATTATCAGATCGCACGGAGATGCCAGATCTTGGTACAAACTTATATTAATTCCCAGCCTTTCCATCCATCCATCCATCCGATATCTATAACGTCGGCAGACCTTCCGGCTAACGGTTAGTACGGGGAGAAGGGTCGGATCCTTAATGCATTGTTTCTCTCATGTACGCATGGTTTTATGCGAATTATTCACCGCTCGGGGCGGCTTGTCTGTCTGTCTTAGGAGGTACATATTGGATCTATTCTCGGGGTCGCGATCCAGGCTGAGACGGGCTGATGGTTGTACATAAGTAGATGTGTAGGCCCGTACGCTTATTATTACCTTTTTTTTTTCATATTCAGACGATTTCGAATCTAGGTACCTACCCAAGGTGCGTATTGAAATTACTCGTGTTTTCAATTACTGGAAGCTTTACATGCATGATCGCTGCAATTCATAATCGCCGTGAAGCCTTAACCTAGGTAGGTAGGTATGTAGGTAGGTATCTAGTAAGACCGGATTACTCTTATCATTAGAACCTTCTTTTTCCGAAGAACTGGTAGACACAAAGTTTAGATGCAAACATAAAACCATGTCGGCCACTATTATAGTTAATCAGACTAAACTTACCACTTTCAATATCACAATCTCCCAAATAGCACATACTATTGCCCAGTCACAACACAACTCTATACTACCAACAACGACAAGAGTTACAGGGTAAATATATTAGTATAAAGATACACTATAGTTCTATCGGATAGCCTATTCTTGAATGTCTAAAGGAATCCAAAAAAACAAAGTCTATACTAGGAATCCTTTTACGCCCAGAACCAGCCACAGCCAAACGCCGAACCTGGGCAACTGGATTCGGTATACTATAAGCACTCAGCGATGCATTTCTCTTATCATCACGAGGTAATCTTCGGCATCTCGACGCCCGGGGCAATCTTTTCAAGCAACACATCAAATAACGGGGTTCCGAGCCCGGTGACGGGATCCCAGCCTTCCGTCGCATTCCACCCCGCGCCAGGAACGTAAGGTGCCGGCAAGCCGCTGTAGATGTCTCTTCCGGTGCAGCCTTTGCTTCCACCCAGCACGATGTCTGTGAGACCACCGTCAACAGCGTCAGTGTAAAGCCATGGGTTCAAGAAGCCCAGGGGCTTCTGGCCGCTCTTGATGCGCGCGTTGTTGAGCAAGCTGACGATGGCGGCGAAGGTCGGCGCCGACGCCGATGTTCCGCCGACCTTGATAACAGATCCTTGGGAGATGACGTTGAAGTTGCGCCCCTGGGCCGCGACGTCTGGGAACCCGCGGCCGGTCGGGTTGTACAGGCCCTCGAACGTGGCGCCAATAGTGCTGATGTACGCGTCCACGGCGGCTTTTTGGTAAGCCGGACGCGGGAAGATGTCGGAGAAGCCGCCAGATGAAAAAGATACTGCTCGCTCGGGCTCGACGCCGACGGTGCCGCCCACAGCTGTGACGTACGGGCAGGCTGCGGGGAAGATGGGGAGAAGGCGGGTGGTATTCTTGCCGTCGTTTGTCTGGCAGGCGCTACCCGGACCGGTGCTGAAAGAAACGGTTAGCTTATCGTATATAAGTCGGTGCTATAAAAAAAACATGATAAGACTTACTCTCCAGAGCTGAAGAGCACGGACACCCCACGAGCTCCTAGCTGGCCGAACATGGTGCAAACCTTCTCGACGTACGTCTTGGGTACTGACTGCTCATCTTCACCGTAAGAGGTGGTTAGAGTATGCGGGAGCTCCTCGTCTGGGAGATCCAGGAGGTACGTCAGGTACTCGAGGTATGGCTCATTAGATCCCTATATTATTAAAGTCAATAATTGAGTCCTAAACCACTGGTAAGCAAGATCCACTCACGGTATTCGGATCCGGTTGGCTAGATTATATTAGCATTGTATCAATCAATGAGAACGACATGACTCGATTACTTACTCAAGATCAGGAACCAGAGGTCCACGGCCTCCATTAGAGTAGTATCGGATATCTGTGTTGAACCCTAGCGACGCCGCGTACTGCATGTCTAAGTTGGCCTCGACATCATCATCGACAGAGTCAGTCTGGTTGTCCAAACCACCATTGATAGAGAGCGTGGTGAAGTTCTGAGCAAGAGCATAGGGAGCGTATTGCTCGAGGAAGCTGTCTAGCGCATCATGCTTCGCGTACTCCTCCAAGAAGCCGCTCACACCAAAGATAGTCGCGACGCTAGGATCCGCAGCCGTGTCACCGACGTTGTAAAGCGCCCTTAAGCATTCAGGGGTCATGGTGGTATTGCAGAAAGTTGCATTGAGTTCCTGGGTAGGGATCTCCGCGGCGGCCTTGAAGAAAGCAGTTGCTTCTTTCTGCTCGATGACCTCGTACACCTCTACGGCATGCGGTTTCATCTGGCCAAATCTAGTCGTCGGTTGAATCATAGTGATATGGGGCCGGACTGCCTCGGGAACGGAGTAACTGTTTTCGGGTTAGCAAACCTCGTATTCATCCGTTAAACAAGGCGGATGCTTACTGCAGAGTTCGAATTCGCTGTGCATCTGTTCCGACATGGTTATACACTTGGAAATCGGTATTCAACAAGCTCGCCGCCTTTAGCACGGTAGTTTGGAAATTGACCCATTCTCCGTCATTCTTGACATCCGACGCGGGGATTCCAGATTTTTCGAGCCATTCTAGTACAGCAGCAGTCGACTCCTCTCTTGGCTTCATCATCTCCTTTACCTCATCGCGTGATAGATGTTGCCCGTATAAACGGTGTTGAGGAGTAGATATGTCGTAGAGGGTTTGCTCGAACTGACCTAGGTTAGGCTGTTCAAGAGCAATCCGCAGCTTGATTACTTGATTCGGATCCGCGTTCTTAATCTTCCTCCAACCCATTGGGACCTTTGGTAGAGACTCGACGACGACATCTTTGCCTTCGACAGCGGCCTGAAGAAGCGCAATGGTAGCGCAAATGAGCGAGGATACCTTCATTGCGATCCGCGTCACAGGTCAATGGCCTAGAAGATGTAGCAGTAAAGGGCGGCGGAAGGTCCAGCTATCTCCTCACAAATCTCCTTACAAGAAGATCGGGAGTTAAGAAGAAGCGAATGAAACATGCACGCGCCCTCAGGAACCGGCATTCCAATACAAAATATATGTGAGACAACCCCTGTATAGATAGTAGTATTGGAGTATGTAGCTCATGTAGCTCATGTAGCTTATGAGTCGTTGTTTAAGTCAGGGGGATATTTTACCGGCCAAAGCCATTAAGGTTTCAAAGGGAGAGAACCCTGCGTAGTTCGTATCTAACATACGATATCATGCATTACTAGGTATCGGATAAGTTGTTAAATTAATATTTATGCTGGGGTTTTTCATCATGAACTTCCTTCCTTACTTGTTATTAGCTTTTCGACCATCCAAAAACCGCAGGGACGGGTGACCCCTACACCAGTCTTCCTTCCCTGTCTATCATAAATGACTTACAGCCAATCGGAAAAGGAAGAGCCACCGTCGTTATCTCGCATAAGTATAAAACGGTACCTTACATATGTAGCATGTGGAAAACCCAACAACATTGGAGGAGATAAGACTAGCGGCCGGAGATTAAAGCAAAAGAATTGGGTGATGATGGCAATGATCAGCATTGCTAACGCAACTTGTGTTGTTTGTTGATACAGTACATAAGTAGTAAGACCTCATGACTTACTATTTTCATAGCTTGAGTGCCGCAAAGGTAGAACAAAGTCCAACGATGAAAGAGACGTAAGACAAGTTTGTTGGATCTTGGTGACTTCCGAATAGTTAACCATGAAATCGGTTGTTTTTGTTTTTATCCTAAAAATGCTTGTTTTACTGTTTTACTACAGGTTTGCGGGTTTAGTTCCCGAAGCGCCAATTGGCTGAGGCGTTACGTCATTTCTAAAAGAGCACGTCTTAGAAGTCTTAAGTATTAGTTACTGTCTCCCTTTAGTTTAGTTATCTATTTTATTAAAGTCAATTGTGTAAAAACAGTTTATTTACATAAGATATAATAATATCAACATACGTGGCTGTTTGAGTTAACTAGAAAAACTGCGAGATAAGTATCACTTCGAAACAAATGTCTTTATCAAAGTTGCTCGCACGCTTTTTATATTGAATATATGAATATTTATTAAATTATATAAAGAAATAAGAATGCCGCTAGACTCTATGCCAGAACTAATAAACCTCATACTTAAACCTAAGCTATATATACCACATACCCAAAATAGTCCCAATATCGTCATTTCAGCCATGGATCATAATAGGCTTTCGTTCCCATCGCCCTGCACGTCTTCAGCCAGGGCAATACCTTGCAAGGCTGGCATCAAACCGCTCCTTGTCCGTATCTCACAATCAGGCAATTCAATAGCCGCTGTTGCTTGCCATTGATTTGTAGCGCTCAAGCCGGTCATGAGATTCCCAATCATTCGACCACGAGCCCTGTACAATGCACCTGGGTTCGCGGGAAGACGGATGGAGGCCCATAAGGACTTCTCGTAACGGTTATGGAGCCTTTGCTTGATCGTTCCAAGATAAGGGTTCTTCACCCTTTGGACAATCATTTCAAGCCTTTCAAATAAATGCTCAACAATCATATGAATGAGCAGGCCTGATTCGTGGCTGTAGCCATGCAAGGTAGGAAGCCCTTCCACCGCTGCAAATGACGGGTATTCTCCTTGGATATCCGGGATATCGATATCACCCTCTCTGAGTACGACCGGGAGTCTTTCTTGTATTCGCTGCCGTCTCTCGAGTCTGCCTTCCTCGACCACATCATAGATTCTTATAAATCTAGCAGTGATTGGCGTCCCGTCGGTCCTGGGTACACTCATTCTGCGGTTCTGATCGACTTGTTGATCGTAGTTCGCGAGGTGCATAACGATCAGAACCCAAATGCCATCTATCGGCATAACCCAAAATGAGTACATCGATCGCCTTATCCTGTTAAATATGGGCATGTAGCTGTGGAGGCTACCGTCGTAGTTAACATTCTTGGCGACTACTCGACGGACGACCTCGATATTATGAGGGGGTTGAAAGTAACGGCCTTCAAAGAAAACACCATTTGGTTTGCCGACACAAAGTGAAACAACCTCTCTAAATTCATGACTGTATGTTAGAAGACAGTCAGACAACGACCTATACATAGCTTCCCGCTCTATAACATTTGAGCGGTAGTACTGGAGGCTTTCGATGGCAAAAGCTCGACTCAAATTATCAGGCCTGGAAAAGTCAAAACTTTGGCTCACATGCTGTTCTCTAGGACTCGTTACTGAAAAGATCCTGCGGCCGGTAATTTGACTAGCAGCACCTGCTGCAGCGAGGTTGTATGAGTTAGACATTATTCCAAGCTAATTCGTGTTATCAAACGTAAATTCAAAGTAGAGAGTATGAATATTAGTAATAGATGCTTTGAAATGCTTTGATGCAATATGAGAATGTGTGATTGAGAGAACGTCAGCCAACACTCATATATATCTACATGGAAGAGGATGTACAATTTCGTTGATTTAGAACATATTTATGAACAATAGCGTTGTCTATATTCTTCTTCTTCGTAATACTAAACTAGGAACATAATCATCATACAAATAGCATCACAATACATTTGTTATTTTACAAGCTTCTTACGATGAACTACAAAACAACGTTACATAAATTAGCAATTATTTAGCACACGTTAAATTGTTTTAATATAATGTAGTTAATAAGTATCTGATATGTCATTTTGTGTATTCATAGACAATATCTTACATAGTTCCATCCATTGATGAAAGCAACTGTCCGTTATCAACAATATAGCAAAAGCAATATACAACAATTTCGGCCTTCCAGAGGCCCAAGGTATTGAAATACACAAGAAATAATGAGAGCTTCGAGTCTCACTAGGATCTCCTTCAAAGCCTTATTCCATGATGTTCCACCAAACATATCCCCTCTGAAAGCATAACCCGACATATATTCAAGTTTCGCCGTTCTTCAACACCTGTGTATTGAGAATATGCCGGATGCTCTCGTATTCATCCACCGACATTCCTGTGTATTCAATACAAGCATTGCCGCAGGGGATAGGTTGAGGGCCATCGACCTTGCCACTGAGAACAGTGCTCAGGACCATACAGGTCTGAGGAAGGCCTTCAACCCTAATATGGTTATCTCCTATGGGGCCGTTCATCGTGACATTTGCGTTCAGGGCATCATAGTAACAAGCGTCGATGTTGAACTGCGGCACTCCCTCGGGAGCTGTAGGGGGTGGCGGGATTCCCGGTGCGTCCCCATCGGGGATGTTTAGTTGCTCGGCGATCTCTTGTGCTATCTTTGAGGCATAGATGAACGCAGCACGGCTACGCCTGTTGCATTTGCCGGTGCCGCAGGTCAGGCCGACGGTGGTGGCGGCGCCGATTGTGCCCGCTGTAACTCCGGAGGTTATAGCTTCTGCTGTCGCGGCTGAAATGCCGATTGCCATCAAGGGAACCGGTGCCACGATACATTGCAAGAATGCAAAGGAAGCAATGGCAGAAGCAGCAAGAGTTGAACAACGCATTTTTGGGGGTTTTGCTTTTAGAAGTCTTTGGAGGTACTAAGGAATGATGTTTGAATAAATTCTCGTTCCTGCGAGTTTCTGATGGTGTTCTTGTTAATACAGAAGAAGCCCTTGATGAATGTGGCGATGACGACCTTAATATATATACATTTTTAAACCGGTGTACTTCTTAGATCGACAATACTATGAGCCTCGATGTCCAGCATGATGGGTTTTTAGCATCAGAACCATTTTCTTCATACTTCTATTTCTAACCACACACCCCCTTTCATTTCCGGGGTGATGAGCAAACCCCACAACATAGATGTCTTCCCCATGATCTGCTCCAATCATTAGTTTCTCTTACCCTCTAGATCGTTTCAATTGGTTGACACTAGATGTGAGGATATTTTACGCATTAATGTTGCATAGTCAGTTGCTTTGTAAACTTTTCATCAAGTGAACAACTATTCACCATGAATCCCTGTCTAATGATCGTTGCGGATATTCTCGGTAGTATCTATATCTCGGAGATATGTTAGATTCTTCAAGAAAGGAAGTTGATCGATGTCTTTGCAATGGATAAATCTTCAGCTAGGGATTAAACCCCAAAGGCATACGTAGCTCTACCCCGGATCGACACCTGCACATGAACACCAGTTAAGCCCAAGCCAATTGTATTTCAAGATCGTTACGATATTTTGACTCTGGTCGGTAAGCCTATCTCGTTAGTATCTTGAGATTATTAGGTGGAGCTTTGTTAGTTCTTCGGTAGATATCGCCGTGAATTACCTCTACTTTAGTCACAAGATGCTTGACTTGTAAGATGTTTGCAATTACATCAATATGTTGTACATAGAGGCATACTAGTAGTTAGTTTCTATGATATAGGTGGAAGTCTCTTTTTCCCCCGTCAAGCCTATAGGAAGATATAACGTAATATACTACCAACTCACCAAAGTTGAGCGGATCCCAAGTCCAACAACCCACCTGTGAGCTCTCCTGCTGTCTCTTATACTGCAAGATCGTACCTCATTTTTACGTATGAGGAACCGCATTATATGGGTAATATGGGGTGAGTAGCACACCGAGGTCAAACGTTGGTATAAAATACATGCGTAATTTATGTACAAGATTATTTGAACCTACCTTGAAAGAGGTACGGATGGAATAATATTTAGGTAACTACTAATTATCCCCCTTGCTGTGACTTCTTCACGGAAACTTCTAGCAAGTCATGTATTCTATCTAACTAGCTAAAAGGAGCGTGTCGCATGAGTGATACCCAGCCAAGGATTTCAAAGGGGTCCATTACGTTAGACGCGGCAGGATGAGCAACATTCTAGAACATTAGAGGGTCCTGTTCTTACCCCAGCTCTCCAGTTAAGGGTATTTTCCTACCCCCGGTCCGAGATCTGGGGATCTCTGCCAAGATCACTCGGTATGTAGGTCAAGACCTGGGGGATCTACGTCCAGGATCTTAAGCCCATCCTACAAATTGCGGGGAGATCTGACCCTGACAAAGTATCTAGTTTTCATATCAATCTTAGTTGTTTACGAATACCCCTATAACTTGATGCATTTATCTATTGGAATTATTGCTCCCTTCGAATGATACCAAACTTACTACTTGAATACTACTTGGGTTAGGCTTAAAGAATTGTTTTAGTACTGCTCCTATAATAAGCTTCCGTTCCCTTTACTACATGTATTTCTAGTCCTTGTAGCAAACATTTTCAACACGGTATCCCCTTCCCCGGTGGTTTTCTGTTGATGGCGCTAATATTACAACGTGGCGACGCTATATTCCTGTCCTATTTAGGTCACCGAATCGAAGTCGGTCATATGCCGGCCCTTTGGGTTATCACCCCTAACAATTGAAGAATTACTACCCTTACCCTCTCTGTACTAAGAGAAAGACGATAGGAGGCTAAATAGATACATTTTACTAATCATCTCGTAGCTACGAACGAGTGCGATGTCAATCATAGGGTTGTAACATCGTGTCCTCTCAGACAGAGATACATCCACTGGGACAAGAGTATGAAATGTATATATGTATTCTAGTCTATCTATGCCCGCGACCGTAGTATTGCCTGCTTCAAAGACCAACGAAGAATCTTAGGATAGAGCCACCTAGGCGTTGACCAGAAGAACCAGGCGAAAACCCATGCAAACCCTAAAACTTTCCCGGCGACGCGTATTCTCGCGTCCCTTAGCAGGGCCTCGTACTTTGTTCTGCACAGCAAGTTCCTGAGAAGGGTTGAGACGAAAATCTCGCCCCCCACAGCGAAATAATTGGCGCAGAAAAAGAGCAAATCGCGATGACTTTCGCCCTGGCCAACTTTCCAAGCCGTCATGGCGTGTATAAGCCCCGACAGGAAGAATATTCCAAACGCAACTATTGCCTTATCAACAGCCGATCCCGGTTTCAGCTTCAAGATGCGTTGCGAGAAGATTTTAGCGCATATATGAAGAGTTGGAGATGCGATACGATGCCAGAATCTGCCCCAGAACCGCCTTACTGTCCATGCCTCTATCAGATTACCAAAGAGTGGCGGCCAGTCCTCGGGGTTGTCAAATCGTAATATCACAACGAACAACAAGGACAATATGGCGTGGTACGACTCGAGTATGAGTATGTTCGTCCATATCCAAGAGACGCACACGAACGCTCTTAGGAGTAGTTGATGCGCCAAGATTGGGTCATCTTCATCCCCCACGAAGAGGCGCCGTAGGATCGGCTCTTGATCCGGGGTGAAATCGAGTATAGTGCTAGTAGCATTGATATATCCACCAGCCTTTTGAACAAAGATTCGGTCAATAAGGACGATGATTCCGACCTTGCAAATGCGGAAGAGTGCGAATTTGAGTATTTTCGGCCACGGTGCCGATGTAGGTCCTAGTCGTTGGCGAGACAAGCGCCGAGGATTATTCCAAATCCAGCACGCAGCCGATATGCTAGGCCTACTGGGAGGCAGAACAAGTTTATTTGAACACGTGGTGTTGCTAGTCTCCGGAGCCTTAGATAACAATGAATGATTTTCGAAGTATAAAATTCGAGGAAGAGTTAGCATATGGATGATGCACGTTATTGCTGTGTAGGATTCAAGTCCAACTAATCCTCCAGAGGCTATGCTGCCTTGAACAGAGGCGAATGACCAAGCCGTGAGGAGCCATGCCGGAGGAAGAAAAAGGGGGCGAAGCTTAGGGGGGAAATGTAAAGCTAGAGTAGTGAGAAGGATGGCTGCTAGAAGAATAATGTTAGGCTTGAAGAACTCGTAGGATAATGGCATTTTGACGCTGTGTCCATGTTGAGATATTATTTCTAGTGTAATGCGTTGATAACTAGCCATGATATGGGCGTTGCCCGCTAATCTCTCATCTCTGATCATGTATATCCTCGTTGTGGTAGTAATTTTTCATATTTTTATATGACCTGGCCAATTCTATTTCTTAATCATAACCTTGGGTCCCAAAGTACTCACCGAGAAATCCACGAGGTGGAAAAGCTATAATCGCCGCATTCCGGAGGATATTCATTGAAAGGCTCGAGCCATAGAACCAAGGTACCTACCTGTTTATCCAAGTACCGCTGGGACTACTGTTAAGACAGTCATTGCTAAGTAGCCTTGAAACATCGTGGACTATTAAGTAATCGATATTATATAAGTAGTGTATCCTTGTTTAGGTGGTCTTCCCTATTTGAGTACACCGAATCCATCACAGCGTTACACAGTATCAGCATGTCTCCTTAATCTACTACGAGACTCTAAACCATGTTGGGGTGATTATCTTCCACTGATAGTGCGCGCTCAGAGCAGGCGGGAATGGCCGGTATGGGGAGATTCTGGGATTTATCGATGTGTGAAGATCGCCATCTAGCAATGCCGAGGTTTCGTGGGGAGGCTCTCGAACTGTTTCTGTATATGGCGGCCGGGCCGTATCGCTATACTTCATAGTTTGGATTAACGGTTCTTCTATTTTTCCCATGGCGACGTGAATATATAATATTTATTACCAGCACACCGGAAATAGAACACATAGTACTTGTCGCTACGAATATTGTAGTGGCTTAGAACAATGCTTAGGAGAAGGATATAAGACTTAGACGACCTAGGTAGCTAAATGACCCAGATAGCACCATATGGTAGTATCTGACGCGTATGACTACCTCTTACCTATGTTACAACTTTATCTTATTTCCCCTAGTTATTTATCATTGTTGAAGATAGGTTATTGACATCTATAGTCACAAAGTGTGGGTGATACTATCCAACGCGGGTGACAAACAAATCATCTCCTCCCCTTGCATACATTTTACAACGCATATCCTACGTATCCTAACGAGTCTGGCCGTGGTTTCGGACTGGGCGCTGTTTGCATAGTTTTGGTGTTATGACTTTAGAACACCTAAGTTGAATTCATACTACTTGTTGTTTGATTTATTTCGCCTCTATCAGAATCAATAATTGCTGTGCGTTTGTATAGCTATTCTCCACTGTGAACTTGCCCCTGGCTCGTGTGGCCATCACTTCATCCAATAATGTAGCGGACGCTATAAAAGTGTCTCCCCTAGATTACAGCGGTCCGCCAATTTTAGCTCGAGTTCTACTCCCATAGGTAGTCGAATGACTGCTAGTTGATTGGGTACTCAAAGTACGAAGGCCACCGAGACAGACTTAAAGCTACTAGGTAGGTAGGCATCCAGATATTTATACCTTAGGCAGTTTAGACTTTCAGGCATACACTATAAGACAAAACTAAAGTCAATATAACTAACATCCACTTCAGTGTACTGGGGGCACAACTAGAATTGCCTGGCTTGGCTTCTGATACTATGATTATCATGCTACCGGTTCGGTTTAGGGAAGAGAACATACAAGGACGAGCAATGTTATGGCCCATTGTCCAATGTTCCTATAGGTTATTTCATCGGGAGTCGTCGATTTGATTGCCGAACTGATCATTCCAACTGCCTGTCTTATTCATCCTCCACTTCTAGAAGTCCGCATGGTTCCAGCATAGCCTAATATTTACTGACTAGTGCTACCACAAAGACACCCCCCCTGAAGTCTTGAGATACTTGCCGTCTGATGACTATGCGCCATACGGCCGAGCTGTATCGTGCCCTACTTACTATTACCACTGGTAGGCTTGTTCTATCGATTATATCGTAGATAAAATCACCTATAGTATCTCGATGGTCGAAAGGTAGATCTCTAGCCTAGTTTCACATAGTTTCCTACCACAGAAGAGTTAGTCAAGCCATATACGATACCCAGTATAATAGATAGGCACATACCAGGAAACTGGCCCTGTTTACCATGGCACTTGCCAATCCACCACTCGTTCTCATTTGGTGTTCTGGTCACGATTTCTATACGTCCTGCCCTAAAACTGATGTCACCCTCGCCTGGGCTGAATAATCGTACAAAGCAGTGACTGTTTCCACGGCTGGCGCGCCGCTAAGTCGGGTGGGCTTAGGTTTCGGCGGAGAGGGGTTTTGGCTTCCCTGCTGCAAGGCTGCTAGCCCAGGCGATTTGTGGGCTATTTAGAGGTGGAGATAGTGGCGATTTGAAGGCGGCCGCTGATGCGGAATATGGCGGAGGAGGGTTCTCTACAAGCTCTGGCTGCGACTCTTGGCCGTATTTAACTGATGTTGGCTCGGTGCGGATGATGCGCCTGCAGTAAGTAATCAGCAGCCGCGGTCCCGCCTCTAATGCTGCCGGCTTGTTCGCTTACTTGGGTGGCGGCTTCTTCTGACCGCTGGTCTTAAATCGAACAATGGTTAACTGTTCGTCTGCTCCAGGATATCTGCCCTCTTGCTTAAAAATGCCTCTTCTACATCAAGCGTCAAGTCGAAATATCCAATATCGCAATGTTGCATTTTCTCATGGAGCGTATAGAAGATATTCAGTTGCATATAGTAGAATGACTGGAATAGCGGCTTGATGAATTGGCGCTCAAGAGTGAACAGCTTAGGTAGTTCGTCTTTCAAAAGATCATTGAAGTAATTGAATTCCTGCGTAGCTTGCTCGACATCGCTCTCTGCTTTCCACAAGGCCTTCTCATCCTTGGCACTCTTCTCTTTTTTATCTTGTATTTTCTTGAGTGTCGCATTGTGTCGGTCGAAGTCGAGCTTCTTGTGCTCACGTTTTGTTGCTGTTTTCCTGATGACCTTGAGTACGTCAAGTAGTTCATTCGCGGGACGAATAACTCGCGACTCGATCATCTCAAGCTCAGGCTTGAGCGATTCTTGTAGATCTTTGACGATAGCCTCGTACTCCTCGCAAGCGCGGATGCCCTCGGGGTTGCCTTGAACCTCTATCGAGTCGGGATCTGACATGCGACCTGATATAGGCTTGTAGATCTCGGTCATCGCTTTGCTGAACTCGATCTGGTGGTTGAGCATGCCGTTAATGGCATCGGAATACTTCTTACTCTCATCGTGGAGGTGTTTTGTCTCGACTTCAAGCTCTTGGAAACGTCGCTCTGCGTCGATGAATACGGGATCTTTTGAATGTTCGCCAATGTTAAATTTGGCTTTAAATTGTTGCGGCGCCTATGGGTTAGAGAATTCTAATTAGTTTCAACGTCTTTCTTTTTTGGGGACTAGGCGCATTGGTATTTACTCGAATGACGCTTTTCTGGAAGCCTCGGAAGCTCATCGCTCTGCGAGGTTGAAATGATCTGTTTGTAATGGTTCTGATTGCGATGTATGGTTTAGTGGGGGTATTGATTCGGAATGAGGATGTTTCTTTGTAGTTTTTACTGCGTAGCGTTCAGGGGAAGCAATACTACACTAATAGATTGTGAGGTAATAGTTGAGTAGTTGAGTAGTTGAGAAACAAAAAGTAGTATCAAGGGCGAATAGAGGTTGCAGCAGGTGACGGCAAGCAAGGCAGAAATTAGTAGTTTAGTAGTTTAGTAGTTTAGTAGTAAAGTTGTAAATAAAGTAGCGAAGTGACTTGTACATGTAAACCTGACTTAGTGATTTAGGTCGTTTTCATCCACTGACGACGTCGTTGTTGTGGCAGTGCTTTAAATCATCAGCTCGGCTTCGCGGAGGATCCGTCAACTTTTGTGGCTTGGACCTAATAAGCCTACCTACTACTACGCTTAGGTACTACCGAAGCTTTTTTTTTACCTCTAAAAACAGGTGGAAGCTTTAAACATTGTACATAGGTACTATGTAGCTTAGCCCATTTATTTACCTAAAGTACTTAATACAACCGTATCATGAATTTGCAGATATTATGAAGCTGAGATTCTTAGTAAACATTATGATACGCGGAACCAGAACTGATACTACATGTACGGACTACATATTGGACCGCTTGCCGGATATCCGAGAATCTCTTAGCGTTGAATCTTTAAACCCGAATCACCGTGCTGACTTTGGCGGGCAGTGTGTACAGCACATGTATCTTTCCTTTTATCATTCTAATGCCAAGAAGAGAAAGCAGGAGCTTGCTCGCTAACGTCATCTGAAAATGATGAGGGGCAGGTGTCACTGTGGGAACTAAAGTTTACGTAACATGCATGATCTGATAAACCAAAGATGGGTACCGTTGCTCTTCTCATCCAATTAAATTACCAAGATCACTCTTGTTTTTCCGTTTCCGTTATCCCCGAGCTCAAAGGCCTAAAATCGCCGTTGACCGAGCTTCGGATCTTTTTTCGTGACTTTTTGATATTTGATTTGAAATTCGCCTTCAAGCTTAGGACAACTCCACCATCTTTCTCCTTCTCATACTCACATTTCTTCATATTCCCTTTAATAACTGATCGCATATCTCCGTTTGATGCCATCATGGCGAATGTGGCATCTTCAGCACTAAGACAGGCTTCGCGCCTCGCTCTTAAGCAGTCTATCGCCTCAACTTCTCTACGAGGACTTCCGTCCATATCAAAAGTAGCAGGTGTAACTGCCGCGCAGATCGCCCGAAGGGGCTATGTGTCGGAAACTAAACGCGATAATGCTCAGGTTAATGTTGAGACGGCTATCAGGTTAGATAAGAAGGACTTCATGAATGAGAAGGGAGAGCTTGTTATGCCAGGCTCTGGCAACCTCACAAACGGTAAAGTTAGCCCGATGGCCGAAGTGCTAAAGGAGGCAACTGTTTTAGAGGAGGGTCAACGTCCCATCTATCTAGACATGCAAGCTACGACACCCGTCGATCCTAGGGTTCTGGACGCCATGCTGCCATTTTTCGTTGGCGTCTACGGCAATCCCCACTCTCGAACACACGCATACGGCTGGGAAAGTGAGAAGGCCGTTGAGGAAGCGCGAGCGCACGTTGCTAAATTGATCGGTGCGGATCCTAAGGAAATTATATTCACTAGCGGTGCAACTGAAAGCAATAACATGAGCATTAAGGGTGTTGCGAGGTTTTTTGGCCGATCTGGCAAGAAGAAGCACATTATCACAAGTCAAACAGAGCACAAGTGCGTTCTTGACAGTTGCCGACATCTTCAGGATGATGGTTTTGAAGTCACGTACCTACCAGTCCAAAACAACGGCTTAATCGACCTAAAGGAACTAGAAGCCGCAATCCAGCCAACAACGGCACTTGTTAGCATCATGGCTGTGAACAATGAGATTGGTGTTATTCAACCTCTGGAAAAAATTGGCAAGCTATGCCGGGAGAAGAAGGTTTTCTTCCACACCGATGGTGCTCAGGCCGTAGGCAAGATTCCCTTGGATGTCAATGCGATGAATATCGACTTGATGTCAATCTCGTCGCACAAGATCTACGGCCCTAAGGGTATTGGTGCCTGCTATGTCCGAAGACGACCGCGCGTGAGATTAGAGCCTATCATCAGCGGCGGTGGCCAGGAGCGTGGCCTACGCAGTGGAACTCTCGCTCCACCTCTAGTGGTAGGATTTGGCGAGGCCTGCCGCATCGCCCAGGAGGAGTTACAAGTAAGTTTCTTACTCATCTTCTTTTTCTCATTCCCAAATTGATGAACCGCTTAATACATGCATGGCTTTCTGAACTCCTTGACCGGAATTGCTATGTTGAGACAAAGCACACGTGTCTGATTTCCATATACATAACTCTGATGACTACTCATTTTATGAAGCTTCGCGGCTAACTGATACATAGTATGACTCGAAACGTATCAAGGCACTGTCCGATCGACTGTTAAAGGGACTTTTAGCGTTAGAGCATGCAACCCAAAATGGCGCCCCTGAAAGCTTCTATCCTGGATGTGTCAATGTCTCCTTCGCATATGTCGAGGGTGAGTCGCTTCTTATGGCTCTGAAGGACATTGCGCTGTCATCAGGCAGTGCTTGTACATCTGCCTCGCTAGAGCCAAGTTATGTCTTAAGAGCACTTGGAAACAGTGATGAGAGCGCACACAGCAGCATCAGGTTCGGCATTGGTCGATTCACTACGGAGCAAGAAATCGATTACGTTCTCAAAGCCGTTCAGGAACGAGTCACATTCCTTCGCGAATTAAGTCCTCTATGGGAACTCGTACAAGAAGGCATTGACTTGAACACAATCCAATGGAGCCAGCACTGATTATGTCATTGACTTCTCTGAATACTGAACTCTTTATTCTTAGTTTCATTTAAGGAAAAGAGAGTCTATCACTCATAGATGAATATGTCAAATTAGGCCATATGCCTAGTTTCACAATCGCTTTTAGTTAGGCGCTGAGGACAATAACATCCTCTCACTTGTAATTTTAGGCGTTAGGGTGGTTTGTCGTGTACTACGCTACCTACTTGCGAGTATGCATGCGGTTTCGGGTCGCATAGGAAATGCGATTATTTTAGGGGGACCACTGGAAAATTCGGTGGACATACTTATCTCAATGATACCAAATGAAATGGCATGCTGAATATGAGTTCATGAGTAAATTAGTTTCCGGTTAGGATAGTCGTGATATAGTTCCTTCAATACGATGTCATGTTTTTGATGCATTTGGCTGTGATTGCTACTCTTATGAAATAAAACATAATAGGGCTGAGTAATAGTAAAAGGTACCTAATATTCTAGACTGTAGAATAAAGCTTGGTAGGACCTCACATCTTGGACGTGAAACCACAGCTGATGCTTGCATACCTAATACTAACATCCCTCTCCTAGGTATGTATTACCCATGTCCTTCATACTTAGCTGTAAGGGTTTGTTCCCGGGAAGACGGCATACCGCATATGGCATACACTAAGTAGGTACTACGTAGCCATATAATAAAGGAATATAATGAACACCAAGTACGTCATTGTAGAAACCGCGAGAAATGTGACCTAACACATCCAAATGAGTGAATGGCTCGTGCTAGATGCATAATATTACGTATTTAGCGGTAAGCCTATTCATTTTCTCCATGATTGAACAATCAAAGTGCATGTAGTCGGAAGCGCAAGTGGCTTGAAAGCAGGCCTTAGCCTAATGCAAACATAATGACATCAACGAAAAGAACCTGACGCCACGCTCAATGACGTCTTACTTGCCTAAAGGGGCAATCGTTCCTCCACCTTTGTGCCACCAAAGCAAAACGCCATAGTCACTTACATCGAGATTTAGAGATTGCCCTCAAAGATTTGCATTATCGCTGATGTATTTTGCGCTTGTTTCAAGACTTCTCCCAACTTTGCCTTCCAGTAACAATATTACGCAACCTGCTAGTTTTCGAATCTAACTGAGTTATAAAAGACCCTTTCACTCCCTCTTCATTACCATAGTCATCTCTAACATCAACTCCATACCAACTCACAATACTTACTCAATTATTAAATTATTCTACATTATCAAACCTACCAATATGTCTAACGATAACACTTCCACTCTCAAGTCCGTTGTCGACTCTGCTACTGGTACCGTCCAGAACGCATTCGGCAGCGTAACTGGAAGCACAGGTGATCAGGTACGTGTTCTCTATACTAGTTCTATACTTTCGACATATCCAATATCAACTAACATAAAATCTTATCTAGGCTCAAGGTCAAGCTAAGCAAAACAAGGCTGATGCCGAGTATGACGCATCGCACGCTACTGTTAAAGCTCCGGGCTTCACTGCCTCATCATCGGGAGCCGTCACAAAGGATAACCCTGACAGAACTGCCGGATCTTACAACCAGACCGTAGGCTCAGCTAAGGAATTCGTCGGCGGACTAACAGGCGTCGAGGTAAGTCGATAATGCTAGACCCCCAAATTACCCTACGAACATGGGTAGAAGACGCTAACATTAATCGGCAGTCTCTAAAGGCAGCTGGACGTAAACAGAATGAAGAAGGCCAGCGGCAAGAAGCCAAGGGTCAGGTTAACGACTACGTTAGCGGCATCTCTGATCGTGTCACCGGCACTGTAGGTGGAGCCTTCGCAGGTGTTACCGGCAACAAGGCCGCGCAACAAGAATACGAAAGGCAGCACGATGCTGGAAAAACAAACCAGCGAGGTGCCGAGGCAGATATAGTAAAGCAGGCAGACGCCGACTCTGCAGCCTCACGTAAGGCATAAGTGCTTCAACTGAAACAGGTGGAGACGAGACGAAGTTTTTTTTGAGGGAGGGGGGAGAGCAGCAGATGACATTTATGATACCCAATATGGAATGCTAAAGTGTAAGCAAGCATTCGAAAGGCTTGGGAAATAGAATTGTATGGTATAGAAAGATTGTATTCATATCCGAAATGGATCTTATAATCATCTATTATGACGTTAAAAATGATTACGTGACCATTGAGAGAATCTAAACAAAGGACTACGAGAAAAAGAGTAAGCAATTGCGATCATTTCCGAGAAATTCTGGGTTAGTTATCTATTAGTCCTGCATCTAAGGCCAGCGAATAGAAAGCGATACCAGGATTGCTAATTCGTTAACAAACCCCCCTGTCGAGGCTCTTCGCTCGGGTAGTACTAGAAATTCTAGCGTGGTCTATAGGGCAGAATCGCTTTACTGATTTATGAGTGGTCCATCCGAATTATTGGAGTCTTGTCTTGCCGTACCTAACGTAAGATTTTCCCTACCTTAGGTATGTATGTAAGACCCTAACCTAAGCCGCTTCATGCAGAGTTACAGAAAGCTTGCAGGATGTAATTCTTCGTGCCGAGACTCATCAATCATAAGTGATCTTTGACCGAATAATTGGGTCGAATCAGATGTCTATGAATATCAGAGATTTTGTTCCCGTTTGTTTTTGTTTGTTTTTTGTTTTCTTCACATGACTCTTACCGGCATAGCCGTCTGAGATCAGGCGCACGCATCAATTAATTCCCGTGTGAGGCTACTTATAATACCTTAGATGTATTACAAGTAGAAAAAGCGCGTGAGATCACCGTTGCCGTAGTTGAAGTGTTGTGGATAGATATGCGAGTTGATGATGTCTTATTGAGATTCAGGTTAAGTTTTCCGATTTACGGCTGAAGAATATGTAAGATAATCGACGCAAAAAAAAAAAAAAAAAGACCATAAAAGTAAACATCTTGAAATTTTCTTTTTCATCTTAACACAAACTTAAGAAAAGAAATATTAGAAAGAAATTACAATATATAGAAGTAACGCAACGCGGTCTTCTGAGTGGTGGTTAAACGATGCAATAATATTTTCTTTTAGTGTTTAAATACGTATCAGGTGAAGCTGGGCAAGCAAGGTTGTACGGTAGGTATGTAAGAGGTACCTTTAAGTTAGGCACTTTTCGAAGTATTAATCCCCCTGGGGAATAACGTTCTCTGCGGTGGAGCGCAGCACCCCAAAGTCCGCTAACCATTACCTTAGGTAAGGTATGTCCTGTCCTACCTGCCCTACCTGCCCTACTTGCCCTACCAAACAGCTAAATGGACTGGATGTGCCGATATGTACCCCCTAACTAAAATACGCTACTGACGCTGTTGTGTGGAGCCGCGCTGCCCTATAAACCTGATCCGTGCGGCGATACTCCTTTTGAGCTCGTCTCGGCCCCCAACTTACCCTGAATCAACCTCAATTCAGGATAGAGCCGCAGAATATACCAGGCTCCAGAGACTTAAGGGCTTACCACGGCCGAGAAAGCAGCCTATTCTTCATGCACGACAAGCTTGAACATGTGCCAATGGATAGCCCCCAATTTACTTTTATTTTATTTTCTTCCCTTCTAATATTTTTAGGGCCTTTACTCTATCTGTCAACCGGCGCGTGGCCCGCGGACTGTCCCAACTCACTTCACCAACTACGGCCCGCTCCTACTCTCTTTCTAATATGGGCTGACTCTTGGTGTGCCCACCTTGTATCCTATTAACTAAGTATCGTCATGGCAGTATCCTATTATATATCCTGGGATTTCACTACCTTAGGTCTCCTTCGGTGAGAGTTCTAGCACCAGGCCTTAGACTCCCCTAGGTGATGATTATTGTTGCCTTCTAGTACATGTAATCACTTGGCCTTTATGAATCATGTATTAGTGAGCAAGCTTCTATACGCACGTGTGGAATTGGCTAGATAATGTTTTTATTTTTTATTTTTTTTGTTTGCCTTACTACTGGGGTTGTATATCATAGGAGATCGCCTTACTCCTCAGTATGTCAAGGGTCTACAGCGCTTCCCACCTGATACGGTGATGGATACTTGTACTTTTCTATCGGAGATTCAGACATATCTCCTTATTCGATTCTAATTCGCTTGCCACACCTCCTTAGCTGTTATTACGAACTTCCCAATACCGTTTAGTTATTGGTGGAACACATCCTAAGGCTCACCGAAGGCGTCTTCTGCTCACACCCTTACACATGGCCGTTCCCGGGACCGTAAACTGCAGCCCAGATAGTGGAGCATTATGCAGCACTTTACTATAGGTCGTAGGCCGTAGGTACTTTGACGTCCTTGGGTCATTACCGAAATGACTCTCGAGTCGAAACTGATACATACCTACTTACTCACCATGCGGGTCGACATCTTCACTCTATCAGGCAGCACTAACTAATACCTCAAATCTCGATGGATCATATACATTATACGAAGAATCACTAGACATAGATGCGGACGCAGCTTTACCTTTAAAGGGTGTTTGCAGGAGGAGTTTACAAATCCTTGCCGGGGAAACACGCTCGCTGCTACTATGAAAACTGGCACAACTCTGTTGGTACTACTTAAGAAATCTCTAAGGAGCCGGATTAGATTGCCCATCTCCGCGCGACATCCCCTTAGGATCCAAGTATATTATAAACTTGTATCAAGGCCCACTTGTTCGGAGGTCATCCCGTGGCTCAGTTGTGCTCATTTGGACCATTTGGACTCGTTGAGTCGACTTAGACGCGTATCTCGTGGACATCACCTACCTAACTCTACCTAAAGAACCCCTCTCCGAATTTTTTCGGCGTCCTCCATCTTGGAAAGCCGTAGGCACTTGAGAGTTGGCTCGCCCACTCGGCTTTCTCCTGCTAGTTTCAGAAACTCGAGTGACACCGGGCTGTTCCTTTACGCTGTCAACCACTTAGAACGCGAGTCCCAGGGGTTGACTCATCAAAAGCAGGTTCGCTACTAATACATCAAAGTATATCCCTTGTAGCAATTTGCCAGTGCGAGATTTTCTACACCCATACTGGCAGAAAAGTGGTAAAAACCGACCTCCAAGTAGACGAACGTGACCATAGACGTCCCATTGTACTCTCAGTCAGACATTTTATTTATCTATCGACTTGCAAACCGTCTCGACAATGGGTAGGAAGACATCAACGGCTATGATGCGAATTGCGATCGCAGGTGCTGGGGGCTTTGCAGCCCTTCTAATCCGGGAGTTGTCTCGGACTGCCTATGCCATACTCGTGCTCTCAACGAAGGTGACCGAATCAGAATAACTATAACATCATCAAGGCTAGCTAATTCATCAATAGGACCACCCGGAATTAGAATCTAATTTCGACTGTCAGGTAGCCATAGTCAACTATTCAAACCTTGACGATCTCCAGTTCGCCCTTCAGGGCGTTGACCTTGTGATATCTACCATCCCCGGTGCAGAGCAACTAAACCTCATCGATGCGGCTCGACGAGCTGGCGTACGCTGCTTCGTGCCTTCGGAGTTCGAAGGCTCCGTAAGCCATAGACCAGCCATAGGAACTGACCCTTTTGACAATGGCTCTTCGACGGCCTTGGAACAACTTCGACACTGGTCCCAGTCGAGACACTATTCGATGAAATACACCGTTTTCTCATGCGGCATCTTCTACGAACGCTTTGCTCCTGGCGGCCTCCAAGCATACAACATGGGCGTCAGCTGTCAGATCCGAAACCAGGGAGACTACATGATCGATGTAGGCCTTGGAACTGCCGAAATTCCGGAAACGGACTCCCGGGGCCGCCCAGTATACGTTGTAATGACATCGGCACTTGACGTAGCACGATTCGTCGCCGCTGCCGTTGAGCTGGGAATCGACAATTGGCCGCGAGAGTTCAGAATGCGCGGTTCTCGTTTGACAACTCAAAGACTTCAAGAGATTTGCAGCGAAGTCCGAGGAGGTAAGTGACAAAGCAGCCTATCCTCTCGCGTCGAGTTCCCTAACACATCATTATAGTCGCTTTCAACGTTATCAGGAGGCCGTACGAAGAAATCGTGCAATGGCTTCGCTACTACGAGCAGAACCGGGACGAAGTTAAATGGTGCACGATGCAGCATCTTCTACAGACTGCGGATGGCCGATACACATTTGGAGAAACGAACTTGAACGAATCGGTGGACATACAGCCAACAAGCTTTCGACAGTGGCTATACGACACCTGGGGTCCGGCATAGTAATATCATATTATTGTTGACAACAATAATCTAACTACCTACCTAGGCTAGCTATCCTCACCGCCGCTTTCTTCTGCACCTCGACTACCTTATTCCGCCCCTTTAAGATCTGTTGGTCGCGTTCATACTTGGGGCGGGCCCGTTTCAAGCAACCATATGTGGCCCGTCTGTTATAATAGACCCATCTTGTATGCATCACGGCTGAGTTGAGAAGCAAGCGACACGTCTATTTTTGGTTCTTGATACCTTTGTAACTTCAATTTCTTTCTCTCGGCATTTAAATTGTATGCACATCAGCATTTAGCGCTCTACCTATCTACCTACCTAGGTATATATCTATCTATATGACTGTTTACCCGCGGGTCGAGTATAACGTTTTAATAATACCTATAGATGGTATACCCCTCACTTATTCCTTTTCTTCTTCTTATTTTTTTCTTATGTTTCTTCTCTAGAAAACAACAACAACAAAAACAACAACTTCGTGAGGACTCCCGCTGTCTCAAACCCGCTGTCGTACCCGTACCCCCCCTTACCTTCAGGAGATCTTTGTGAGACAATGTACGGCAAGTCGCGCTAGCGCTACGCCTTGTTGGTGTTCCGTAGGCGTAAGTGGTTGCATTACATACTTACCTGCCTTACCTACATGTATGTATGTATGTATGTGCTTATATGTGCGTATTACGCCCCATTCATATACGTTGCCGCCCCTCCCTTCCTATAGGGGCCGTAGAACGAGCGTCGAATCGTTACCAGACAATCGGGTCCGTTGCCCATTTCCCCCCCACGCCGCCTGTTCTTATCCTTCTGAACTTTTTGTTTCGTTTCTTCAATTTCGCTGTGCGACGAGTGGCCCGCCGTGCCGCTTGCACGGATTCCGAGTGGCGCGAGAGAAAGTTAAGATTGACTTGGTTCTTTTTTTTTTTTTTCTTCTTCTTCTTCATTTCACAACGTCTGCTTAAGCTTCCCTCGGACACCCACGAATGGGACGGACCGAGCAAAGGTTGCCTAGGTATGTATGAGAAACGTCATACGATTCTAGCGTATATGTAATCTCACATATATGCCTACATTAGGTACCTACACATCTACATGACTACTACTAACTATTATCTTGTGAGAGGGCATGGAAGGGAAGGCAAGTCGTGTTGAACTCGGCCATGATCTTCGTCCCTGCAGCCTTAGCCCTACTGCGTAACTCCCCTCATCCCCATACCCTCGTCCCGCCTTTTCGTAGAATCAGCCTTAAATAAATTAACAACATCTTCCCTGACGCCCCAGTAAGCCGACGACTTGTCCTTATTCGCGTGTGTGTACGACCATAAGTTTTTTTTTTTTTGGTTTTTTTTTTACTTCTTTTTGCCCTAGCCGCTGTACGTCAACGTCACCGAGATCTGCAGGTAAGCCGCTGTCGCACTACCTAAGGCTGCGGGTTGGCGGGAAGCGTACCATCATACATTGGCGCCGATCCCAAACCCCAAATTTCTTGTTCGTCAAGTTGTCGCAGAGCCTCAATTTCCCTAACTGAAAATTTTTTAAAACCCTTTAGGATCCTTCGTGTTGAACCGCGGGGGACACCCGCCTAGCTGTACCACCGGGAAATCATCTCGGGAATGTGGGATTTGACCCATTGCGAATGGCGCAGTAACTTTTTTGCTCGTCTCCGCCATTTGCCTTAGGCAACCTCCAACACTCCCGCGCTTACACCCCCTTTTCCCTCTAATCTTGGCCGAATTCGTCAACGACCCACACGCAGAACTTCTCCCACTCGATCTCCCATTCCTTCACCCTCTGTGCCTTAATCCCGCTTCCCGTACTTGCTTCCCTGATGTCTCTGCTCCACTCCTCGGCAGACTGATCCTCAAACGCTGCCCACCGTATACTATTCTCGGCTAGACTCCCCAGCCCTGCCAGCCCTAAATTTTCCCAACCCTGCAACGCTTGCCAAAAGTCGTGCGTGGACCCGGCCGTGTCTTGACCGAGCATGGCCGGGTCATCGTTACATAATGAGCAGGCCACTCCCCGCGCGAGTAGAGCGGGAAGAGGGTGACTCATGACGGAACGCAGAGACGAGGAAGGAGGACCTCATTCGATATAGGGCAGCTTTCCACCAAGATCTTCTTCTCTTTGACGAGATTGACGAGCAGAGGATGCTTGTACAAGCTAAATCCGTGGCCGATACGTCTCGTTCCCAGGAGCACAGCGTCGAATAAATTGTGATCTGTATCGTTACCAGTTCCGAGACACTCGCCGGCGTGGAAGAAGAAGGGGATATTGACACCCTCCTGGGCACACTGCTTGCGGAACCAAAATAGCTCAGGAAGTAGGTCGCGTAGGGGTCGACCACCATCTTCCTGACCGACCAAGTCGTACCCGGCGATCAGATGAGGATGCGTGATCTTAGTCTCGATGCACTGTTCCATGTTTTCCACGATATTTCGAGTTGGAAAGAACCGTAGAGCAGCCCATATAACCCTAAGCCCCCAAAATCCCTCTCCCTCTTCAGATTCCTTGAACCGTGCCACCTCCTCGTCCAAGACAGTCATCATCGCACTGTAGTCAGACTCGGGCGTCTCGCTATCCTGTTTATAATAATCCAGTGCCCACGAGAAGCGGAATTCGCACCAGTTGATCCCGTCTGCCTTTAGTAAACTCATGAGGCGCTGGAGGAACTTGCGGAAGATGGGCTCGTAGTGAATCATGGACCCGACCACGCGGAAACACTTGTAGAATTTTTGCCATATGTGATCAACACCGTGGTGCTGAGAGACGGCGTCCGTCCGCGAGATGGTGCACCGTGAGTAAAGCCACTTTAGGAAACCGGCTTTCCCGCCCTCGGGGAACGCGTCCGCGGCCTGAGTAAGCAGGACAAAAGTACCGCTTTTATAATCGGGGTTCCAGATATTACTTTCGGTACGTGGTTGTTTGAAAAAGCGGAAGCTTAATTTAGCAGCTTCCCTCTCCTTGTCTGATGTGAGCGGCTGGTCGGCGGACAAATGTATGCCTGGGGTTGCGAAGAGCGCTCCAAATAGATACTCGAAATCAACCATGGCGTCTAAATGGGCGTGTAACAAAGCACCCTTAGGCATGCGTCGTACTATGTTCCATAATTTGGTGCTTTCCATTCGCTCCTTGGACAGGGAGAACATCATGCCCGGGTGCACGACAATATCAGATTCCTGAGCGAGCGAGTCTTCTAGCTGTGGCGTCCACACTGTGTTCTTCTCTTCATCCCGGATACGCGCCACTATATCACAGGCACGCTTTGCAATAGGAGAGAGACTCTTCTTGAATGACGCATCTAAGGGGTTTTTTTATTATTAGCGATAAGAAGTGAGAAAAGGGGGATGAGCCGATTAGGGGCAGTCTATACGAACCGCTGCGTTCCTTATTTTCTTCTGTTATGAGGGCCTCGCGACCTTGGAGATACTTCTGAATAAAAGGATCGCTATCCTTCGGGAGATCTTGCGAGACTTCCTCCCACTCCTGATCGGTGTATAAATTCAGAGGATTCATCTTGTCTGATATCTTTTTGCTTAAGTTCTAGTGCCTAATAAGAAAGGGTAACTATCCTATGATTGAAGATAGAATTGATGGGAGGATAAAAAGTATGAGAAGAATGGATTGCTTCTGTTTATATACCAGGGCCTCGATAGGAATTTATTATTGATGATAAAGCTATAACTAGATGGTATAAAGTAAACTAAGGTAGGTAGACTTGCTAAGATGCGACAGTTTCCCATTCATGAATATGAAATATTACCCAAGTTGGAAAAGATGGAGAGAGCTAAGGAAGCTCCGTGTTTGTATGTATCTTAGCTACATCTTAGGTACCTCCTACCTTACCCCACGAGACCCGCCAATGAATGACTTACATTCACCCCGCTAATTCGGATTTTAGCGGTCCGTCCTGTCCTGTCCTACAAAAGTTTAACTTTTTATGCTTTTCCCCGAGTTTGTCTCGTTAAGTTCCAGTTTCCTAACGCCCTTGTCTATCATATCCCTCCAATTAAATTCAATAATAATACCTAATCTTACAGCAGCAGTCTCACTGCATGATGACATGTCTTTAGACAGAAAGCTAGACCTTGTGTCCCGCATCGGCCAAGTAAGTTCGCCCGGCTTTCCACCCCGGCATCTCCAGCGCCGCCGGAGATCGTCGGGATTCGATCCGGGCCGGACTCTAAAGGCCCTGGTACCGGGGTTAATTACCATTATAGGACCACGCTCGTGATTCTTAGGGACATTTTCATTGGTTTAGGAATTGTAATTTGAAGCGACTTATTCTTGCTTGACTATATTGTTTCTATAAAAATACCCTTATTCTATACATCTCTAATTGCTAAGCTTTCTGATACAGACGGCACAGAATGTCATGATAATATCTGATAACTACCTCCTATTCGACATGAACCCCGTATAAACAAGTCACGAGCAATAGTCACCAAGAACATTACAGAACCTCTATTCACAAGCGAGACGAATTATATAAATATCTATTAAGAACTACACAAGTACCTCTCTAACCTAGCAAAATCCATACCCAAGCCAAGCATTTACACGACTTCTTACAATGTCAACTTCACTACCAACGAATTCTGGAATTGGAATTTAATTCGTCTGTATCACCACCACAAGCGCTTGCTACCTACGCTTCCATTAAGCCCCCAACTATCATCTAACCTAAGCAGGTACCTTAGGTACACTTCCCCCTTTTCCCAAAATCCATGATTTTAATAATAATAATAAATAAATCCTACCAACATCTAACCTGTACATCTGCCTCCTGCACATCGCTTAACCATTGATTACCAAGACACCTCGCTCCTACTTTCCTCCCAACATACGTAGATTCCAGACCGTTAGACTAGGATAATCGGCCGCGTCAAAAATGACAGAAAAGCATGTGTAGTAATTCGCTAGTTAATCGATAGGCGCCCCCGTCGATTCACCTTCCTAATTTGATACCTACGCCGGTGGGGGATTAGTGGCAAAGACTCCCAGGTATTTGGTAACCCCCAAGCCGGTCAGCTTATACCCAATGTCTGTACGACTGCGTAACATCACATTGGCGACGACTGGCCGCGTGTAAGTAAGTGGGAAATTAGGATTCACGAGCGGCACAGCTTTAAATATCATAAAGGCACTAATACAGACACTCCCCTCAATACTTTAGGCACGTAAAAGGGGGAAAAAGTAACATAGATTTTATGCCTCCTCACTACCTACGTACAAAGCTTCCACAGCCCTATGCCTGCAAAGCGGCATCTTCCCTAGCGGTATGGCTGCCCTTCCTCCAAGACTCAGTATGATCTCTTCGTAATCTCTCGACCTTCTGGTCTCCGACCTTGCCCCAACCTCCTCCTCCGGGCGTATTAATGATGATATGGTCTCCGGGTTTCATAGGGGCGCTGTTCTTAGCACCTAAGTTGATATAGCGTACCTCATACTCAACGTCGTCTCTGTCCTGCTGTGCGTGCACACCTTGTGTAGCAAGATCCTTCTCTGGGTCGGCTTTCTGAACGCGACGTACCAGATTTGAGACCGCACTCGGCATCCTCGCCGCCGGCTAGACCGTAAGGCCTGTAGATCGTCGCTCGCTGAGGATCGAGCATGGATGGGGATCCGGAACTCGATGTCGCGGGACGACTCCATCGCCACCGCGATGTTGGCCATACCACCCGATCCTTCGCGGATGGAAAAAACTCGTGCAGAAGCACGGGGTATCGTCGCTCGAATACTTCAGAGTCCGTAATACGTGTGTTCGTCATGTGTACGTGGACACCACTGGTGCCTTCCCAGTCCGGTCCCGCACCGCTGCCGCCCGCAATCGTCTCGTAGTACCCGAAGCCCCTGACTTCTTCCTCTCCCGAAATGTTACCGCCGAACCCAAACGTCAGGTTGTTACAGCAACCCTGGCTGGCGGCACATGCTTCGAATGCTTTCAATATAACATCTGTGACCCTCTGACTAGTCAATACGTTGCCGCCCACCACGGCAGCACCCGTCGACGGTGACAGGAGTGACTTGGGAGGAATTTTGACGTTGACAGGTTTGAGACAACCCTGATTCAGGGGGATGTCTTCAGAAATCAGACAGCGCAGACAATAGATGATAGCGCTGTATGTGATGGCTTCGGGTGCATTGACATTGCCGTAGACCTGAGGACCCGTACCCTCGAAGTCGAACTCTGCCTCTCCCTTCTCCGGGTCGATAGTGACGCGTAGCCGAATCGGAGTTCCATCGTCCATATAGTCAACTGCAGACAGGTCCTTTCCTTCGAATTTCTTGTAGACCTGTTTTAATAGCTGCCGAACACAGAGCTCTGCGTTGTTTTGGATGCTGACCATATAGAATTGTACAGTATCTTCGCCGTACTCCTGAATGAGTCCTTCGATCAGGGATATGCCTTTTTGGTTCGCAGAAACCTGCGCCCTGAGATCGTTGATATTATCTGCCAGACATCGAGTTCCACTACACCCAGGGTACTTCGCTGGTTCGTTATAGAGTAGCTCTATGATTCTTTTTTCATTGAATTTGCCCTCGCTGACGATTTTTTCGCTCTCAATCGAAGCGCCTTCTTGGAACAGTTCACGTGAAAGCGGTGGCATGCTACCCGCGGTGATTCCACCGATGTCTGCATGGTGTGCTCGTGATGCTGCGTAAAACAGAATCTTATCCCCCTTCTCGTTAAAGGCAGGCATGATAAGAGTAATATCTGGCAGATGTGTACCGCCATACGATGGGTGGTTTGACATGATCACATCTCCTTTTTTGAGTTTGCCCTCCCAGATCTTGGCTTGTGTTCTAACACACGTCGACATAGATCCCAAGTGGATAGGTAAATGCGGCGCATTCGCTACGAGCCCTCCCGAGGCGTCGAATATAGCACACGAAAAGTCGAGACGCTCCTTGACATTTGTACTCACGCTAGTCTTCTGGAGCGCATGGCCCATTTGTTCTGCGATGGCCATAAAGCGATGACCAAAGATACTCAGTAGAATAGGGTCAGCCTTTCGTTCAGACGAATCCTTCTTATGCGAGCTGATTTATTTGTTAGCAAAGTCTCGATTTCCAATTTATAAAGGGGACGGGATCAAGCTCACTCATCCTTATTTTTTCTCCAAGTCGATGATGACGTGCGTTTCGAGAATTAATGCCTTCGCCTTTGGAGTGATCACGATAGTTTGTGTACCATCCGCGAGAACAGCCGGTCCGTTGATTTCGTCACCAACCGATAGGTCTTCGAGTTTGTAGATTGGCGTCTCTAAACGACCACCTTCAAAGTAAACTTGAGACTTGCCATGTGCTTTCTGGTCACCAATTGACTGTCGCTTGACTTCCCTTAACTGTTGATCTACAGTCTTATCCCGATATGTGAAGCTCTTTCCAATACCGCGAACTCGTACGTCATCTACGATGATATCTCTATCATCCAGAGTAAATCCAAATTCGTAACGATGATGGTCTACAAAGGCCTTACCAAACGCCCAGTCCTCGCCGTCGTAAGACGCCTTTGCCTTCTCCTCATCAGGCTTGATAATCATGAGAGCTGACTCGGTTCCACGATATTTCATATTGAGATATTCTTCAAAGACAATATCGCTGTCCTCAAAACCTTGGTCCTGAAGGGCCTTGCGTGATTTCTCTTTTAATTTTTCCATCTTAGCTTTTAGCTCATTAACCACATCCCCCTGATCTTGCCATACTGTAGAATCTGGTTCCTGCCTCTCATCGACGACATCCGCCAGGGCCATTCCGTATGCCGATAAAACCGACGAGTACCTGTGGACTAATATCTGTTTAATACCTAAGGCCTCTGCGATAGCAACAGCGTGCTGACCGCCGGCACCACCAAAAGTCGCCAATCGGTGCTTCGAAGAGTCATGGCCCTTCGCCTCAGTAATAGACCTGATCGGTCTTGTCATAGCTTCATTTGCTATCGTTAAGAAACCATAGGCTACTTCATCTAAGCTCATATTCTTGCCAGTTTCCTTATTGATCTGATCAGTGAGCTCTTGGATAACTTTCTTGCTTGCCTCAAAGTCTAAGCCCTCGTCTTCGTTTTTGCCGAAGATCTTAGGGAAGAACTCAGGTAGTAGACGGCCTAGGAACAAATTTGCGTCTGTTACTGCAGCGGGGCCACCTTTTCGGTAACAAGCAGGGCCAGGATGGGCTCCTACTGACTCGGGTCCAACAACAAAGAGACCGTTCTTGAAAAAGAGTCTGCTTCCACCTCCGGCTGCGACGGTGTTGATGTCGAGTTGAGGTGACTGAATCGTAACGCCTGCTGTTGTCGTCTCAAAGACGTGCTCGTATCTACCTTCTCCATAACGTGAGACATCGGTACTGGTACCGCCCATGTCAAATCCGATTACCGGAATCTTAGTCTCCTCATCATAACTTGTGATAGCGTAACCGACTACACCTCCTGCAGGACCAGACAGGATGGCCTTCAACCCGGTAAACTTCTCCACGTCAACCAGACCACCGTCGCTCTGCATGAACTCGCATCTTGCACCTTTGCTGCCGTTCTCCTGAAGGACACTTCTTGTTCCTAAGCCACCAGCGAATCCCTTCTGAAACCCGGCGATGTACTTTTTAATTGCCGGCGTCAAGTACGCATCAGCACAAACACTTGTCGCTCGTGGGACCAACTTGATCATGGGCATGAGTTCATGGCTTAGCGAGATATGGTTAAAGCCAATTTCCCTAGCAATTTTGCCTACTAAGGCTTCATGGTCCGGATATGTGTAGCCGTGCATTAGACATACAGCTATACTCTTGATGCCCTTGTCGAATATGCTCTTTAATTGATCCTTGATCTTGCTCTCCGCTGGCCGTTCCAAAATACGCACTGTCTCCCCCGATAGTCCTAACACCAAGTCTGCTTTCGACGCTTCCGCCGTCCCGGCCTTGGCATGAGCTTTAGTGATGGTCCGCTCAGGGTCCTCAGCATAGTCTTCAAGTGTAACTCTCTCGTCTATCTCAACAACATCCTCGTATAGGACGTCAGGCTTCTTGATAGCAAGGTCAAAAATCTTAGGGCGACTCTGATTGCCGATGACAAGACAGTCCCGAAAGCCCTTGGTCACGACAAGGGCTATCTTCTCACCCTTGCGCTCCAGTAGGGCGTTTGTCGCCACCGTGGTCCCCATGCGTATACTATCGATCTTAGAGGTATCTAGGGCCTCACCCCGAGGAATCTCCCGTCCCTCGAAGTGGCTCAAGATACGCCGGATACCTTCCAGCGGTGCATCTTCATAGTTGGCCGGGTCTTCAGAGAGGAGCTTAATTACAACACTTTCCGTTCAGGGTACCAACACAATCAGTAAAGGTACCACCACGGTCGATGGCGATACGGACACCGCGGTCTTTCTGCTCAGTAGAACCCATCGTATACTAGATAGACGATAGAAAGTAGACCAATATGGATAGGGAGAATATAACACTTCGTAACTTCAAATGTTTGGCCACTTATAGGCCCAGCTTTAGCGGCATCGGAGAACAACAAGCGTTTATCTAAAAACTTATTAGAGCTTAGAGCTTACAAAGCAGCGCTTTGTTATTTCCTATACGTAACTTTTAAAATATGATACCAGGTTATGATCGCAATTTTAGGGAATGTAATACCAATAGATAGTCAGTGATGGTATAGAGGATGCCGAAGTGGATACATAGGATAAGGTATATTCGGAAATATTAGGAAGACAAATACGGATCAGTAGTAGTTATCTAACCTAATGCTAAAGCCGATGTCGTCACTAGGGCGGACTTAAAAGAGTAAAAAAACAATGACTCACCCCACTATATTTATACTTGATAGACTACTATTTCAACAACCCCGCAGTGTAAGCATACTGCATATACTTACCCCACGATAGGGGGGGATAACGGAAGTTTAGTAGTAGCTCGCCATAGTCAAGACTGATGAGAACAACTATATGCAATCAACATGATTATAAATCCTTTCAACTAGGAATACATAGTATAAAATTCGTTTGATAGGTGGTCTAAATTATTCAAGAGAATATTTCGTTCCATAGTAGAATAATATAATTAGTCTCGTTTCTTCATGAATAAATTATTTTATAGACTTGTATGCGGTTCGTGGACTTCGTGAGCCCCTGAACTCTTTTAAAAGTCCACACTACCCCCCTACAAACTCCATGGTCACCGCACGGCCTGTCGTATATATATACCTAAACTCATACATGTCCTGAAATCAATGGTTTATGACAATACCAATACATACCGGTCGTCGCGGGAGGAGAAATGTACTGAAGTTGTACACAATTCCAATCATCCATTTTTGACGTCCTATACCCCTTTTTGATTATACGCCCGGCTGTTGAAGTGCAAAACGCTCGTAGTAAGTAATCAACCTTAGTGTGTAACGACTCGAACTGCTTGCAGCATGATCCCGAAGAAAAGACCTCTGGCGACCTCCTCGACCTGGAGGCAGTCAAAGACTCGCCCAAGCGCTTCGCTTGTAGCGGATTGTCCCATGATCCCCATTAATGCGCCAGGGACGCCGCTCTGTATAAACAGTTTTCTAGCTTTAACTCTCAGCTCCTCTTTTTCTTCAATCGTCATCTCCTTTGGCCAAGCTTTTCGTTCTTCTTCCGTGGGAAGAGAATTTTCTCGGAGCTTGCGTAGATGAGCAGCAATACCATCGTCCGATAAGTTCGCCTCAAGAACCGATTCTTGAACAAGCGATTGGATAGACGCGAGTGATGGATTGCCTGGTCGTAGTAAAAATGATTTCGCTGCTGTCAAGAGCGTCCGCCGAATGTTCCAAGCCGATGACAGAGTATAGAGCTCGTTGATTACGGCGAAAAGAAGTTCAACCGCTACACGAGTCTCTTGCTCTGAAAGTGGTGCGTACTGCTTACTTGGTCGCTTCACAGGTCTACCTGCTTGTGGTAGCTGATCTTGGCTTGAGTTAAATGATCGAGTTGGCGAGATACCATTTGGAGTAGCCATTAAACGCGAGTTTCCATCCACACTCAAGCGAGTGCTCACGGGAGAGCCATAGTCGTCTGCGATCTCATCCGGTGGAGGTGGCAGTTTAATGTTAGTAAAGCTTAATTCAGATGGAGATCGTAGAGGTGAGCGTAATGCTACAGCGCTTGAAGCACGACTATGTACTTTACTACTCGTTGCACTAATCGAGCTCCGCTCCCAGCGATCTGCTCTTGCAGGGTGAAGACTGTCTTGATTCGGATCTATTTGGACGCTGGGTCGCCTTTCCATAGGCGCTACTTTACCCGGCTGCACTGCGACCACAGACGATCTTTGACTGTCCAGACTATCCCTGGTTTTTCCTGACCCATTCACCGATGGGGTACTATCCATCCTTGAGAGAGCCGACATTGATAATGGCCGCGTGTTCGTTGGGCTTTTCGCGCTACTAACTTCCTTGGTTTGTTGCTCGTTCAAGGATGAAGTGGTTGATTTCCTTGGCCCTAGTCCGATATTGCCAAAGACGCCAGTGACTCCGCCGACCACCACTTTTCCGCTGTCTAAGGCCCCCTTGGGTGCATTCTGGATAACGTCAAGCACACCTTTTCCTACCGACTCGAATGAGAACCCCCTGCTGACGCTCATTCGATTCTCCTGACCTTTATCTAGGAACCGCTTAAAGGCTTCTGATTCGGCCAGTGCTTTCTCGGCGCAGGCTGTTCGCATGTATCTCTCAATCTCACCGCGCAATGACGTCCTCGTATGCACTTTCCAGCTCGGGAAGGTGGCAAAGGCCTCTAGGAAAGCAGTTGACCCAGAGACGGTCGCAATGCGTCTCAAGCTCTCATGGAGGCCCTCAAACTGGGTGTACGTTTTCATTATCATCCACCCAGGGTAATGAGAGGTTGCTGGTTCAATCTGAAGTAGATACTCCCAGGAAGGTTTGCCACGAAGTCGACCCTTGTCATTCACCGCGTCGTCATGAATAGTAACAGTGGCATTGTGTAGTGTAAGGGGAGGTGGGTTGCGTGGGTCACCTTCTTCTGGTTCTTCTGTTGCCGGTGGAACAATTTGATCAAAGCTTGTAAACCTACGGGCCATTTGCTCCCCATGTCCACTAGACGGAGACGAGCTGTGGCTTGGCAGATCTATTGGCGATCTTAGAGAGATAGGAGACCTCAGAGATCCTTCCCTATCATCAGCATTCCCTGGTCTTGAGTCCATTGATGCACCTCTAATACTTGGACTATAGTCTTTAGGTTTCTCTAAAGAAGACCTGTTTGGTTTTTCGTCAAGCTTCAAGTTAAGCTCCTTAGCATTCTTCTCTATGGCATTATTAAGGAGACCAGAGGCGTCTGTGCGGCTCTCAGTTGATACGGGTTTCGACTTGTCGGCTTCCAGAATCATCTCATTAAGTCTCTTCATTTCTTCCATAGCCTTCTCCATTTCTTCGTCAGCTTTTGATAGCTTCTTCTTATGCACCGCCTCTTTACGGCGCACCCGATCAATTTCGTATGAATTGCGGTTGCCCCTGGAAAGGCCAATGTTTCCCACATTGCCATCGACGTCGCCAAAAGCCTTCTGATCTTGTATCGCATCGTCGATAGCTTGCGAAAAGTCTGTCTCTCCAGACTCAAGGAGATACACAATCCAACCATTAATCCATTCGGCTTTAGAACACGTCTGTAAAGTACCCTCAAGAATAATTGTTGAGAGGATCTCCCTCAAAAAGATTCGAGCAGGATCGCAATCATACGCCGATCTATCTAGGAAGCTAAGCATGTCCTCAGCAACCATCTTAAACTTCCCTGCTTGTTGTCTTTGATTAAGTAAATTTGACAACGGTGCTTCAGTATTCGAAGCTAGGTAATTATAAATAGCATCTGCCGCAGTCAGGTTGACTTCGGAAGGAAGCTCTGAGTAAGCATTGGCCATCTCAGATAGGAAGACAATAATGATAGAGCATGTGTGAGTAAGGAAGTCGACGAAGGCATCGGCAGGTCGCTTGCGGCCCAATTGATTCGAGATAGTCAATAGGAAATTAACCAACACCTTTCTGCAGGAGAGAGGAAATGACTTGTCGGACGGCACAATAGGTCCATACCACCAGTCTACATAGTCGCGAACAATGGCGTCGACAAGACCAGTAAGCGCCTGTCGCGTTTCTGGCTGGAAGTCGTCGAAACTTTGAGCGAGAAATTGGGCGTTCTTCTCATCGTCTTGTTCAGTCTGGATGACTGCCCTGGTATGTGCCGTCCCTAAGATACGATCTAAAAATTCGTAACCCCTTTCACCTCGGACGGCTCGGGACACCTCGGGATGCCGGGACTCCCATGACGCGAATAGCGTGATACCACCGACAGCTCCGATCAGTACTAGGCCAATCTGACCAAGGACGAAGTATGTCACAGCAGCAAGTGCAAACACGATAGCCGCGAGTGTCCCAGGCGTTGCTGTGGAAAGAAATTGCAACACCTTGGTGACAATATCATCTTGCTGGGAACTTGACGATGTAGGTATATCTCGTTTCTTCGGACTTATCGGATGGCTTTGAGAGTTATATTCGGATATATCTACTATTTCGCTCGAGTCTAATTTCGTCTCGTCTTGCGATACGGCGGAAGTGGCGCCGAGTTGCGCATCGTCGGCGGTATTCATTAGGGAATTGTTGGTGTATGGAACTATTGAAAGTTACTAGGCGTTTAGGGGCGTTGATAGCGGGCGCATTGCATTTATAACGAGAGGCTAGAATAGAAGATGGTTGATTAATATTATAAGTATTAGCACAACGGTTAACTCGAAATAGTTCGTTCGTTGTTCTCGATAGACTGCGTGTTCGAAAATGTTCTTGATTATAGATTTGGCAAATCATAGAAAATAATTTTGGCAGAAGGATTCATGTGAGTTAGGGGTCCAATGGTTAGACTTCCCCCTAACATCTGTCGTGTACAACCTTCTGCCTCAAAGTGCGATAATGGGATGTTTCGTAAAATTAAGTACTTAGGTACTTCTTACATTGTACATCTTTACCCCAGCGGGTCTCGTTCATGTATTTTTCCATAGTATTTTAAGTGAAAGGTACATCAAGCCTATAATAAATAAAGGTTCCCATATCTTAGAGTTTTAAGAGAGGTATCGGATGTGGGAACATGCAGGTACCTTGCAACAACTAACCATAGCGAGTATAGCGGTAATGAGACTCCCAGTACTGAATTACCTGGTACTCAGATAAGCATAATCGATGTATCTCTTAGCAGGCGCGTCTTCAAAGCACTTAACATTCCATTGACGCGACAAAGCGCAACTCAACAGCAACCCCACATTATACATCAATTATTACATTCATCTTCCTTTCCTTTAATTAACCCTTGCATCTTCCTCAATTGAGTTTCTCTTCATCTCACCATCAATTCCAGAATCAATTCCAGCCTTCAATATGGGTCGCACCAAGAACCTTAAGCGATCGCGTCGCGATGAGGACGAAGACGAGGATGTATCAAGCGATCAGGAAGTCAAGTCAAGCAGCAAGTCCAAGTCTAAGTCCACCAAGAAGGCTAAGACCTCCGATTCCGGTAAAGATAATGAAGGCAACCCTTTCTGGAGTGTATGATATTATATTACCTTATCATTCTTGTATATTTGACTCGAAATCCGTCACTAACTTATTATAAAGCTGGGCGGCACCCGCAGAGCTACCATCAGCGGTTTCAAGGGCAAGACATACATCAACATCCGCGAGTACTACACAGATGCATCTGGTGATCTCAAACCAGGAAAGAAGGTAAGCCATTATAAGTTAGGGAAGGAGGGAGAAAGGTGTTTTGGCCATCCAATCGCTTACCACACCTTATAGGGTATCATGTTAAGTCCTGAGCAATACAACAAACTACTCGAAGCTATTCCTTCTATCAACGCCGAGCTACGGGACAAGGGACACACCACGCCTGATATTTCAGGAGCTCCCGCAGATGCCCCTGATTCGCCAGTGAAGGCCAAGAATGAGAAGAAGACCAAGCCCCAGAGTAAGAAAACCAAGGCGAATATCGAGGCTACCAGCGACGAGGACGAGGACGAGGACGAGGACAAGGATGAAGATGATGGATGAGATGAGGATGAAGACTAAACCTAGTGGACTTGTATGCAATGGCACTTAATATCCCCACCATTCCTAGTACTGGCCTGTACGTAGGTTGAAGCCCAGTGAAGGACTCCCTACAACAACGACTGTATCTAATTTCCCTGCCATCCGACATGAGGGCCAGGCAGTTTTTATTAGGTAGTCTTTGCCTTTGGACTGGCATGGTCCATTGCAGGATTATCGGACATTTCTAATTGATACCCACGCTCTCTTGAGCTTTTCGAAATTACTGTCCCAAGACTAACCTTGGGTTATTCATGACACTTATGATGCACGTCTACAGATCATCTTAATTCATTGCTCATATATTAACACTTCCTTACGCTACAAGCAGGCCTCATTCCGAAACGGGGGGTTGAAGTTGTACGTAGTAAACCTTCACCCATATCCTTGATCTCGATCTTCAAACCCCATGCTTTCAAGTGTCTGGTTTTCCTTGCTAAGTCACTATATAGCATCGCCTTGATATATAGTTTCTGAGGACAACCCGTATAATACCTATACCAAAGCATCCCTTTTCACCTAAGCCCAGTCAGTTAACCCGATATTATCGTCCAATTATGACAATAGGCGCGGCTTCTTACACAGCATATCAATAAATGAGATCGCATGCATTCCAAGTGAAGGTACCGCCAAGAATCCTTTCCAGACGTGTGGTCTTAACCAGGCACTGCTTGTTAGATACAATGTGCAGCTTCTATACATGCTAGGTAAAGCCGAACCCGCAACCTATTCCAGCTTCGGTATAAGCGTCCTCCAGTACGGGACCGGACGGCTATGGGGGCCTTTAGTCGCCGCCACAAACATCAATATTCTAACCGACAAGCAAGCAAGCAAGCAACAACATATGCCTTCCTCGGAATTCCGGCTCGGCCCACATCTTAGCTCTCCAAAACTGTTATTTCCGAGAGGCAGCTTGAGCAAAGCGTTCTATTACGACCGAACGTAGAAGAGTCATTTTACTAGCCGAGTTCCAAATACGGGTGTGATTTGTCCCAATCCCATGTTTGCTCGACTTTCCCCCGTACCGACTGAATACAGGGCGGGTCAACTCCGAGATCAGATAATCTTTGATCTCATTAGATGTATCCACGCTATATATTTCGAAGTAATTGGTGAGAATAACCCGTGTATAGCATAAGCAATTTACCAAGTGCTACTAGCTTGGCAAGCATACCACTCTGCTGGTGACTTGCTCGTTATGACTACAACTGTATAAATATGGGCTCTTGATGTGTTGAACTATGAGATATTACGTAGTTGCATCATCAATATTAGATGCTGCCATAGCCAGAAATTCCTCTCGTTAGCTGTAATCAGTATACAACCTCTCCTATTAACTATTCCCATTTCCACCAGTAGCCAAAGCTTAGGTACTATACACGATGCGTCTTCTCCAGTCCCTCCTCTTCTACACCAGCATCCTCATGCTACCCAACCCCACCGCCGCGCACAACAAAGCCCTAACTCCGCGGAGCAAAGGCGCAGATACTATCTCATTCACATTCCAGCCCGACGACAGCATCAGCGGCGCCCTAACCATGCACTCGGAACAGACGCTCGAGTACTTCAAAAACGAGCTTGGGATCGACGTGACGAAACTACGGAACCACCCTGAACTCTTCAGCCACAGTCCCAGCGGACACTACGTCTTCCCCGAGCCGAGCGGCGTAGAGGGCACACTGTCCTGGAACCTAACAGGACGAGATCCCACTTCTCTCGGCACCTACGAACGACTCACCTGTGACGACTGCGCTGCGATCTGCGGAGGCTTGGCTGCAGTCCCTTTCGGATTTATCATGTACGTACCTAGATATACCGGGTTTGCCACGTGCCTTCGATAATATTTACATGCGTCGTTTATGCTAATCTCCCTATATGTAGTTGCGGTACGGATTTTCCCCCTTGCTATGATATCCTAACCATCGTTACCTCCCTATCTACATAGTTGCCCCTTTAGTTCCATGCTAACGTTATTATTGAAGCTGTGTGCGTCGGCACAATGCATTGCTTATGATGGGTATGATATAATAGAAGACAAAATCCGAACGTTCTAGAGTAACTATTATAATTATCAACGGAGATACGTTATAATTATTGAATCTGATTGTTGAAATTAAGAACCTTAAAAGCAACGACCCCCTTTTTTTTTCCCTCTACGTTACGATGGCATACTGTTACATTACATTTCCTATTCATAATCCGTTCCGTCGATATATCTATAGTGTTAGGTATATAAGCTCATGTTAACCAAGTGTCACGGCGGAATAAAAATCATTAAAATCGTGTATTGTCGGATAGTCAGCTAAGAAGTAGGGCGATCGGGCGAAGGCAAAAAGAAGCACTATACATCTTGTATCACAAATTATATTCGACATAGTACGTAGGTAGATAACAGTATTCTAATCTGAACTCATACTTGCCTCTTAACGAAAATAGGCTTAACAACTACACTAAGTTAGTTATTCTAGATTATATATCTACCTCCCTAGATACCCCATCTTAGGTATGCTAAGTAAAGCCTACCTACTTATTCTTATAAAGAATAATAACAACATACCAAAGGGAATATAAGACGGCAGTTCGTACTACTTACAGGGGAGCTTAGCTTAACAACCCCCTCCCTCATCATCATTATCATCGTCTAAACACTAGTTATGAGGGTTTTACATAATTCGGGCTACCACATCGCCGTGCGACCGACCGCCCGTATTAACACAAGAAAGGTCTCACTGTCCCATATCTTTTCCTACTATAGTGAATAGTCTCTGCCACCGCAGGCGCAAGCAGTGAAGCGGACTATTTTTGAGCCATCACAGCATCGTCTTGGCGAAAGAAGTTGATAGTGAGTAGTTCCACAAAGCTAGGGTTTTCCCACCCCCGTACGACGGGAGAAGGGTACTAGGTGTAATGAAATTTGTGATTGTTGAGGAAATGTCACCTCGCACAAGGCTTGGTACGAGTACAGGCTAGATGAATGGTATCAGCATTTTTGCTTGCGTATCGTACGCGGAAAATTGAAATGGACTCTAACTAATCACAATGTAAATAGGATAGCTGGCTACCTACGTAGAAGATCGGCTGGACAATTGCTACTAGAAGGGCGAGAGGAGTATGTTTAATAGAGAATCCCATTACTGTAATATAAAGCCAGGAAAGCTGGTTACAAATTTCCACTTAATTTCCTTACAGCCCAATATGTGATACGATTGGCTGGGACAGTTGTATGTAGCTTAGAATCTAAGTTCGCTGTGTATCAAGCAATAGCTTTTTTAATTCCATCATCGAGTTCATGACCATTGATACCAGAAAGAGACATTTCCAACACACGCCCACAGTGACACCACATCCTTTTGGTGAATAGAAGAAAATCAGGTCGTCATCATGTCGTCACTAGGAAAATAATTGTACCAGCAGCCTCTCGTGCTCTACGAGGCTGATGGATGTGATGAACAAAGTAAAACAAATTCAGCCTCGGTCATGAACATTACTCGCCTAGAAATCGTAATAGGCGGGACTTTTGCGTTGCTCGAGTGTCTCGTTGTCCTCAGCATAAATAAAAAAAGAAGTAATCAATGATCATCTCAAAAAAAAAGATTAAGGTCCACCATGCGACGCGTTAAATCGTGAAGCATTTACACGGCCTTTTAACGGCTGTTAATAACAATCAAGAAGTCGTAATTTTCGTCATCGTGTCTTCTGATGGATGGGCCTAAACATGATGATGATGATGAGTTGTCCCGGCGAACACAAAAGACGCGGAAAAGAACAAAATAAAGGAGTGTTTCGTAGTCGGCATTGCACTCTAAGGCGCGGAAGTGATTCGTCTCAAAAGAATCGATTTTCGCACAAGTGCCCCAACACCCGGATTAATGCGCACAGAAAAGAAAACGTCAACATGACACATTGAATAAACTCCAGGTCGAGGCTATCGCCGACGGGCCACCGCCGAAGTAGGGCGGGTCATTGTATCGTATCCGGAAGCAATGGGCCCATCAATCACCGTTTTTCGACGTTTCAAGTCTAGCCCACCGCTCGAGGGACGAGGCAGATCATCTTCATCATCGCGGCCTCTTTTCAAGGCGCCCGATGCGCCGTTCATAACTGGCTGAGCAGCATAACCATTTTGCATTGGAGCGCCCATATCATTTTGCGAGCTATAAACATCTGGCGGTGGCGCGCCATTAGTGGGCGCCCGGTCGCCACTCATTACATTATAAAGATTGCTCGAGGGTGGCACACGCGGCGGCGTACTGTATCCTGTCTGCTGAGCGTAATATGGTTGCGGTGGTGCAGCGGTTCTGGGTGTGGCTCGTCCAGATCCGCCTTGATGATTAGGCGATCCATTTATCTCAGGAATATGTTGGTGATCGCCTTGTAACGCCGTAACAGGTGGAGCGTTATAATTATACGATGTTCTATTGGTGTCATAAGCACCGCTGTCATGAGTATATTCGGCCTCATGCTCGGCTTCATCTTCGCCGGACTGGTGAGGAACACCGTCATTATGTTGTAGTAGTCCGTTTGACGGCTTAACATCAGCCTGCTCATTAGGTCCAGTTGGACGCCCAGCCGGAGGGCCCATCTCGCTCTTCATGTAGGAACTCGGTTGGCCATAGATGTTCCTCTCCTGCGGGCTGCTATTTGACGGAGGATATGGTGAATGTTGAGTAGTTTGGCCATTATATACCGCACGGGAACTGTCGTAAGGTTGACTACTCTGTGAGTAAGGCTGCATACTCTGCAGTGTGTTTCCTGGAGGCGTAGTTGCGGGAGTAGCTGGCATGGATCGTGCAGCGTTGCTAAGACCCGTATCGATGGACATAGGGTTGGGACCTTGGCCGCCATTCATCCCTTGCTGACCCCATTGGAAACTCTCAGATGCACCCATGCTTCCCATCACACTTGATGCGCTTGTCGGCGGCGTCGGGAATGTGTGTGCTCGATCAAGGGACGGCCGTCCCGGGTTGTGGGACGGAAGTGGAGGTTGGGGTCCTGGTAATCCCATGTGGTGGTGATGTTGCTGTATTGAGGGCAAGACACCACCAGGAGGTGCCGGACCCGGGCCGTTCCGCATTTGACTTTGCTCTTGTTTCCGGCGCTCGGCTGCCGCCATGACCTGGTTTGTTCGGTTCTGATTTGTGGGGTGGTATAATAACGCTCCAATATTATGAACAAACAGTGGGTATAGCAGTTCTGTAATCTTCTCTTTATTGGCGAAGTCCAAAGCTCTCTCGAAGGGAATCCTAGAGGGGGCCGTTATTGGTACTTGTCTTCAGCTATAAAAGGGGGTTTCAAGCTTACCACTCCCTTGAGGTGCATGGGCCCAATCTTGACAACATGCCGTACCTTTTCGCTTTTCAGAATCCCGTCTCTCCTGCCACGGGTCATTCCAGCGACGTTGAGCAACTTTGTGCCATTTATCATGTGATTATCTGCCAAAATTTTGTGAGCACATTCCTTAGTTTTTAATAGATTCTGGACTACTAAATTCCTACCTTCACGTCGCGCAACACAAATACCCTTAGCTTCAACTTGAAAGCATAAACTGCCCTCATCTTCCCAAAGTGTGGCCGTAACGCGGGGTTTCATCCCCGGCGGCGCAATTTGACCTGTCGTGTCAAATCCTTGGTACTGATTCTGCATGCCTCCCTGATTGGGAACTCCGGGGAGAGGTAGAACATTTTGGGCACCCATGGAACCGGAGACGGCCGGCGGAGCAGACTGAGGGGACGTCAATCCGTTCGCGTAGCCATATTGATATGGAGGAGCAGAGTACTGTGCCGGTCCTGGTTGTAATAATGTTGGTTGCTGGTGGCCATATTGAGGTAGCGCGTTTGATGTCACAGTTTGTGGTTGCGGTGCAGGACCTGCAGACATGTGCGTAGTTTGGTAGTACATATCTGGAGGCGCGGTATTCATCGCGGAATATTGTTCGTACCCACCAATGGCCTGGGAAGGGGGGCCAGATATCGCCGTTGTGACGGGTAAACTGGGAGACGGCGTCTTAGGGCCGTTTGAAGACGGTGCTGAAGTGAACGACGATTGCGAGTCTCCGTTGGAACTCGCGGAAGATGCAATAGAGCTAACCCGGGGAGACGATGTACTCGAAGAGTAGGCCAATGGCGCCTGCGGTAAGGGGAGCGAAGGCAACCTCTCACTCACATATGGCGGGCGCTGGGGAAAGGAACCGTAGTATGGTGGTACGTCAGACGGTCCCCGGGTTTGCGGCTGGGAAATCGGCGGGAGATCCAGTTTCACGGCGCTCGACAATAATGCCACGATGGGCTGCAAAAAAAAGCTCAAATACAAGTCGAATAAGCACGACCTGTGTTTGAGTACAGACCAACACCACAATTGGGCTTCAATTTCGTCAGAAGAACAATGAGCTCGAGGCAAAACGAAACAAGCGGTCCAATTGGCTTGTCGACGGTTCAACCGATGGGATTAGGATGTAAATCTGGGACGGTGTTACGGTTGCTGGACGCGTACGAACTTATTCGACGGGCTGTGATTCAACACTTGCGGGGAAATAGACACGGCGAATGTGTTTCTTCGGCAATGGTGGATTTCCCGTACGGCGTGGTCGTTACAGGTCGTGAAGCTCTAAAGAAACCGTCAACTATGATGAACCAATACGGTCTAAAGGAGTAAAATCAAATTCGAGAGTAAAATTTTGAGAGAATGTGTATGTTAGAATTCTGCACTACAATCATGGTAGCTGAAGGATAAGGAGCTATGTTCGACGTAGTAGTTTGCATGAAGGGGGGCGTGGAGAGGGGGAAGGACAGGAAAGCGGCGATAAGATGTCGTCGTCGTTGGTCGTTTGGACAAAATGAGTGAAGTCTCATCGCACGAACGTATACACATACACACGAACACTCGCACGAACACATCGATGTATCTCCTCCCGATTCCGTTTTTTTTCTGTTTCTCTTCCTCTTTTTTTCCCCTCTAAGCGAGGCTGTCTCTCAACTCTAATGCAGGAACATCAGGGCCCAGATGCGCAGGGTGAAATGCAGGGCAGGAAGAAAGTGGAGGTGGGAGGTGGGCAGAGTTTGCGCGCAAGTAGGAATTGGGAAGAGGAAGAACACATACCTTCTCTTCGGACCTCAATGGCGTTCGCTGGTGGGAATTAGGAAGTCGAAACGGCACCAAAAGAGAGAAGAGGAGAGGAAGTTAGAGGGGGAAAAGGGAAAAGAAAGGCCCAAGGTTTTTCCTCTCGTGGTGGTGGTGAGGAGGAGGCAGGAAGGTAGAGATAGTGGAGGTACGAAAGTTGAGAGAGGTCAAGGTAAGAAAAGACGGGACACAGACATGCAGACGGGACTAGACGCTAACTAGTAAGGTAGGTTAGCAAGGGTAGCAGGGTAACAACAGGGTAGGAGGTAAGAGGTAGGAGGTAGGCAGGTAGGCAGGGCAGGTGTAGAATACACATACAATGCAGAGAGAGAGCAAGAGTGCTGCTTTTTAGGAAGCGGACTGTGAATTGTGGACTGTGGACTACCTAATAGACTGTGGACTGTGGACTGTGGACTGTAAGGAAGGTAGGGATTAGTAGCAGCGAAGCCGCTAGCACCAGACGGGTCCGGGTGTGGGTGCGCCTGCTAGGGTTTGCTGTTGAACCGGGGGTGGAGGGGGAAGGATGAATAGTGGATAAGGATAGCGAAATGGGCTGGCGGGCTGGCGAGGTTGGTGGTCTGGGGGGGGGCCAGTTTCCTTGTAAGGTTCCTATGTTCCTATGAACGGATTTCAGGTACGTACCTACTCAAATAGACCGCGCCTACCTAGACACTTTTGTAGGTGGTAGCATGGGGTCTCGTCCTTGGTGGCCCAAGGGTTGTACAACTAACACCAGGCTCTCTGCTCAGTGTGGCTCTTTTTTCGGTGGCGTGTAATCATCAGGGTTGTTGTTGTTCTCTACCGGGATGAGGGGCTGGTCTTGCAAAATCGTACGCACAGTATAAACCCAAATCGGGGACTGTGAAGGAGAAGGCTTGGAGAAGGTGAATGTGACTTCAATTCGATTAGGTAGGCGCATTCAAAAAGGTAACAGTGTACATGGACATAGACATAAAATGATACTAGGTAACTTCTTCTATAATGTATTACAGGTTACCTAGAGATAAGTATACTTTTTCTAAAAAAGAATTAATTAATCTTTTTAAAATGTTAGTCGAGTCAATCAAGGTTTGTCAGACTTAAAAGATAATAATATAAATTGGGTGACAAAAAAGTTGGCTTAGGTCATTAGTAAGATAACTAACTGAAAGGAAAATGAGGTCTTTTTTTTTTTTGTTTCCTTTCAAGCCCCGGGCTGCTGTGGTTCTCCCCTGGCCTAGTGAGATGGATATGTAGATGAGATGCACAGTACGAGCCGAGATTGGCGAACTGATCGAGTTCGAGCCAAATTAGATCTCTTCCCTTTCTTCCCAATTCTCAATTCTCAATTCCTAATTCCCAACCCCCGAGCCACAGAGCCTTGTCCATCTTATTCTATTCAGGACTATCAAACAAATGAAACAAATGACTATCTTTCTATCCCGCAAAGACTCGTGGACACAGAGACATTAGGGCTAAAATTAGATCCTTAGCCGGAACCTCGAATCTCTTTACACGGTGGCTAGGGTAAGAAGCTAACACATACAACACGCACCCGTCGCAAGTGGTAGAAGAGGATATTAATGATTAGTCAATTCACCCTTTAGAAAAAGCCAAGTAGGTACATACCTATCACAGCATGGCATTATGTTGAACCTCGCAAGACCTCTCTATGTATGGAGACCTACTCAAATTCCTACCTATCGAATGATACGGGTTTTCGGGTTCCAACTACCTTAGTTTGCAGAGAACATTCGCTATGTGGATTCCCCGCGCTGTATTAAATACGTGTATATACTAAGGGCCTTGTCGTATACGGTGAGCGGCCTTACTTACATACATAGGTACACTCGATTATGGCTCTTGCTAGATGAGAACATACCTAAGATATACACACACTAGTTATTCTAAGAGAAGAGAATATACATGTGAACAGAAGATTTTCTATAATCCCAAGTTACTAATATATAATATGCTACTAACAATTTATCTCAAAATTTAGTTCGTTGGGGTTTTCTGCATGCATATATCATCCTTTATAGTACAAAGTACCTAACCTAGATTGACAAACATTTCCACGTTATTATTCCTGCGTGTAACAAATCCGGCTTACACAGTTATACATGCCAACTGATAAACAAAACCACAGCTTAGGTATAATTTTATCATCTTCCATTGACCAATGTCAATTAGTCACTTGGTTAGCTAAAAACTTTGAAATGCACGATATGTACTATTAGACGCATATGAGATTAGTCTACCATAGAATTACATACCTACCTATCTTCAGCAGTAGATAGAGAAGACCAGAACGTTGAAGGCTTTACAACTTGAAACATATCTAGGACAGTGCAATGTGATGTTACCTACGGGGTGTACCAACATGTAACGTCTAGGTGTGGCTCTAGTAAGATACCATCGAGGAGAAAAGGGTATCGATCGTCCTCCGGACCGCGCGAGAAAAAAAAAAAAAAAGACCACCAGCGCTGTTCCTAATTCCTATCTCTACATACAGTCGATGGCCTGCCACGACCTACCAAGTCCGATCATAGTATGGCACCGTGTCACAGAAGTACCTAATTAATATAGGGCGTACTGGGCTTCTGAGACGCTGGCGGCTTGTGTGGCTGTTCTAACATCGGTACGGATGCTTTGCGCGAATACAATCTCTCGTGTCATTGTACATAACTTATCTTATGTAATTCCGGAGTGAGACGCGGGACGGCTCCCTTTGTGTCTTTCTTTTCGAAGATGGTGCTAACGTCGATTGTTGGTTGCTCAGACCTGCTCTAGGACCTAACCAACCTCATGTCTTGAATTGCCTTTCCCGGCATCACCTTCGATCCGGATCGTATCTTTTTTTTACTAGTAGACTTATCTTCGCCGGTCCGAACGTCAGGCTTCGTCTTAACAGACCTGCCTCTTGGGAATAGTAGCTCTTTACTAGGGAGAAAAAAAAAAGATTTGCTCGGCCGATCTCAAGGGCTTAATGGCTGGTCGGCTTGGCGTGGCCTTATTCCTTGACCCGGTGCTCCGCATCGCCACTTATCTCCGCATCGATATCGGCCTATGTATTCTAACGTAGTATGGGGGAGATTCTCTCAGCCACTTATATTAATTAATCGTACGTACTTATCATTTACAGTCAGGCTCAGAGAACGTCCATGAAATTGAGCCGACTTCATTATAGGAACTATAATCACTCTCTCTCTCGCTACGGCTAGTCGGTGTGGAGTCCGCGAGCGGCGATGATTACCGGGTTTATTATCAACACTCCTATTTATGATGACAGGAGCAGAATTATGGACGATTGGATCTTTTTTTTTCAAGCGCCCAATAGAGTGTTAATATGGAAAATAGAGCGTTTCGTTTCTTGTTAAAGGCGTGTCTGCAGCAAGCCCGGCGGCCATGGAGCCATTTACTCGGCACACGCCTTTAAACTAGGCTTGTACATAGCACGTTTTCCTTGGCTCTTTTGTCTTTCCCCTCTTTTTGGATTCTGAGGCCGTCCCTTCGCCGGCCAAGGGCCAAGGTTTCTTGTTGGTAATCACCATCCTAGTCTTCTCGGTGGGCCTGTCAGGGTTGCAATGTCGACCTGGCTAGGACTGGCGGATTCAGCCAACAAACCCTATCGTCATTCCTCGTCTTGACTCCTCCTTACGGACCGAAACCAGATCTAGCTGGTGACTCCGACAAACCTTGGAGAATATCCAAACCTAAGTCCCATTGCACAGTGGTATTGATCGCATAGGCATCCGAGCCCCTTATCCAGATCAAGTTGGCGGCTGCGATCCGTCTGTATTTGATGGGGAGACGATCTAATG